AAGGAGAATATCTGAAAGCTGAAATTCGTTTTGGGACTTTAAAGTCTTCATTTCTTCTGGTGTTACTGTGTTGGGCTTGATCTTGGTGCAGTATTCGAATCTTTGCTCGTTCTCATGAAAAGGGGGAGACTCGCTTATTCTAGTGCGGGGTAATCAGCGCAGAAATGCACATCATGAATCCGCCTGCCTAGTAAGATCATCAAAAACTTTGGAAACTAGCTTGCGATACTCCTTGTAAATATTTATTGACGATATGTTATCTAATCAGAAGCTTCTGATGCTCTTTTGCTGCATCTGCCGAGAAGACGCAAGGATGTCTCCGTTCGCGTGGTAGAAATCCAATTTAACCACAGGCAAAACACTTCAATATATTACCACCAACACCACCCGTAACTTTGCAGATCAAATCAATCCATCCCAAGATACCTGCACGAACGCGGTAACAGCAATTTAATTGATTTGACAATAACTAGGGTCGAGATTGAAATCTGGGGAAATTGCCGGAAGGGCCACATGATCCACACTAGCATCCAAGAACTGTGTGATGCATAAAGCTAAGTCAGACATCCCATCTCGCAAAACTTTTCGAAGTTTGGAGAACTTATCGTGATGTTTCCCACCCTCTTGATTTTGTGCTTTTCCTGCTTGGCAGGAGTCCTTGCAAAGTCCCCGAGTATATACTCTCCCGGCTCTACGACGACTTCGGGTGGGACGAGTGAGAGTTTCTACTCCTCGTCATGGACTGATGGAGAGGCGAAAGCAAAATATACAAATGGTGCGGGAGGTGAATATGCGGTGACTTGGACTGGCAACAAAGGCAACTTCGTCTGTGGGAAAGGTTGGAATCCTGGAGGGGCTAGGTACTTTCCTACTCTCCGAACCTTCACCTGAATTATCTATTTTGGACGATAAATCTGATACATGTGGACCCAGAACTGCAAACTTCTCTGGCACTTTCTCTCCGAACGGCAATGCGTACCTTTCGATTTATGGATGGACCACGAACCCACTGGTCGAATACTACATCACCGAATATTATGGCACTCATGTTCCCTACGACACTCCCAATGCCAACATGAAGGGAAATCTGACCAGCGATGGTTCCAACTATCAAATTATGACGAAGGTGCGAAAGAACAAACCTAGCATCCAAGGAACAGCGACGTTTTCTCAATATTGGAGTGTCAGGGATGGTGGAAATCAGAGCTTGGGCAGTGTTGGTGGCACAATTTCAACAGGGAACCATTTCAAGGCGTGGGAGAAAGCGGGGTTGAAGATGGGGAAGCAGAGTTATATGATTGTGGCGGTGGAGGGGCAAGATAGTAATGGGACGGCAAAGATCACTGTTGGTGCTGCGCCAGTTGAGACGTAAGTTGATTCCCGTCGAATGGCACTCATTTACTGCGGGTGAATCGGTAGCTAACGCGCTTGATAATTCCATACCCAAAAACGGTCGAACCACAGAACATAGGAAATAGTGTTATAAGAGAAAAATTATTTCTGTGTACTGTCTAAATCATCATTATACCCGGATGCGTTGGAGTACTACAAATGAGAACCTCAACTCTGATATTAAGTGACGTCTAGGCTACTTCGACTCGGCCCTGCTTCTGGCGGATTTTTGGAATTTTTTGTTGTATTATTCTTGGAGTGCGAGTGTTTGCAAGATTGCCAAGATTTTATCTCCAGCTGTTGCTTATTTTCTATCCTTTCATTCGAAGTGAACACGGAAGGCACATGGGACAAGCCCTGATGGCGATTCCCGTTCCGAGGTTGCAAGGCTGATAAACTCAATTCGAGCCGGGAACAGCCACTCCCGAAGCTAGAAGATCTAGTCGATCGTTGATCCTACGTCAACCTGCAGAACAATGCCCGAGACAATTTTACTCACCGGACATCGTCTTTATCATCTCGAATTTTTCTCTCACGTTTCACTGATTTTTAATCAGTATCTCGAACGAAAATGTAACAATCATTCCCCAAGTTTCAGGCTCAATCTGACCAATCACCAGGTCCTCCCTCCTAACAACCCTCGGTCTGCGCGCCCTCCCTGCAACTTCTCCTCCAAATTCGGTACCAAACCTCGCATCAACATTCCTGATATGGAATTTCCTGCATGCCTATGCTTTCATGTCCACTCGCTTCATCAAAAACTATTATAAATTCGATCACAATTCAGCTCCAAGAGAAGACGTGGAAAAATATGGGGAAAAGATGGTCAAGGATGGGAAATTGACTGCTGGGCAATTGGCTATGGTGAAGAGATGGGAAGCGGGACATGAGAATTGTGTTGAAGGGTATACATTGTTTGTTGCCGGCACAGTAGGTCACACTCTTGGTATCTATAGGGTCGGGAAAGGGGAAATTATGGTGATAGGATTGGCTGACAACTTTCCAGCTGCTTGCACTCTACGCAGGTGTTCCAACACCGACGTTGAATGGGTTGATGGCGGCATATTCGGTCGCGAGAATGATGTATGGAGTTACATACATCGCGATTGAGACTGAGCAGTATTCTCCGCTCAGGACTCTGTGTTGGTGGAGTGGGAATATTGCTTGTTTGACGATGATGGTCAAGGCTGGGAACAGGTTGTAGATTCATGTTTGGGTATTGAGCTAGTGCTCGGTGATACTCAATGGTACTCAAATCTTGGATGCAGAATTGGAAGAGCTGCATTAAACTTTGTAGTCCAGCGACTTATTAACTCCTCAGTTCAAAGCGCACGCAACTCAGCTAGGTATATCATGTATATCTCATCCAGCATTAAAAGAATCACGCATACCTCCATATCCGCCAGACTTTCAAACCTGTACCCAGACTAAGAAGTAATTTCAAGCACACCATCAATGTTATCAATGAAGTTCCCTAAACCACGGTCAGCGCTTCTTCTCTCCCCTCTGAGCCGCACCACTCACCGATATTAATGGCAGCCCACCTCGGGACATGCCCAAAGTCTCTACACAACATAATCAGTTGCGTATTCGGATCCTCATTCAGCCAATTATAGCAAGAGTTCGAGAAACCCGTCCTAACTCTCGAGTCAGTACTCGTTGTTGTCTGAAGAAAGCAGAAGATACCCTGGATGTCTCAACGTCCCATCAAGGTTGCCAATGTAAAGGTCGAGATCCATTTCTGCAAAGACGACTTGTTTATCATAGGTTTTGCAGTGCGCTGTCAAATAGCGTCCGTCGAAGTTCCAGCTGCATCTGTGCTTTCTTTAGTAAGTGTTGTATACTGAGAGAGGTAACTTACGAGTCAGCGAAATTTCTCTTCTGTATTATGCTTGAGGAATTTGTAACCGCAAGCGCCGCTGCAGAAACAGTAGCTGCTAGCAAGAAAATAGATTTGATGAGCTTCATGATTGCTGCAGTAACTGAAGTCTCATATTTTGCAGAAATGGGCTCGACGCTTTATCATCAAAATCAACCAATACTGTACATCTTCGTGCTGCCTCGAAATATGCAGAAGGTCATTCTCTGATCTTGAGGGACGTGATCTTGGAGAAATGACGTTTGAAGTTTATGGTTGTCAAACATGATCGATGGGTGTAACACGGATACGCACGCATTCGAAAGTACAAAACGGCTGCTAGACCCTCTTGAGATCTCGAGGCTGGAGAATGGTAGTATCGCCGCGGGTACAGGCAGTACCCGCGGGATGTTGCTGGATGTTTCTCATGCGGTGAACGTGTGGCAACAGCGACATAACGGCTTACGTCGGATGAAATATTATCGATGGTGGTCTCAAGTAAAAATAGGGTGCTGTAAGCTTTAGCGAGTCTACCCTGTCCCTCCTTTTCTTCTCGCTTCCGACTCAGAAAAGGCTTGCCACATAGCATTCGCCAGCAACCATTCTTACTGTAGACAAATTATCTCACTAGAGAGCAGGTCATCCAGTCAGACCCACGAGGCTATGGTCACAATGACAAGCTATGGCTCCAGTGCTGAAAGGGTATTGGCCGTCCCTTGGTGGGGCATGTGAGCTCGGTTCCGGGATCGGTTCCGATGCCAAAAGTTTCTTCGAATATAGTGGCAACTACACCACCTGTTGTCATCTCCATCTGATTTCTGCTTTAAGAATTGGGTAAAATGCGCGTTCTCCGACTTTATCTTCGATTCCGCTCTAGCTGTGAAGACTCGATGCTGGGATCGGTTCCGAGCTCATTTCATCCGTTATTGGGGTTGGACGCAGCATACCGAGAGGAGCTATGAAGCATATATATATATGCCCAGTCTCCTTTCCCATCCTCATCTCTTTTTATCTTCATCTCAACGCAACATGGCTCGAACCAAAGTAGCACTCGCCGGCGCCACCGGTAACCTCGGCGCCGTTGTCCTTAAAGCTCTCCTCAACGCAAACCACCACGTAACAGTTCTCTCGCGCATAAACGGGAACTCCTCCAGATTGACACCTCATCCTAACATCGCAATCGCAAAAGTCGACTTCAACTCCACCCACTCTTTGACTACAGCCCTCCAAGGCGTCGAAGTTGTCATCTCCTGTCTTGCGACCTTAGCAATAGGAAGTCAAAATCTTCTCATCGACGCCTCAGTATCTGCTGGCATCAAACGTTTCATCCCCGCAGAATTCGGTATGGATTCTCTCAACCCTCTATGCACCAAGCTACCCGTTTGTGTACCGAAAGTCGACACGCAGAGATACCTCCAGGAGAAAACTTTGTCTTATCCTGGGTTCTCGTATACAGGTATCGCCAATGGATTATTCCTAGATTGGGGCCTGAAGGTCGGGTTTATCTTGAATATGGCAGCGCATTCTGCTACGCTGTATAATGGCGGCGATGTCCCGTTCAGCGCTACGATTTTGGTTGACATTGCGAAAGCGGTTTTGGGCGTTATTGATAATCAGGATGAAACGGCGAATCGGATTATCTATGTGCATTCAGTAGTGACGACGCAGAATAAATTACTTGAGTATGCTAAGGAGAAAGATGGCGAGGGGTGGCATACTGTTTTCAAAGATACTGAGGACATTAGGAGGGAAAGCTTGGCGGAGTTGGCTAATGGAGACATCGGTGCTGCAATGGATGGATTTTGCATTTGTGCTATGTGGAGTTCGGATTATGGGTGTGATTTTTCAAGTCATTTGGATAATGATCTGGTGGGGGTGAAAATGATGGAGGAAGACAAGTTGAAGGAACTCGTTGGGAGCTTTTTATGATACGAAACAGAAGACCGTATATACTATTTAGAGAAACATAGATATATGCCATTGTACTGACTACACCAAACTTCTATGATTGTGCGGGATGTAATTAGAAACAGGCATGCGACATCCGAAGTATAAGTGGGGTGCGCGCATATGAATTATTAAGCATACACTAACGACTATCAAATCCCTCTTCTCGAGTCGCCATGATCGATGGAAGTTGGACATTCCGTCTTAATGACAACCAGCCAGTGCTTAAGTATTTCCTCGACTGGCAAACTTCCCCACTAAGCACTTACATTGCCTAGCCGTACAGCCAGCAAGACAACAATCCAAAACTTTTCAACTCGAAGAATAACAATGAGAAACAGACCTCGAAGAAAGCAGTTCTCCAGCTGCGACGCCTGTCGTCAATCACGAGTAGCCTGTGACGCCACAAAACGTGGGCATCAACCTAACCAGACAACATGGAACGGCGCATGCTCGCGATGCCTTTCGAGAAATCGAAAATGCACATTCAAGGTACAAAAGTCCTCCTTGGTTTCTATGTTCCTTTTGGCTAATCATTACGGCACGTATAAGTGGATTGGGAAGTCGACTTCTCGCTTGGGGAAAGACGAAAGTGTCATTCCAGTCTCAGTGATTGGTGACTTATCAGACGGTGCTCCTCTCGAGTTGGGAAACGAGGCATCGAATGGAAGAACTGAAAATCATGTATATGAAACAAGGTGAGTGCCACATCGACTCCTATTTTGATCTTTGTTGAATGAAATGCCTGACCTTGCATAAAGTCCATCCGAAATCGTCGCATCACATGAAGCTCAGCTTCCCATTCCAACCATAGAGTCAGGAGATACTCTTCTTGCCCAATGGAGTAAACAAATCTATCATCACATCTTCTCAAGCATCTTCGGCCATTGCCTTGGCAGAAATGGTTGTCCATTCGTGTAAGCTCGCCGTATTTTACATCTAAAACATCCTCACCTAATACTCAATCCTAGAAACAACCCACCAAGCGACATTTTCCTAGCCCCAACAAAGCTATTCAAGGATCTTGACGCTTACATAGATAAGCAACAAGCCCCTAGAGAACAGGATGCTCAAATCGAACAGTTCTTGGACCGTGCCATACAAGCCTTTGCCGCACGATGGCTTCCAGTCACGACGCCGAAGACCCCACATCTGCAAGAAGTAATCAAGAAAAACTGGCGAGCCTTAAGAAGAGACATGCTAAGAGTCATCAACCACCCCTCCTACTGCTCCGTCCTAACGCTCTACCTATTCGGACAAACTCCCGTTCCTGCGGGAGTCACCTCCGAAGAAGAGAGCGACGGAATCAGCAGCGCAGTCTGCATCCAAACCGCTCTTTTACACATCCAACAACTACGCCATAGCTGCCAATTTCTCAATCTCCCACCCGCGTTCGTAGAGCTCGAAAGTAGAGCGTACTGGGCGGGCGTGATGTGGGACACGACCAATTCCTTGTTGTTGAATATAAGATCCTCGCTCACTTCAGGTTTGAAAGGAGCTTGTCTCGAGCCAGCCTGGAAGCTCGCTCGAGGATTCCTGGCCTCCTTCCATTCTAAAACGGAAATTTGGCAAAAGAAAAGCTTCGAGGCTTCCGAGGAAGAAGCTCAGCAGGTGATTTCCGCAGCTAATGTCTGCAGTGTATATACTTGGAAAACAATCGCGAGTGTGAAAGAAGCATTAAGAGAAGGGGTCGAGGAAAGCGATCTTATGTTCTCTTGGGACGCCTTTCTTGATGCTTTGGATGTGTTTAAATCGACGATTCGGCCGCTGATGAGTACATGCCAGAAACGGCTCCATTTTCTCGGGCAGGTTGAAAGACTGAAGTGGTATCATGTCGTCTTAGAGTATTATCTTGGGATTCTACTTCTGGTAGAGACGATAGAAGGAGCTGGTCGTCAGGATCTGCTTTCGAAGATAGTAGAGACGAGGACTGGTGCCGAGCTGGAATCTTTCAATGTTCTGAAATTCGGTTTGGAGAGCAGGTACACAATTACTGAACATTCTACAGGGACTGAACTGGTTGGCAAACAGATCTCTGTGTCATTCATCGCCATTGATCCATACCCGACGCATGTCGTTGCTTTGGTGCAGCTGATGACAAAGGCCATCAAACGCAGATATCAACAGGGCGATATAAAGCAGGAGGTACATTCCTATCTCTCCTCGACATTGCTGAAGGTTCTCGAAGAACTTCCTCCAAACTCTTGTGTAGTTTAATTTATTTAAGAAAAAATGGTGTTGATGTGAGTGGAAAATACATTACATGCACAACCAGCATTCCTTCAAAAAGTATTCTTCAGGATTGTATGAGAATTTGAATATCTCTCTAGGATCATTGTATACTTGGACAAAATAGATTGTTCTATTCACGCACTCGCCATACCTTTGGTCTCCCAGAGGTTGTCGATTGATTGAATTCACATCTCGCCTATTTTTGCATGGCTGGTCACGCCACAGTCTCCAGAATCAAGATCAGATGTCTTCAAGACTTAACGGATTGCACATAAAGTCCGAGGCCGATTCATAAAATTTCCCCTCAGTTGATTGGTTATCTATTTCTTTTTACTGGTTCTGAAGATGGACTGACTTGTGCTTGGCCCGGCCTTCCGTCATTGACATATGATGTACAGTATAAAGCTTGCTCAAATGGCTCTTAACTAAAAGGTCCATAAGCTCAATACTGAAACCTTTCCGAAGACCTGCTATTTGACTGACATAAATCGATCGGGAAGGAATTCATATCTTCAAGAGCATGAAGACAGAAGAGTCGAACTTTCAGCCTGAGCATCATTTGGCAGCTGGCCATGAGACAAATAGTGCAACATATCAGAGGAACAGTACCCGCGAACAAGAAAAGTCGAACAATGCCACCGAAAGTTCCAGAGTGGAGCCAAACGCGTCCATACTAGCTTCAGACTTCAAAGACAAATACACCGTCGACTGGGATGGACCCCACGATCCCACCTCTCCCCTAAACTGGTCCCTGACCAGAAAATGGGCAAACCTAGCCATCGTCTCATGTCTCGCTTTCCTAACGTATCATTTCCATCCCCATCCATCAAAATGCAAACACTAACCCCAACTCTCCAGACCCTTAGCCTCCTCAATGTTCGCCCCCAGCGTCCCCGTCGTCATGGCCAATTTCCACTCCACAAACACCGAGCTCGCCTCCTTCGTAGTATCCATCTTCGTCCTCGGCTTCGCTATTGGACCCATGTACGCCTCTTCCCCTCTCCCCTCTTCCCTTCTACAAGCACTCACAATTGTCCATCACAGTGTAGTAGGACCCTTGTCTGAACTCTACGGCCGGAAACCAATCTACATCACCAGCAACATCCTCTTTGTAATCTTCACCCTGCTCTGCGCCGAAGCCCGGACCCTGGGCATGTTATTTGCGTTCCGGTTCCTGGCCGGCTGTGCGGGCTCGACGCCCTTGACTGTAGGAGCGGGGTCCGTGGCGGATCTTATGGCTGCTAGTCAGCGTGGGAGGGCGATGGCTTTATTTTCGCTTGGGGCATTGCTGGGTCCTATTGTTGGTATGTAATAAGTCCAAGCGGTTTTTGAGATTAGGAAATGTGTTTGTTGATGAGAGACATTCAGGTCCGATTATTGGGGGTTTTGTGGCGGAGAGTATTGGGTGGAGGTGGATTTTTAGGGTTCAGACTATTGCTGTATATCTATCTCCTCCTTTCCACAACTTTTCATACAAACTGACCTCATGTTTCCAGGCGTTTTGTGTCACCATTCCCAGTTTATTCATGCATGAGACCTATGCACCGATCCTTTTGGAACGAAAAGCACGGCATCTTCGCGAGAAGAACAATGATCCGCTATTCAAATCCAAATACGCAAGTAAACTTTCCCACAAACTCGTCTTCCAACACGCCATTATCCGGCCCTTGAAACTCCTCTTCATGAGTCCCATCGTCGCGCTCATCTCGCTGCATCTCAGCACCATGTTCGGGTTACTGTACCTCCTCGTCACGACTTTTACGTATATCTTCGAAGACGTGTACGGATTCTCTACTTCCTCGGCCGGCCTCACCTTCCTAGGGATCGGTGTCGGGAATATTGTAGGAGTAATCATTCTGGGGCCTGCGATCGATAAGATATTCAACGCGTACGTGAAGAAGAGCAACGGGATCCAGAAACCGGAGTTCAGACTACCGGTCATGGCGTACACAGCTCTCTTCGTCCCGATTGGACTTTTCTGGTATGGGTGGACTGCGCGTTCTAGTATTCATTACATCGTGCCTGTTATCGGGTGTTCGTTCATCGGGTTCGGTATGATGGGGATCATGGTATGTTTCTCTGACCACACACGCACTCTAAGCTAACAAAATAACCTCTAAGTTGCCTGCGCAAAATTACCTCGTAGATGCATTCACGCTGTACTCAGCTTCCGCCATATCTGCGGCAACGATACTACGTTCCTTCTTTGGCGCGTTCCTGCCTCTGGCGGGGCAGCCGATGTACGATTCTCTCGGTGTGGGTTGGGGGAATAGTGTGTTGGGGTTTATTGCTATTGCTATGATTCCTATACCGTGGGCATTTTGGAAGTATGGGGAAGGGATTAGGATGAGATATCCGATCAATCTGGACTAAGGGTCTTTTCGAATCAGCTATTCAGACTTGCACAGTTATGAGAATGAAGCGAAAACCCAGTTGCTGTTGGCTAGCTGCCTCAACAAGCACTAGTTCTTTCATCTGCATATTCTTCGCTTCATCTGAGACGATTACTTAATTGTTCAAACAAGAGGTGCCGAATCATTGAGAATCATGCATTTGTCGAAGAAGCTTTATTTATAGAAGAGAGGAATACTTGGGCATGGATGAATGTGGATACTAGAGTTGTTTGAGATGTAGTCTGATATATACTCAACAACATACATGCATTTAGATCTCTCACCAACCGAGCTTGAAAAACTTCAAGGAATGTCCTCAGAATCTTAAATGGTCTAGTCCGTTCACTTGGGAAACTTCCCAGAGTCACTTCGGCCGAATTCGACTTCTGCCAGTGCTGTATGATCAAGCATCTGTTTGAACACAAAGCCAGTAGCTGTTATCGTCAGGGCGAGAATGTGGAACTCAGGAATCCACTCTAAATCACCAACGAAGGACACCAAACAAGAAAACAATTCAGGTTCGAAAACACTTTTCATTTGTATTATTCTTTGGCACCTCGAACAAATCATACAGTGATGTACCATCTAGAAGCGGAATCATCTGCCACTATGTCTCATGAACCGCATTATCATCTTCTGTGTGCCATATCTACCACCATTCAGTCATACTCGTACATTAAAAATCGTATAGCCATCTCCCCTTCTTACAAAGTCGGGTCGAGTAGGCGGAAATCAATTATCAGAATCGAAGGTATTGGTCGCAAATGTGTATGCGTGTCGTGGTATCATCGAAAAGGACAGACCGAATGCAAACATTATGCCGATTATGCTGTACGTGCCAATGCGGATCACCCATGCGCCATCGCTAGGTATCGAAATCAAAATGCTGGACAGAAAAGGAGAGACATCGCTTAAAGGAAGTAAGCAATGAAGAGACCGATGGCTGCTAAGCCGGCTCCCGCAGAGTTGGCCATGGCAGCTCCTGTGTAGGTGCTTGGAGATGCAGTGGTCGTTCCTGAAGGTCCCACTGGAGTGGCAGATCCGCTCTTGGTCGCAGTGCCGTTGCTAGCAGCAGTGGAAGAAGAGGGAGAACCAGTTCCGGTTGAGAGGGGATAAGTTGTGGCTGAGATCGGAGTGGTTGTCAGCACAACGGAAGAGGATGCCGACGCGGTGCTCTCTGGGCAGTATGTAGTTGTGAAGGTGATAGTTTCCGTGGTTCCACCAGTCGTGCAGATCGAGGTACCAGTGGAGGTAATTGTTACAGAGGTGCTGGGAGTTGTCGAGGCGCTGGGAGATGAGGTAATTGAAGAGGAGGAGAGGGAGACCGGGGAGCTTGTGGATGAGGAGACAACCGTGCTCAAGGTAGATGAGGCAGATTGAGTGGCACTTGGTGTGCAGTTGGGAAGAGTGAACGACTCGCCGCAGTTGCCAGAGCCGCATTCAACAATACAGCTAAAGTTCTGTCAATATAAATCTTGTATCAAGCAAAGGACAGTACTCACTTCTTGGCGCAAGCCGCATCTCCGCTGGTGGTGCTGGTCTCCCAACACTCAGCGCCTTCGAGACCGTACGGGAAGTAGCCAGAAAGGTTATCGTTGCAATTTCCAGCCTGGCCTGTACCGTTGACGCATCGAATGATGATGTTGCTTGAGAGGGACGAGCTGGCACAATAAGCACCATTGGGATTGCCGTAGCAGGTAATTTCGTCGGTGGTGGAGTTGCTTTGACGCGTTAGTAAAGATATAGAATCGCGTTGAAAGTCAATACGTACATGGTGAACTGCGCGCTCGCGAAAGCGGCAGAGAGGGCGATGAGGGTTGCAGTGTACTTCATTTTGACAGAGAGTTCGAGATTAAAAGCAGGAACGATAGTGGTGTTGGGTTACTGGAGTGATTGTTCTGGGAACGAAAGTGGTGTTGTTGTTTGGTGAACGACAGTGGGTTGAACTTGTTTGACTTTGATGGTTGTTTGTGTGTGGAGTGACGAAAGAGAGTTGAGGAAGGAAAGTTCTCGCCTTTATATCGAGTTGGTCGAGAGACATTGGGTGACTTCCCTTCCTGTCAAATTGGTAGCGTGACGATGAAGGCGGCACTAGCCTCCTCGTTTGTCCCTGCCTCGTGCAGGGGTCCATCACAATCGCTGTCCACTTCGCTGACTGGCTCAGCTGCAGGAAAAAAAGCTGTGGCTGAGCTGCATCGACCATTGGCAACACGAGCGCAAAATACCTGCGAAAGGGACCCAAGAACAACGTTGTATCGGCCCTCCCGTATGCTATGCTTAATTGTCTGTCATCCATCGGTTGGGCCTGAAAGAAGCTTGGCTTGACTCTATTTTGAGATTCCAATTCTCGTGATACATAGCTTCTCTTCTTCCCTTTTTCAATACTGCTCCGGATACTCACCGTCGTTATCCTGCGTCGGAGTCAGTCAGGACTGGAGCTATCGATATCTCATCCAGGGTCATTGTCATCATACGAGGATGAGGTTCACGATCTAGAGATCTCGCTTCCCGCAGAGTCGCATTCGACAAAGTACCGTCCCGTATGTTGTCATGATCAGGCAGATTTGGTGGTGTTGTCTGCATGAGGTGACAAGAGATCATGCTCATCGCTTGAGCGGAACATCGTGATGCGCCACACGTCTCCAGCCACTCGCGGGGTAACGGACAGTGGCGTGTTGTGAAATCATTACCGTGGAGCCGTAGTTCTACTTCATCTGTGCAATTCAATGCTCTCCTGTCTTCTATTTTCTATCACATAATTGTCTTGAACATCATCACTCATCTCATCGTGCGGATTCAGAAGAATCAACTGTTTTTCAACCTCCTCTTTCTCATTCGCCCACTCGCCCGTTCTCCCAACCCCCAGTTCCTCGGTTCCAGCCAACCTCACAGACCACCTCGTATTCCCCAAGACACCTGCTCACCAGCCCGCAAAAATGTACGATTCGACCATTAATTTTACCTTGGATACCATTTGCCCCTGGTAAGCCCTACTTTATCTTTCTGATATCGGGTTAGCGAAGCAGTATGGAAATATATTGACTGACCGGTGACTAAAGGACTTATTTGGCAAAGAAGAGGTTGGTACTCATTTGTGATTTCGCCGAAGAAAATGACTAACTCAGCTCGTTGCTTAGACTTGATGAAGGTAAGACTTCTATTTTTGGTTTCCAGAAAGATACATACTACGATGTTTCGTAGTCTCTATTTTTCAAAAAGACAGATATTTCACGTGACTGAGTGGCATCGAATAAGCGTTCGAACTTGGAGGCATCCCTTCAGAAATGTGCTTAATGCTTCCGAAAGCTTGACGGGCTGGTCTTTATCTATTCATTTCTCAGCATAACGAGGAATAAGCGTTTCCTGTAACAGACTCTCACGTGACATACTACTTTCATCTTGCTCTCACTAACACCCTTAGCCCTTAGAAGAGTCCGCTCAACCTCCGCCTCCGAAAAAGTAACCTTCACAATCCTCTACCAACCCTACCAACTCTACCCCGAAGCCACCCAAGAAGGCGAAGACAAATACGCCTGGTACAAGAAATCCAAATACGGGGACTCGGAAGAAAAAATGAAAATGTACACCACCCTAATGTCCGCGTACGGTGCCTCCGCCGGCATCGCCTACAAATTTGGCGGCACGGTCGCCAACACCTTACAAGCTCATCGAGTCGTCCAGTATTTCCAGGAGAGCAAAGGACCGGAGACAGCTGATAAATTGATTAATAGCTTGTACAGGCAGTATTTTGAGGAGGAGAGGCATCCGAGTTCGAGGGAGACGTTGATGAGAGCGTGTAGCGAGGCGGGGATTGAAGAAGAGGAGGCGAAGAGGGTGGTGGAGGATGAGGGGGAGGGGTTGGGGGAGACGAGGGGGAAGATTAGGGAGCAGGTTAGTAATGGGGTTGATAGTGTGCCGTTTGTGGTGGTCGAGGGGCGGAGGAGGGATTTGACAATTCAGGGAGCGAATGAGGTGGAGGATTATGTTAAGGCTTTGGAGCAGATTGTTAAGGAGAGTACGTAGATTTTGGGGGTGGGATGCTGAGAAATGGTCGTATTTTTTGCTTGGATACAGGCGCCAAGTGGCTGTGTTGAGTCTCTTGTGATTCACTCAGTCTCCTTTGTGCCTTTCTTGCAAATTCACCCAGCATCAATTCGAATCTCAGTTCACTCGATCCAGCAGAGCGTCAGATTCGAATATAATAAGCCACCTCATCAGTGCTCTTCAGAATGTGCTCTTCGGAATTTGTTTGGACATTCAGCACCAAGTTCCGAGTTGAGTGGTGTTCCGCGTTTTCCAGCCCCCGTCTCCCCAGATCTCGGCCAGAAATCTTCTCTCACAAATCCATCTCAAATTTATCCACCTTCCTTAACCCGAAGCTTTTTACTTCTAAAGGCAAGTATCATTGTAGTTGTTGTCAAGAAAACTCTTATTGTCAACATCTCCCATCACCAAAACCTCATTTTCGCGTATAAACCCCATCATTGACAACCACATGCACCGACCTTCAAATCCACCCGTGAGAGCTACTTTGAAGTCTTTTGTCGTGGGCCAGATTCAACTGTGCTCAAGGCGTCTCTGAGAAATCGCTGGCAGTGTCGACGTGTATTTCGTTGGTATACGGAGCTCTTGGCGTATCCGTAACGTTGAGAAAAGGTTTATTTTATACCTTTCTGGCCCAGAATTTAGTTGGAAAATTTTCAAGTGTGGTGGTGTGGTGGCTATTCACTTCTGTCCTTAAGGTGGGTTGAGTAAATGAGTGAATGGAATTTACTCAAGAGAGCTTGGCAAAGTGATTACAAGACAAGGCTTTGAGAGCGGTATATAAACCCCTCTTCCACCACTCAAGGACAAACCATATCTAAGTCTGGACCAGGAGTTAACAATCCAGGTGGTTTATGATAAGAAGACAATTGAAGAACTGAAACATAGCGCGGCGGCCCCGGATTCCATTTATTGGCTTGATTTTTGGGCTAAACTGACCTGGTAAGGTTTGATAAAGCTTCTTTTGGTCGGAGAGGGGCTGTTGTTGTCAACTGAATAGTGTTGTCAATAATATATTTATTTTTCTATAAGAATCATATATATTGACTAGAAGAGGAAAGGGGTTCAGCCATGTTTGGAGCTGGAGAGCTTGCAAGCTTGTCTTCTTCCAGCATCCATCCGTTTGTTCTGATCGTTCTGTGTGGCGGGAAGTGGTCTATTTTATACTTTTTTCCCTCCGTCAAGAAGTTTGTTGAGAAGAGGAGGTTGTGGTGAATCTGACTTCAGAATTGAAGGTGCGTGGTTGAGGGGGTGAATGAATGAATGAATTTATTTTAGTTGGCAGACCTTTGCACAGTGTAAGGCTGTGGTTGTGTGAGGGATATATAAATCCCTCTCTCTGTCTCCAACCTTTCTCAAAAACACAAATTGTTCCGAAATCCATCGATTCGTCCTCGTCGTTGCTTGGGCACGGTCGAATCGTAGCGTGGGCTGGGATTATATTTTTTGTTTGTCGAGTTAAGATAAACTGCTGGTGCCCATTACAATTTATTTACCGTTCGAGCGGGGTGGTTGTTGTTGTCAACTCCGAAGTGTTGTCAACAGAAACACAATTATTTTTTCCACCAAAAGAACGAGATGATTTTTGGTGACTTCCTTAGCTGGTACTCGAAGATGTCAGATGAAATATCAGGTGATCTGGCCCATTTTGGCCTAGTTCAGGGGTACCCTCCCCGACATGTATATATAGAGCACTTTCATCCATCATAAGTATCAATCTAGTCAATCTCTTCATCTGACAGAAGACAACCCGCTTTCAAGATTTTCAGTATTCGGACTTGTCGGCTCGACATAGGTGGTCTGGAGAACCGCCAATCATCATTGTACTCGTCTTGGAGACATGGTTGCGTTTATTTAGTCTAGACATCTTTATGTATATTAACTTATCTCGCTTTTGAGGAAACATTTTCGTGAGATTCGAGATTGCTTATTAAGAAAGTGAATTGAAAGTGGAATTGTTTGGAAGGTAGTGAATGTTTTTGGAGGCTTTCTTTCCCTTGATCTATTACCCACTTGCAAGTCGACGAGGATTGATTCGAAGCAAGTCGTTCACCTCTCTCATCCACACCCACAACTTTTGACAACAAAGCCAACTTAACAACAGAACTAACCTTCAAAACAAAAGTTAACCTGACAGCAAACCCAGCTTAATAACAACAACTTGTCCTTTAATTCTTCTACTGCTACAAAAGTTAATCGTTTGGAAGATAGGCAGATCCAAAGATATAAATTGTCTACACCCCATCTTTAGATCCGGGCCTGCGTCGTATACACCCAGAGCCCGGCTCACATCTGCATCAGAGTTTTTGTAGGCTCCACTGACTGAAGCGTTCTCAGCTGGAGCGCGAGCGCTGGTTATATAATCACTAGCGTTGCGCTAGTAAAAGCTCTCCTGTAAAGACCCCACTTCTTTCAATTCCTTGCAGTCCTGAAAAGTAATGCTGCTACTCGCCTAAAGAATTTGTTCTGTTGGCACTTAGTGCCGGTGTTGCTTGAGTAAAGATCAATTCATGTGAATATTCTAAAGAGGAGAGGGTAACGGCTGTGCGGAGGAAAGGGAAAGGCTGACAGTGAAACGAGAAATGACAACAGCGTGATTGAGTTGACAGTTGATGAGTGATGATTGAAGTACTTGTCCAAGTCTTGAAGAAGTGCAAAATAGTGACAGACCGAGAAAGAAGTTTGAAACAGGCAAAGATACACTCCATGCAAAAGCAACTTCCAAGATGTGAATCAAAGTGATACTAAGAAAACAAGAAAGTAGAAGTTTAGGTTTGATGGAGAGTTTATATACACATTAGAATCGGACGATCAGTGATTCAACGTCTTGTGTGCTTTGTTCTTGTAAAGAGTGAAGGTAGATATTCGAGACGGGAACTGCCCGGGGGCGGACGACAAGATCACGTTAAAATTCACCGTCGGAATTCGGCGGCCGTCCAGTGAATACCAAGGCTCTTTGAAAGCTTTCAGCGGTTGTTTGAAACGTGAATTTAATCTACAATCATATCCCGGACACTGTCTGAAAATCGAAGACAGAGGAAGGCAGGGTAGTCCTTCACATTCGGCAACACTAACGCCAAACAGTTAGCTTCAGCGAGACGGACTTTGCCCCTCCATCAGCTTTCATCACTCTGGCCAAGTATAAGGAATGAGAAAACTCCTCATGAATGATGGAATACTCGTACTTCCACTCCTCCATTCACAATGTTCTCATCGATTCTTCCCAGATCAAGAATCTTAGCATCCTATTCATTCAGAATGTTTTCCTATACCACCAATAGAGCAGCAAGCTCATTCCCTCATATCGTCAAGGTGTCTCCAGAAGAGAAGTCTTCTGGCTCCCTGAGCTGGAAGAATCTCGAGCTCGCCACTAGAGCTTTGCACCACGACGGTCTCGTCGTCCTTGAAAACGCCATCTCACACGCCAAACTCGATTTCTTGAACCAGAAAATGGTGCAAGATGCCCTGAAACTGCAGTCTGCAGGTGAAAATAGTCCTTATAACTATAACAAAGGGTATTCACCTCCCACAAAATCAGAGACGAAAGCTGACTCTGCACTCTGAAGAAACATCCAACAAGACCCTCCTATGATCCTTGAATTCTTCGATAAAGAGATCTTCCTCAATCCCTTGGCGACACAGGTCACATCCTCGGTTCTGGGCCCGAGACCAAGACTCTCGTTCATGTCTGGCAATAGCGCGTTGCCACCCACGCTTGACAGTCCGCCGCAAGCACAGCCTACGCATAGTGATGCCGATTTCGTGCATCCCTCTTCGCCTTTTGCTCTCGTTGTCAATGTGCCGTTGATTGATATGACACCTGAGAATGGGAGTACTGAGGTCTGGCTTGGGACGCATGTCGTTGGGAAGGAGGCGCAGGAGGGCGAGCATGGTGAGAGGGCGAGTGGGAGGATTAAGAGCGAGTTCTTGGAGAAGAGGAGAGAGGAACGACCGCCGAGTCAGCCGGTGGTGAAGAAGGGTAGTATTGTGGTGAGGGACCTGAGGTTGTGGCATGGTGGGATGCCGAATTATACGGGAGATGTGAGGGTCATGCTTGCGATGATCCATTTCGCTCCGTGGTATAGGAATGCGATGCAAATTAATTTTGCCGAGGAACTAGGTCCTGGGCTAGAGAGCTTTGGTAGGGATTTGCAGGTCCAGGGGAAGCTCATGCCTGAGAAGGATATTTTGGATAAGTACCTGAAGGGTGCATATGGCAACGCGTATGATTTCAATCAGCAGGAACGTCTTGATGTAGTCTTTTGAGTAGCTTCGTCGACACAATTGAATATAGCTTCATTTGCAATTGGAAGATGGACCGGCCTCATTTCGTCAAGTGTTCGTGACGGTCGTCAATGATTTGTCTATTTCTGCCCAATGTTCTTGCAGATCTTCGATTATGGGAGCAACAGGCCACCCAGTAGGCTTGCTGAACTCATTTAGCATACGCAGCAATCCATGTCGGTGTATTGTTTCGGTCAAGTATCGACCACCTATGTATGGTTAGCGAAGTGACTTCTCCTAGGAAAGAACGAAGCTTTGCTTACAGAACGCAAGAGGTCCAAATGCGTTGACTCTCGCAGATACATCGTCGTTGGTGTATGCTAAACCACAGATTTGGAGAGCATGGAAGACGACACGCTCGCGGTTTTGATCTGCCTGGAATGGTATGGATGAGGTGGAAGACGAATGGCAGGACGATAGAAGAATTTCCGTCACAGAATAGTATTGTTCGGAAGCAACTGAAACATCAATATCAACAATCCAGCTAGAAAACTCAGGAGATGAACTTACCATGCCAAGGTTGAAGGAACCATATCGACGGAAACACATTTCCAGGCTTTGGAGCAGCCGAGAAAGGTCGGAAAGAAACGGGTAAGTTTTGACGCCAAGACGAGACCTCACCTACGATCTCATCCCAGGGCTCTCTCCGATTCGTTGAATCTTCAGTACTAGCATCGGCGAAACAAAGATTGATCGTCTTCGCTAGGATGAAAGTGATGGCATTCGCACATTTGTCATCTGACATGGCCGGCTCAGGAATGAAATGAAATCCGGCACTGAACCGTACCGGTCTTCGAGATTCGAGTGCCACTGTAATTTCTTCGCGGAGATAGTTCCAGGTCCCTGCTTGAGCGAGACCTTGAATGGTCAAGTCGATTGGTCGATTCGTGGCAAATGAATACGCTCCAAGCAAATGGTCTTGATGTCGTCTCATATCGCCTTGATCGTATCAGCTAGTTCATGATATATGAGGGAAGAGAAGGTACCATTCAAGATCTCATATGATCTCAGAAGACATGTAGCTGCGAGGAAATCTTCTTGGCTCTCGGGAGAGCTATCATTCAAAGCATCTAGAAGTTCTTCGACGCAGGAAGCGTGATAGACACAGCCGAAGTGCTGGAGGTTTCCTGTTGTTCTATTCATATGACATGCCGAGAATGCTATGAGAGCTTTGAATACAACGGAATTGTTCAAAGCACGCAATGGAACTAATATTGAGAACAATCTTTGAGCATCGTTGAGATCGTACCAAGGTGCTAGAACATCAATGTAGTGACGAAATAGAGTAGCGAGTGTAGGATCTTCTAGAGCAATAGATGGTGGGTGAGAGACAGTTGATTGAGCTCTTCGTAGGTCTGGCTCATCGCGAGGCGCTTCTGGCGTTGGATGCTTTTCTTGGCGTTCGAAAAGAGAACCTATGAAATGTGTCAGGACTTTGTAACTTGTCAATATTTCAGTGTAGGATAACGCACTCTGCAGTTCTGGGTTGGTGGTATGAATGATGAATTTCGAAGTCACTTCACGTGATTTTGTACACTGTCGTTTTGATCTGAGGCAGTTCTGACACTTTGGCAATGTTCCATCACCTAGTAGTCTTATCAGACGATACATAAATCATTCTCAAGATCTTGGTCGAGCTCACATCTGATCTTACGTTGGCGGCAGGTCGTGCTGAGGAGTCGTCAGTTGACTCTCGTTGACATCGGAATTGCAGACGAACCAGGCTGTATAGACAGTCAATGGAATGATTTTCTAGTGTACGCTAGACTCTTACAGTTCTCGGGTACAGGCCTGGGCATCTTGATGAGATCGTATTGAGGCGGAAGATACACGATGTAGAAACTTCATAATGGGGGTGAAGACGACGTCGGCAAGCGATTAAGCTACTTCTTTACCACGTGATCCTACCACAACTAGGTACCTATTAGATGCCATTTAGGTAGGGTTTCATCGCCAGTCGTTTTGAGACAAGTTGTTCAGCAATACCAAGTGGTCTGAGTGTGCTATGTTCACGGAATCATCGAAAGAGACACTTCGCTATCACATTACTTTCCATTAGACGAGATAACTCTTTCTTGAACATCATGTATAGCCCACTTATACTACCCCCTGATCTCTTGAACAATATTATCTTATATTCCAATTTCTATTCTACGGTACTGTATTGTACTGTACTGTACACATAAGTCATACACCTCAACATTTGTCAAGCGGCAACCTTGCCAACTCCAACGGCAACCCAGCCAACCACCTATAATACATACTCGTCGAGATCTTCATCCCCTCCCCACACGCCTTACACTCACACCTAAATCCCCAATTCTCCCCCTCCTTCCTCCTCGCTCTCGTAGTCCCAATATTATGGAAATACGACTGCGTAACCTCCTCTCCCTTCTTGATCCTTTGAACAACTCTAACCTCAATATTCCCCTTCTTCGAAATACTCCAACACGCATTCGGCAAGCACGAATGATTAAAATGGGAAGCGTTGTAGAAGATCGCAGTCCCATTGCCATACGCAAACGCATTGCTATTCCAAACCTTCGTGTCAGCATCCTCATGGCAATCTCCTGGGTGTCCACAACGACAATGCCCGCTCAGGGTGTCGAACTTTGCTTTCTCGGAAGGGGTCAAGGAACCATATGCTTCTTGCTCGTCCTCGATTTCGTCTACTTCTGTGTAGCAGAGAGGTGTCTCTTCGAGGATCAACGTCCCGGGCTCGAGAGCCTTTTTGGCAAACATGCCGTAGCGGATGCCGGGGTGGGGATGGGTTTTCCGTTCCACGAAGTCGTTGGGGGACATGCATGCGGCTGCGCGTGCATTGCGGGCTGCGCTGCGGAGGTTGGATGACGGTGACATTTTTGATGGGAAGTCTGTGGGTTGAAGATTGAAGTTTGAGATGTGGTGGTAAATAATGTGAGTTTGAACGAAGGAGAGTTTCTTGCTGTCTTTGTAACTCGATTTAATGAGGAACTCTTTGCGGCTTGTACGCATTGTTTGAAGGTCTGGAAGACTGGAGAGCATGCTGCCATAACAAAGGATGTCTCGGAAGTCGATATAGCATGAAGTGAGGACAATAGGGTAAGATACTTCTAGTCCTAACTAAGCCTTTCCGAGATAATAAGTATTGGACTCTGAAAAAGTGTCTTAATCTCAAGTTCTAATAAAGTTGCTTCTGTAAATCAAGTTTACAGTAGGAGGAAGAATTCAATGTGGGTTAAGGTAATGAACGCCATTGAGAGCACTGGTTCACTTGCTGTGTAGATTGACCTCTAGCGATGAAGAGAAGGTACCAATGAAAGGTTTAATCAGACACTAAATGCAAAACAAAAGGAAGACTGTAGAAAGTTGAATGCAAGTAATTCTATTTCATGTTTAAGTGCAACGCCAATAAATGCTCTAACTATGCAGCGACTTCCGCTTCATAGGCAGGATAGTCGGTGTATCCCTTTGTGGGTGGATCAGCGCCATAGAATGTTGTTCGGTCATACTTATTCAGCGGCAATCCTTCAGCCAATCTCTTTGGCAGATCTGGGTTGGCAATGAATAGTCGACCCATAACAATCGCATCTGCATCACCAGAAGCTATCTTCGTCTCCATGTTGTCTCTGTCAAAGTTACCTGCAGCAAGGAACTTGACTCCTCCTTTGGCCAGGATCCGTTGGAATGGAACAAGCGAGTTGATTCCAGCTTTGGCGGTGACCTCTGCTTCAACACCCTCGGTTGGATCTTTGGAGTAGGCTGCCAATGCATCCATCTTTCCTTGCTCATCCAGAACTTCGTCGAATCGTGGCTCGACCATGTGTACGTATGCCATTTGGTTCTCGCTAGGGAGAGTCGCGATTTGATTGCAGAGGTATGCCCAGTGTACGTTGGGGTTTGAATCTTTGGTATCTTGGAAGTAATTGTATGGGGAAAGCCGAATGCCAACTTTGTCTGCTCCAATAGCTGAGGTCACGGACTTGATCACTTCTAACGGAAATCTGCATCTGTTCTCAACCGATCCGCCGTATGCATCGGTTCGTTTGTTGACGTTGTCGTGGAGGAATTGCTCGAGGAGGTATCCGTTTGCGCTAGGCGAAACAGTTAGTGAAAAGTCTTCGAGAGACTCCTTTTGTCTAGGACGTACCCGTGAATCTCAACTCCATCGAAACCAGCCTCAATGCACTTCTTAGCCGCCGCTCCAAAGTCTTTTACAATTTCTTGGATCTCCTCGACAGTCATCGGTCTTGGTGGATCAGCAGCATAATCAGTCCCATCGACCGCATTACCCTTGATTGGAATGTCTGAAGAGCTGACTGTTTGCTTGCCACCTAGAAGCTTCGAGGAACTCGCTCTACCAACATGCCAGATTTGGCAGTAGATGAAGCCTCCCTTTGCGTGTACAGCATCAGTGACCCGCTTCCATCCTGCAATTTGAGCTGGTGTGAAAACACCTGGAATGCCTGGATATCCAGAAGCCTACTGTCGTGTCAATTTTGAACCCTTTCAAGGTTGCAGATCTCCAACATACCAGAAGACTAATGTTGGTAGCTTCAGTCAGTTGCAGACCGCCCTTGTTTGCTCTCTGCGAGTAATACTCCACTGCAATATCTCCAGGTCCCCATACTCCCTCAGACTCCTTCACACCTCTCATCCGAGTCAACGGCGCTTGAATGATTCTATGATTCAGCTTCAACGAGCCCAGTTGAACAGGAGTGAAGATAGCAGTATCTGCGAGAGGCTTGAAACCCGAAGGAGAGAGTCTGGACGGCATGATTGATGTGAGAGGTTGAAAGAGCGACAGAAGGACTGGCCACGAAAAGTTTTCTCACAATTACTTACTAGATATTGTTGGAGGATAGAAGAGGACTTGCAATGCAGAATTGCAAGACTTCTGACCACGATTCGGCTTGAATCGTTGGGCCATGGTTTTTCCGATGGCGGTCAGGCAATCCCATTCCTGGAGTGTGCCATGCGTCTAGCTTTGTCCAGTACGAAGCAAAGATACGCATCGAGTCTCGTTGGCCTTGCAGCGGACCTCCATGTTTGTGTTATGCATTGGTGGTTGCGACACAAAGTGGAGGTTATCACGGAAATTTCAAGAATGGGGGTGGAGTCCAGGGCTTTCAGGGGCTCTTATTAGGGATTAGCAGCACTAACCAGCTTGGCCGTAGTGGTTCGCTTAGCGGCCGACATCTTCTTTGCTCTTTACTACCCCACTTCCCACTCTTACTTAGGTATTGCTAGCTCTATAGCGGCTTGATACGGTGCTTTGTGTTACCAATCGGAACACATCTGATATCATTTACCGTCTCCAAGATTCAAGGTTACAAACATTCCCGAATCTGATCTGACTAAGTCGCTTGGGAGGGGCTCCAAAGACCGGATCATCGAGAAGTTGGTACCTGTGTTATGCTCTCTCCCATGCTGCTGTTTATTCAAGATGGAGCTAACATCAAATATCCAGTCTGTATTCAAGAGGAGTACCTTGGACTTCTACCTCAATGGTACCAAAATAGAGCTGCGAGAGCCACATCCTCAGTGGACCCTCCTTGATTTCATCAGATCTCAACATGGCCTCAAGGGCACGAAGCTGGGATGCGGAGAAGGCGGATGCGGTGCTTGTACGGTTGTCTTACAGACTCTGGACAGAGGGAAAGTAAAGCATCTGGCAGTTAATGCTTGTTTGTTTCCCCTCATCGGTGGTAAGTTCTGACACGTGATTGACCTTCTTCGTATTCAGAATGCTGATGGGTTATAGTGATTGGTAAACATGTTATTACAGTTGAAGGCTTGGGGAATATTGACAACCCTCATCCTTTGCAGGAGCGGATGGCAAAACTCCACGGCTCACAGTAAGTCCACGTGATGGCGGGTATTGGTAGCTTTCCTGGGTATTGATGTTGATTATGCTCAGATGTGGCTTCTGTACTCCGGGAATAGTAATGTCTCTATATGCTCTCATAAGAAACTCTTATGACCCAGTGTCAAAGAAATTCAACTTGTCTGAGAATGACATTGAGATGGAAGGTCATCTAGACGGGAATTTGTGTAAGTCAAATCCGGAGAAGTATATGGTAAGACTTGAGCTAACAGGTTCACTCAGGCAGATGCACGGGATATAAGCCGGTGCTAGAAGCCGCAAAGACTGTAACCAGCTCCGTTCTTTATTCCCTCTCCTCGCTCTCTTTCACAAGTGCCACGTTTGGAGTCCCCAACGATGTTCATCCCTCTCCCGAAGATTCGGCTCTTGTTCATTGTATGAAAGCAAGCACTAACTTTCTCAAGTTCGTTACTCAGGATCTAAAAGGACAAATTGCAATCCCTGATGGCATCGACGTTGAGCTTGAACCACATGAAAGCAGTTCAGACTGGCACTACCGATCAGAGAGCAATCTTAATGCTCCCATAGTAAGTAATGTGTCCTGCGGACGGCCGGGTGGATGTTGTAGAGACCCTCCAAAGACAAAAGAGAAGGATTCATCATCCGACGAGTCTTCAAAATTATCAGATGCGTCATCTGAGGTTGAGACCACATCGGAAAGCTCGGTTCCCGACGATAACGAGAATGAAATACCTATTGATGGAGCATCGTATGGAAAGCCCATGAAATCGAGGGAGAAAGACCCGGCCAATGGAACGACAGTCGTTGGGACAAAAGCCACTTCTGGGCTTGATGCACCACCTCCGAAGACCAAAGAAGGTTATCCGCAGATCACATTCATCCCTTATTCGCCAGACACAGAGCTTATATTCCCGCCTGCGTTGAAAAAGTATCAACATCAAGCATTACTATTTGGCAATGAGACACATGTATGGCTTCGCCCAGTCACGATGGAGCAGCTTCTTTTGATTAAGGACGCCTACCCTGAAGCGAAGATGGTTGGTGGAGCTAGCGAAGTCCAGGTCGAGATTCGGTTCAAGAACTCCTCATTCCCTATTTCAGTCTATGTCAACGACGTCGAAGAGCTTCGTGGTCTGGAAAACAATTATGATGTTATCGAGAATTTAGACTCCATAATAGAAGTTATTCTTGGTGCTAACGCATCGCTAACCGAGGTGGAGAGGATATGTAAAGATCTGTCTCTCAAACTTGGAAAGAGAGGAACTGTACTGGAAGCTGCTCGAAAGCAGCTGCGATATTTTGCTGGGCGACAAATTCGCAATGTTGCTTCACTTGCAGGCAACATTGCCACCGCTTCCCCAATTTCGGATATGAACCCAGTTCTACTGGCTGCTGGAGCTACATTGACTGCTCAAAGCAAGGCTAACGGAAAGATGACATTACCCATGTCGACTTTCTTCACTGCGTACCGAAAGACCACACTGCCTCCAGACGCAGTAATCACCCATATCCACATTCCGCTTCCAGCTCCGGGGGTAAAGGAGATCACTAAAGCATACAAGCAAGCGAAGCGAAAAGACGACGATATTGCTATTGTGACAGCTGCGTTTAGAGTCAGAATCGACGACGAGGGCCTGGTCTCCGACGTCTCTTTGGCATATGGTGGTATGGCACCCAAAACAATAGAAGCTAGGGCCACAATAGAGGTTCTGAAGGGGCGAAAATGGCACAGCTCAGCCACACTTCAAGGAACCATGAGCTCACTTGCCCAAGAGTTTAATCTCAAATTTGGTGTTCCTGGAGGAATGGCAACCTACAGAAGAACGTTAGCCATGTCTATGTTCTTCCGATTCTGGCATGAGACAATAGCAGGCTTTGGATTGGGCAAAGTCGATCCCAGTCTCGTACAGGAGATTCATCGTAGCATCTCCACAGGCCATCGGGACAATTACAATCCACATGAGCAGCGAGTAGTTGGCAAACAGGTCCCTCATCTCTCGGCGTTGAAGCAAAACACCGGCGAAGCGCAGTACATTGACGATATGCCAAAAGCAGACCGAGAGCTCTATGGTGCGATGGTTTTGTCAAGTCGAGCGCACGCCAAGTTGGTAGAGGTTGATTGGTCGCCTGCTCTCGGTCCTGGACTTGCCGTTGGATACGTGGACAAGCATGATATTGCTCCAGAAGCGAATCTTTGGGGATCTGTGGTGAAGGATGAACCATTCTTTGCTGATGGAGAAGTGTTCTCACATGGTCAGCCGATCGGATTGGTATTTGCGGAAACTGCTCTTCAAGCTCAAGCTGCTGCCCGAGCTGTGAAAGTTGTGTATGAGGATTTGCCTACCATACTTACCATTGATGAGGCCATCCAGGCGAAAAGCTTTTTCAAGCATGGGAAAATTCTCAAGAAGGGAATTGCACTTGAAGACAGGATGGACGATGTCTGGTCAAAGTGTGATCAAGTGTTTGAAGGGACGACGAGAATGGGCGGGCAAGAACATTTCTACCTTGAGACAAACTCAGCATTGGTAATCCCGAATAGAGAAGAGAAATCCTTCGAAGTGTGGTCATCAACACAGAACACGTAAGTCTCTTTCTCCCATTTTCCCATTCTCCTGGACCCACTAACACATTTAAACAGGATGGAAACCCAAGAATTCGTTGCGCAAGTTACCGGCGTGCCAAGCAATCGAGTCAACGCTAGAGTAAAACGTCTAGGAGGTGCATTTGGCGGCAAAGAATCACGGAGTGTCCAACTTGCATGTCTCCTTGCTGTGGCAGCAAAGAAATCGAATCGACCAATTCGCTGCATGCTGAATCGAGACGACGATATGATGACATCAGGACAGCGACATCCAGTGCAAGCCCGCTGGAAAGTAGGTGTGAAGAAGGACGGCACACTTATTGCCCTCGAAGCTGATGTGTACGATAATGCTGGATACTCGCAAGATATGTCTGGAGCTGTGATGGACAGATGTTGCACGCATTTGGAGAATTGCTACGAGATTCCACATGTGCTTATTAGAGGACATGTCTGCAAAACAAACACGCACAGTAACACCGCATTCAGAGGCTTCGGTGGACCACAGGCTATGTTCATTACGGAAAGCTTTATGTCTGCTGTCGCCGAAGGATTAGATATCCCCATTGATGACTTAAGGTGGAAGAACCTTTACAAAGAGGGACAACTTACGCCCTTCTTACAGAAGATCGACGAAGATTGGCATGTCCCAATGCTGCTAGAGCAGGTCAGAAAAGAGGTCAACTACGACGCTCGCATAGCAGCAATTGAGAAGTTCAATTCAGAGAACATATGGAAGAAGCGGGGCATCTCCATGATCCCAACCAAATTCGGCTTGAGTTTCGCAACAGCTCTGCATCTAAATCAAGCTGGAGCTAGTGTCAAAATCTATGCAGATGGTTCCATCTTGCTACACCATGGAGGAACTGAAATGGGACAAGGACTATACACGAAAATGTGCCAAGTAGCAGCCCAAGAACTCAACGTTCCTCTCGATGCTATCTTCACCCAGGATACTACGACCTATCAAATTGCTAATGCCTCGCCAACGGCTGCATCATCAGGCAGCGATCTTAATGGAATGGCTGTCAAAGATGCTTGTGATCAACTGAATGAGCGCTTAAAGCCACTCAGAGAGAAATATGGCCAAGATGCACCAATGAAGACTCTCGCTCATGCAGCATATCTCGAGCGAGTGAACCTTGCTGCTAACGGTTTCTGGAAAATGCCAAAGATTGGATATGTCTGGGGCAATTACGATGCTAAAACCGTGAAGCCTATGTATTATTACTTCACTCAGGTATGTTCCCACATCACATCTTAAGTAGCTTTCTAATAGAATGCACAGGGAGTAGCCGTCTCAGAAGTCGAACTCGACGTCCTAACAGGAGACCACACCGTCCTCCGCACCGATATAAAAATGGACATCGGCCGTAGCATCAACCCCGCCATCGACTACGGCCAAATCGAAGGCGCCTTCGTGCAAGGCCAAGGTCTATTCACCATGGAAGAAACGCTCTGGACCCGAGACGGGCAACTCGCTACCCGTGGACCAGGCACCTACAAGATTCCCGGCTTCAGCGACATCCCCCAAGAATTCAACGTTAGTTTCTTGCAGGGAGTCAGTTGGCATCATTTGAGAAGTATTCAGAGTAGTAAAGGAGTGGGTGAGCCGCCGCTTTTCCTGGGGGCTACGGTGCTGTTTGCGTTGAGGGAGGCGGTTAAGAGTGCGAGGAGGGATAATGGGGTTGAGGAGCCGTTGGTTTTGGATAGTCCGGCGACGGCGGAGAGGTTGAGGTTAGCGATTGGAGATGAGATCTTGAAGAAGGGGATGGTTGTTCCGGAAGAGGGAGAGACGAACTTTTTTGTTGCTGTTGCGTGAGGGGGTGTGCCAGCCATGTTGGATATGTTATGTGAGGCTTTGTATTCCAAGACTGCCACCAAATAGCCACTTCAAATTGGAAAGTGCAAAGCGTTCCGCCACAAAATCATTTCCATATTCCTCCTACACAGCAAAGAGGTTTGTCTGGTTGATCACTCTAACTATCAACAGTACTGCAAGTCTATCTATCTCCAGCGCAAACACTCATTTTGACGTCTCTGACCTCTTTGCCCTGTGAATATCACCTCAACCACCCCTCGCCTCGGCCCGCTTCATCTGATCCCCTATCACACGGCATACTCAACACGGCAATCCTCGCCTCCCGACACCATTTACGTTCCTGGCAAGCAACCTTGATTTCTTTTGAATCTTTCCTGCCTACATCCTCCTCACATCACTTTTCTTGTCCTTTGATTTCGATCCTTGAGTAGTGACGGCTTTCTCTCCCTCTCTGTCAAATTCGGGTTTCATCCTCTTCCTCCTCCTCCTCCTGCTTCTGCTTCTGCTTCTCCTCTCCTTATTCAATTCTTTCCAACTCCCCTCATAAACCCTCCCTCACACCATCAATCCCCCATCTACCTCTTCACTCCACCCGGCCCGTCCACCCCACTAACCTTACCATCCAAGATACCCGAAAACGAAAGAAAAGCGAGAAAGTCAAAGCACATTCTAACTTCCCGCACAGACGTCTCTTGTCCGTGCACCACCCTCCCTCGCCTCCCTTCTTCCTTCTCTCGCGTGCCCTTTTCCCCTCTCACGTCATGTAGATGTCCTGTGCGATTTGGGATTTACGATGCGGCTCGGAACATCGAATGGTTTAGCTTGGGGGATTGTTTTTTCTGGTTTTCTGTCTTAGGTATGGAGGTTTGGACGAGGGAGGTTGAGGGGGATGTGAGGTAAGGTGAGTTGTGGTTTTGAACACTTCCCCAGGAGACAGTAGACTTTGTGTGTTTGTGTAAGGAGTAAACTCTATCCCATCTCTCGTTCACTCATGCATTCAATAACAAACAAGTAGTTCGTAAATTCCCCCTCCGTCCCTCCGTCCTCCTCACCTTTTTCTCATTAATATATACCCTCCCCCTCCACGCGCTCATCCCATCCCATCTCCTCCCCAGTCCCTGCCTCCCAAAAATCATGCATAACACAACAACCCAAATGTAACCTCGAGGCTGAGCCCCCTTCAAGAAGAAAAGGCTGAATGCCCTAATACGACGCTGTGGCTTGTCGCGTTTCGGACCTACCCGGCTTTACGGTATGGGATAAGCTTGATTTGGAGGGAGCGTCGCAAGGCAGATTTCTTTGGGATTTCGGGATTTTGGGGTTCTGGAAGGGTGTTCGTTAGAGGGGGATGAATGGGGATTTGGAAGTTGGGAGTTTCGTAGTTTCTTTTGCTGTTTTGAAATCAACGTGTATCACACAAAATAAACAAAGATAGCAGTGCTGTATGTAGGATGTTGAATTGTTCAATTCTATAGACATGCAACAGCTTGCTATGTGGATTCGGCGGCCGTGGTATTCAAGCCCATCCATCCAACCACCCATCCTCATCTAGAGATCCTCCTCTTCCACCAAATCCAAGAGGAGACAGATCGCCACCACACAAACAACAAGATTAGCCCAATCAATTCTTGAGAATGGACGCCGCTGTAACTTAAACAAGAACAAATTTCTGCAAAAGACGCCACCATGATCGACTCGAGAGAGGTAAAAACAAGAAGAGGAAAAAAGGCCGAAATGCTGTAAATGCGCGGATAGAACATTAGAATTCCTCCCATTTGCGCAGGCGCTCCGAGAAACAGAAATGCTTCAATCATGTACATGGATGGGGTTCGGAGGACAATAGGTACTGGAATTGATTTGTGTATTCTTCGTTGAAGGGTATCTGGTGTGTGAGGGAAAATAGGCTTCGTGGAGGTCGTCATGGCGTTTTGAATTATAGAGGTCTTCAGATCGAAGTCAGCGGCCGTGTATGGAAAAGGTTTTCCCATCCGGCCAACCATTCAGTTCTGGAGAGAACTCTCGAGAGCTTCGTGATATCGGATTTTCAAAGATAGAAAATGTGGGAGAGATCTCGAGATCTTCAATGATATCGGATGCCTCTCCTGGAAAAGTGAGACAGAGATAATGTGCTCACAAAATCAACTTTTGCAGGTTCTTCTGGATGATCATATCCTGGACCGAAGCCATCGTGACCTTGAGCAAATCCGTGTCGGTAGCATTCGTGAAATGCGAATACACTTCTCGACCTGGACTTCGGTTCAATGCCACGAATTTATCCATGAAGTATTTGCTGGTCTGTTGCGCGTCCTTGGTATCACCCTGGAAATCGGAGAAACCAAATTTTGTAATCGGGCTATGTGCAACCTTGGCCTTGAAAAGATCCATCTTGTTCAAGAAGAGAATAAGCGCCGAGTTCTTGAACCAATGAGAGTTTGCAATTGACTCCCACAGCATAAGAGCTTCCTGCATTTGATTCTGCAAAAGTTAGCATCTCCACCTGAAATCCTCTCCAACAGCACTCACCCCATCTTTATCCTCTGCTAAGCATTGGTCATAACCACTGATTGCGACCAAGAACATTAATGCATTAACATTTTCGAAGCAATGAATCCACTTTTTTCTCTCCGATCTTTGCCCACCCACATCAAACATTCTGTATTGTAAAGAGCCGAGATCGAAGACAGTCTCGGTAATGCCGGTGGTACGAAGTCGTGCGCGAAGAACGTCCTGGTCGGTGGGGATGAATTCCTTGCTAAATAATCGATCAAGGTCAATGAAGAAGCTGTTTTGTTTCGTCAGCAATCTGTAACCATTCGCAGACAGCAGGAGGCATACTAGCTCAGATTATCGTGCAGCGCAAATTCGTTGCCTCTCTCGATAGCTCTTTGAATTCCTGGGTCTTTCCACATGTCCTTGAAAGCTCGTAGATATTCGGTGGGGATGGGTTCGTACGGTCGAAGGTCTTTCTCTTGCATGATTACAGGAAGATGTACCTGCTGCCGATGTTAATACAACTCCTGATCTGTAGACGACTGGCACACGTACGGTTGTATTATCGTACTCAAACCCGATATTGAATTCCTCCATCGCATCGATACACATCCGTAGACCGTCGAGGATATTGTTGAAGATGATGACCCGCCATTCCTCCTTCTCGTTCTTGGTGAAGCCATCCTTTGTGTAGATCAATCGCATCTGCTTCAGGATCGTCGATTTCCCGCTCTCTCCAGCTCCTGCATTCCGCCATCGTAGTTAGCTATGATCGACGATATTTGCGATGTGGTTGGCGGGTTGGATTTGGATGGCTTACCCAATAGCAAGAGCTTGACTATCTTCTGCATCTGCTTCTCGTCCCGGTGGATGAGAGCATCGATCTCCCGGCTCCTCTTCGCCTCACTGTCGTCCCTACCACCGAAACACATCTTGGATATTGGCGCAATGATGAATATGGGGTGTGGTCGAGGATTGGTGTTGCATCTGCGCCGCAGCAGCGGGGACGGAAGTAGTTGGTGGTGGTGGGTTCTGGAAAGTTGAGTTTGTATCCGGAGGTCGAAGTGTGTATCAAGAAGAAAGGTTGCATGCAAGCATAAAGGGGATTTTGTCCTATGCTTGTCAGCACGCAGTCTTGTTAGAGGGTCTGCAGCGCACTGACTCTGCAGTCGTTGGACCACGTCCAGAACGGAGAACTATGATGAGGCTGGGATTAGCAGCAAATGGCCGATGAAGGATCAGTGGAGACTGCCAGAAGAAGTGTCGATTATGGTTGTTTCTGGTATGAAGGAAGCTCGAGTCAGGCTCTGGCCGTAGGGTTGACGAGAGGGTTTGTTCGGTGGTGGAATGAGTAGTGGAGTTCTTCGAGGAGAGAGCCGGGTTTGCAGACTTTGGTCAGGGGAAGGATCGTAAGGATGAAGAACTGTCGTTGCCGAAGCCAGTAAAATTTACGGAGCCACCAGTGGCCCTGGTTCTCGTGTATTGAAAGAGTCGCAGCAATTGCGTGGAAAGCGACGGGGAAGGCCGTGGGGTGGAACAATAATAGTGTACAGTAGCAATTATCCAGGCCACAAGGCCGATATTAACCTACCAGGTAAATTGAGGCAGCACGAAAAGCGAGCGAGATGACGAGCAGCAACAATAACGGCGAGGGGTGTTTCGGTATGGGAATGGGGGGAGCTTGGCGTGCCACGGCCACGGCGAGAAGGATATAATTGCAGGGCAATAAGCTCCCAACGAACGGTAGTGCCGGAGAGTCGAGTCAGAAAGGCAAGAACTACAGAGTCGGAGGAAGTGAGGATCAAGGCCAGGGCACGATGATTATCAGAAATAATGCAACAACAGACGATTCACGCAGGATAAAACGGAGTGCATCTGCAGCTGCAGCTGCCGTTCGTTCTTTTGGGGGCCCTTTGATACCTTGATACCTTGATACCTTGCCGGCACAACTCATGCAATCCTCTCCGAGGGCATATGAGGCTTGGTGGTGTAGTGTGGTGTAGCTGTGTAATCCAGGCACACGAACTTTGACACGATACGAAGCGATATGATAGGGAGCAGGCGAAGCTATGGGGTGTCACGAGAGGATGCTATGAGAAGAAGGAGGAGGAGGAGGAGGAGGAATGGGGGATGGCTGCCGGACTATCTGAAGTCTGGAACGGGAGGGTATTGGGCCACCCGCAACGCATGGCATATGGCATACAGATGGCAATGGCGGGCGATACCAACGGCAATCCGGTAGTGTGGTGTCAGAAGTCAATGTTTCTGAGACAAAAATACTTTCAAAACATGAGACATCGACTCTGATAGGCAGACCCGAATGTGTGTGTGTGTGTGTGTGCGCGTGTGTGTCAGTTGAGTTGAGTTGAGTGATTGCGTTGGTGGTGTGTTGAAGTTGTACGGAATATTTCTCTTCAACCAACGAGCCCAGGACGGACAAGGAGGCCACGCTGCACTGCACCACACTAAATTGCGGGACAAGAGCAGCCTGAGGAACTCCACCAGGGAAAGCTCAATTGGGCAATCAGTAGTTCCCTGTCTAGCGCTGCAGGCTCGTGGCTTCTGAATGTGGTTCTAGTGCGGATAGTGGGTTCAGTGTCGGTCATCGGGAGGAGTTTGTCAGGCCGCAATCGACCGGGCAAGCAATCTAAGCAGAGCTTCAAGCAAAAGCAGAAAAAAAAAATTCACAGTTTGTTTTATGCCTCACACCAGATTGTTTTCTACATAGGCACTCACTCTCTCCCATCTCAATTCTTCTCAACTTCTTCTCTTCCTGCTACCATACTTCGCGGGCCTCTCTCCATTGTCTGCTGGTCATCCGTCAGAACCTTCTTTTCATACCTGTCACTGTCTTACCACCGCAGATCCATCAACATGTCAGAGATCACCCACCCCACTATCAAGGGTAAGAAACATCGCCATTTCCTTTTTCTTCTCAAACCACCTCCTGAATCTGCCTACCCGAGACCACACAAAGAACAAAAACACCATCTCGACGCCATCCTGCTGCAGATCAAGACCTGGTCGCAGTGAGGCATTCACCGCAGCCCGGGGCGGGTGTTTCTCAAGCTTCAAATGTGGTGTCGACCGGGTTTTACGTGCCCTCTACGCGCATCTGCAATTGCAAACTGCCACCACTTTACCCGAGATTGATTCGACCCTGCCAAACCTAGTCCACCACGCTGACAATCAATTTATTCATAGATGGCTGGTTCCGCGAGATCTCCGATATGTGGCCGGGCCAGGCCATGACCCTCAAGGTCAAGAATGTCCTCCATCACGAGAAGAGCAAGTATCAGGATGTCCTCATCTTCGAATCGACCGACTATGGGACCATCTTGGTGCTCGACAATGTCATCCAGTGCACCGAGCGAGACGAGTTTGCATACCAGGAGATGATTACCCACTTGGCCATGAACTCGCACCCAGCGCCGAAGAAGGTGTTGGTAATTGGTGGCGGCGACGGAGGCGTCCTTCGAGAGGTCATCAAGCATGAATGTGTCGAGGAAGCCGTGTTGTGCGACATTGACGAGGTATGCGGGTGCTCAATATGCCGGCAATGTTCTACAACTAAAACGTGTGACAGGCTGTTATCCGTTTGTCCAAGAAGTACCTCCCCGGAATGGCAATTAGCTACCAACACCCCAAGGTCAAGGTCCACGTTGGAGATGGATTCAAATTCCTGGAGGACTACAAAAACTGCTTCGATGTCATTATCACCGACTCTTCGGATCCCGAAGGCCCGGCCGAGGCTCTCTTCCAGAAGCCATACTTCGAGCTGCTCCATGGTGCCTTGACCGAGAAGGGCGTTATCACTACCCAAGGTTGTATGTTCTCCTATGTCTTCGCTCAGATCTAGTGATCCTCTGCTTTCGGCTTTTGATTTTGTCTTCCTATTCTTTTTTAATACCAATTTCGTTTTGCAAAATTGTTGCTCTTGCTTTATTTCACTCTTCTTTGCATGTTATTACAGCTCGGAAGCTAATACATCTGCAGCCGAGAACCAATGGCTTCACCTTCCTCTGATCACTCAGCTCAAGAAGGATTGCAAGCAGGTGTTCCCCAATGTCGAATACGCATACACTACCATCCCAACTTACCCCTCGGGCCAGATTGGCTTCATGGTGTGCTCCAAGGATGCGTCTGTGGACCTCAAGACCCCACTACGAAGCTTCTCGGCAGAGGAGGAAGAAAAGCAGATGCGATACTACAATGCCGATATCCACAAGGCCAGCTTCGTACTTCCAACCTTCGCCCGCAAGGCCTTGAGATAGGTTGTTTCGAAAAGTAGAGGAAATTGGGATTGGCAAGGGCGGCTGTATTTTGGAAGGATTCATCATGATACCAGGACGGTTATGAACGTGGAAAGTGACACAAAATGATGGCTGATGACACAAAAGTCTTTTTTTGACGGGCACTGGATTTTGCTAGACGGCGAGACATGATGACATTTGCAGATAGATATGTCATCTAAGTCCGTTTCACCAATTGCAGCGCAGACTTTCTAATCGCACTACGCTGGTGGCTGACTCCTAGTGACATTTTTATTTTTATGGGCTGAGACCTTACACCGCTGAAGACCGTTGCAACTCGTGGGGGCAGAGTCCAAAAAATAGCTTGTCTGTCATATTTTGAGCCTCACTCAACCCCTGAAAATTCGGATCGGCCCCTGATCCGACTTTAGGGCCTCGGCTCCGAAGCTCAACCTCCACTATCGGCTTATCCCACTTCTCGATAACAACATCGTCATGGTGGAAGATGTACAAAACGCTGGGTACTTTCCGAACCTTCTTCTCTCCTGCTCAGAGAGATTTCGTTTCCCGTAGATCCATTGCCAGCATGTCGAAATTACTCAAGAAGCCCGTCAAGCTCGCCTTGATACAGCTTGCCAGCGGTTTGTCATCCCCATCTTTCCCCTCAGTGACACTGATACTGACAATTGAACAATCCAGGCGCAGATAAATCCCACAACCTCACCCACGCACGAGACAAAGTCCTCTCCGCCGCCCAATCCGGCGCCGGCATCGTCGTCCTGCCAGAATGTTTCAACTCGCCCTACGGCTGCGACTACTTCCCCTCGTACGCCGAAACCCTGCTCCCCTCCCCACCAACACCCTCCCAATCGCCCTCCTTCCACGCCCTGTCCGCCATGGCGAAAGAGGCGCACGTCTACCTAATCGGTGGCTCGATTCCGGAACTCGATACCGAGACCAAAAAATACTACAACACGTCCCTGACGTTCGGGCCCAGCGGGGATCTACTAGCTACGCATCGCAAGGTACATCTTTTTGACATCGATATACCCGGCAAGATCACGTTTAAGGAGTCTGAGGTGCTATCGCCCGGGAATAAGGTTACGATTGTGGAGTTTCCCGAGTATGGGAAAGTGGCTATAGCGATCTGCTACGATATCCGGTTCCCGGAGCTGGCGATGATAGCCGCGCGCAAGGGGGCCTTTGCGTTAGTTTATCCAGGCGCGTTTAATACGACGACGGGGCCGATGCATTGGAAATTGCTGGGGCAGGCGAGGGCGGTGGATAATCAGGTTTATGTGGCGTTGTGTAGTCCGGCGAGGGACGAGGACGCGAGTTATAGGGCGTGGGGACATAGTTTGGTTTGTGATCCGTTGGCGGAGGTTTTGGTGGAGGCGGGGGAGAGGGAGGAGACTGTTTTGGTGGACTTGAGTGGGGAGAAGATTGAGGAGAGTAGGAAGGGGATTCCGGTTTATGGGCAGAGAAGGTTTGATGTTTATCCGGATGTTAGTAAGGGGGAGGTCAGGTTTGAGGATGAGGTTTGAGGTAATTTGATGAAAGAATTTGCAACCTCTGGTGCTCATAGTCTCCTGCTCTAGATATCTCGAGCTCCTGAGAAGTCTTGGGAGTCGGGTGAGTGAAAGCTATGGACTGCTCGTAGCTTTATACGATTCTCTAGGGTGATCTACAAGTGTCGCCTCACTTGGCATGAAAGAGCTTGATGAAAGATCTTGCACAGGATTGTTGCCTTTTCAGCCATGTCAGCATTACAAATGAGCAATTCAGATCAACATCAGTTCCTTCACCCAAGTTCGGTTCCCTCCATCGCTCCTTCCTCGACCATACATATGCATTAACCTAAAGCTATAGCGAGTGCTTTCCTATTTTGATTGCTTACTTCTATTCATTTTTCTTTGCAAATCACAATCTCCTAAATTAACAATCACACTCTTTTTCTTACCTCGTCATTCATCCTGTCTTTGCATTTATTCATTACCTCTCATCCAGCTTCTGCTGGATACAGTCATTACCTTCACCTCAAAATCATCATTAAATGATAGCAGATCTCGATGGGCCAGTCGAAGTGACGGTCCGATCACGATCCACGACAGCTGGAAGCACTGGTCTCGACTACTCTAGCTGTTACCGAGTGGACGAGGACATTATATCGCGGATTCGAGCACTCATCCTGTCGAGAAATGATCATCACCCGCCATTAACACCACACAACTCGGACGAGCACGGCAGCCCCGCAGACTTTGCTTCTGTGTTCGACTTTACCTCTGCGAAGAGCATAGCTAGATCTGCCCGCGAAGAAGCTGGTCGATTACCCGTTCCTGACATTAGGAGAAGGCACAGAAGTACTCCATCCAACATGGATGGACGAAGAGACACTCATGCAACCCTCCCTATCATCAATTTACCTACGCCGCCCCTACGCAATGTCAATTCTGCCGACGATGTCAAAGCAGCTATTGGGCCTTTCACAGATCCCTTACCTGCTGGTTCCAAGAAGAAGTTTCGTCTGCCGAAACTGGTTCTGCAAGATAAGAAGAAACGGGATCCAGAAATGAGATCTTGCATCGAGATCAGTCGGCGAATACCATCCAACGACGCTCAAATACACGAAGACGAGCTCAATTGCTGTCCGCCCTGCGACCCTCCAGATGCCAAACCTTCTAAATACATCATTACCAATCCGAAGCTGCAAGGTCCAGAATTCAAGATCGAACCAGCAGATCTGGCATGTTTCTTAGCTGGATGTCCTCCTGGCCGTGCCAACTGCGAGAAACATAGTCGTCGAAGACGATCCAACATCAATTTCAAAGAGTCGATGTTTCAGGCACGCAATATGCCGAATGATTTCAGAGCTGTTGCAGAAGGACTCAGACAAGATGTCGCTAGATTGGGTCTCTCTTTGCAGGGCGTGCCAGTCAAGATCCCCCAAGTAGTTGATGTGCCAGACAAGGTTGCCGAATCGCAGAAGCAGGTGGATAGCAAACTTCAGCAACCCGAGTACAAGACTAAGCTTCGTTCTCGCAAGAATACCAAGTCTCCGATTGCCATCTCTCCAACAAGTCCAGTTAGCTCTGGTTCTATGGACGCTTTCCCACTTGCTGCTCACTATATGGAACTTGCAGCTATGGAAAGCCAGCCTCGCTTCTCTACAACGATTGCAACCAATTTCAGCTTGCCAGGGTATAAGGATAAGGGGAAGTCGAAGCGTGCCTCAGTTATTCTACGCCACAAGCTATCAGACAGCTCACTTGCATACAAGGACAAGGCGACGAACCAAGCTCAGAGCATAGATGGCATTGCGTTCCCTCGGTCGTCTGATGGTTCCGCGACGCAAGCCAAGAATGAAAGCGACAATCCTAAGGAGTCGAACGGCTCAGAATCAAAGGAGGAATTCAGCTTACCGACTGGTAACAAGACTGGAGAGCCAGCAGTAAGCTCACGACCTTCGGAACTTTCTTTGAGTTCAACAAAACCACTCATAAGCGAGTCAATACGCAACAGGGCTTCTGAGGCATCCTTGAAATCTAAGTCATATACCCCTTCCTTGCTTTCAGGCGCTTCAAGAACATCTGGAGCTCGTCATGCACTTCTCAAGCCGTCTGTAACTCAGTCTCAACCGGTTGATACTGGACTTCCTGTGCCTCCTATCCTGACGCCGAGTCCTGCGGAAGCTATTGGTCAAAGTCCTCCAAGTAAAGAAGAAGTTATTCTCGAGAGAAAAACTGCCCCGAAATCTGCTCCGAACGAGGCTGAGGAGTCAGACATGAAAGACGACGCGCCTCGAGACAATGCCGACGAAGACAAAAGCACTCCTTTACCTTCGAACAAATCCACTAAGCCAGTCCTTTCCTCTGCTGCTGCAGATCATCTTGCGAATCTGCAAAAAGCGAAAGAACTTGTCGACAGCGTAAAGGGACAGATCCAGCAAGTCGAAGAACAAATGCGCAAAGCAATTGTCAAACAGAATGTCAACCTTCCTGAGGTTCAAGAAATGGGAGATCCTTGTGATGTGGATCCGTCTGAGAAGCCCTCCTTGGCAAGGAACGGCAAGAACTCTGCTATGACATCTCCAAAATCTCATCTTTTGGAAGATTGCTTATCACCAACTGAAGAGAAAGGCCCCGAGTTGTCCACGATTCTAGCTCCTGTTGACAACTCTCCATCCCAAGATCCATCGAAGGTGAATTTGGTGATGAAGGACCCTCCAAAGGACGCCGACGGCCGTACTGATGATGATGGATTGATTTCCCCGAAATTTACAAGTCCTAAAATTAAGAATAGTGGGCAAGTTTCAGTATCACCAGCTTCACTCAACGCAACTTATTGGGGCTTCGTTCCGGCTGTCAAAGAAGCCGTACAGGATGCAGTCGAGGTCGCTGTTCGTAATGCTGTACAGGACATCGTCGTTCCAGCTGGTTCAGCACAAGACGAAGCGTCTGACGCGTATCGGAAGCTGATGGCAGACTCTCTAGCTCAAGCTGCTCAAAAAGCCGATGACTATCTGCGTAAAGCATCTCTTTGGAATCATCCGTCGTCTACGCCTCGAGACTCCGAAGGTACTGTCATCTTCACAAGTCGTCTCACACAACCCACATCCGTGGTTGCGATGTCTGCAGCAGATCCCACCAGTCAAGGCGGACAACGATCTCGAAGTCCAAGTACTGTTACGAAGAATCAGGAGAATGAAACGAACCCAATAGTCGATAAAGCGGGGTCTACCACTTCACCAGGTACATCAGGAAAATACGGACGCATTGGAGCTGTTCCAGCGAATTTTCAGTCCAACCAAAATCTGACAGTCCTCCCGGGCGTTACTTCGCCAGGCGAGCTGGAAACAATTCCTCTCGAAAATGTTGACAAGTTTGACACTGGTGAGGATATGCCAGGTTGGAAGCTGTCCAAAGCTTTCAAGAGGGGCTATACTCCCATACCGACAAGAAAGTCCTCCCAGAATCGTGTTCTCAGCCCAAAGACTTCAGCTACGAACTCGATCTCCAAGTTCTCGCCAAAAGGGACAGTTGGCGCCCCTGTCAGGAAACGATCATTTGAGCGTTTAATGTCCAAAGCAGGTCGAGGCCTACGTTCAATCTCTTCAGCTGGTTCACTGCGGAGTGCTGGCTCTGACAAGAATGACGAAGAAAAACTGCTGCCTTCGAAGCCAACACCGCCTCAGAATGGAATCTCCAAATTGAGTACGCAATCGTCTCCGCCTAGGAAGCTAAGTCGGAAGAATACAGTTCACTGGCTCCGAGAACTATTGTCTAGCAATGGTCCGTACGAATCGCGCTTTACAGCTCTGCCACCCCGTACCCGCAGGGACTACGAGGCTCTGAACAAACCACCCAGGTCAATGACTGCTCCGACGGGACATATCTCGGAGCTGTACGTTGGAAAGACTCCGGAACCAGCTATTCCCAAGCCTGTTGTTTCCAAAGACAAGCGAGGAAAAAGGACTGATCCGTCAGAAATGTTTTCGAAGACTATCAATGATCTTGAGAATCTGATGAATGAAGCACTGTTTATCGCTCGACAGGCAGCTGACAACCAAGATCCTGCATATGCTCCGACGCTGCTTGGTAATGCTGTTCGCATTTTGAAAGGTGGTAGGAAGAAGGAGACTGATGCGGAAGTCAAAGCTCGCTTGGAGGCTGAGCGTAGACGCTTGAGAATTGCTGCGCTTCGTTGCTCCGAGGAGTCGAGCGATGCCAGTGTTCATGAGAGTCTATTGAGCTATTCAGGCTCTAGTAATTCTGACACTGAGGAGGGAGACGAAGAGTCTTATGAGCCCGCTCGGCGCAGCATCAAAGTTGTATCGGTCACAGGTCCATCTCGACATGCTTCCGGATGGCCCCCAACTGGACGTATATCAACTCCCTTTCCTCCAGCATCTATCCCTCCTTCTCGCGAATCACCTCTTGCAGACAGCCCCTCTGCGATTGGCAAGGACTTGAGCAACGTTGTTTCTGACCGTCTTCGAAGTGCTGATCCAAGATCCATGCCACTTGAGACAGACATGGAAGTTCAGAGGATAAGTAGTGTGCAATATCCGGACGGTAAGGACACAAGGGTGCCTAGCAGTTCTGCGACTCGGAAGATGTCTGTATTCATTCCTCCGCCTGATCCTCAGGCAATCTCTTCAAGTGAGCATAGTCCGTCATCATTGGTAAAGCCTGAATTCAGAAATCTCGAGCCATTCAGCGAGCCCTCTGAGAAGGTTGATAGTCGAAAAAGCTCTGAAAAGTCCCCGAGACGTCTCAGCCCAGCAAGGAAGAGCATAACTTACGAAGTTAACAGCGACCCTATTGCAAACGAGTCTGGAGACGTGGTACTAGACCTTTGCGGAGATCCAATGCCGCGTAACAAGACAATGCCTCTCCCAAAGCCCACGCCTCAAGGTGGTAGCTTGTCACAAAATCCTCAAGATGGACATTCTCTCGAACAACATCAAGCGGTAGCTTCCAAGCTTGCTTCGAAATCTGTGCCAAGTAAAAGAGAGGTACGTGATTACATCATACAGCGCAAACATCCTCCCATTACTCCTCGTTCAAGCTCTCTTGCTTTAAGGCAACAAGCTGAGCAGCAGCAGATCCTAAATGCCAAATCTGGTCAGACTGCTGCTACACGCCAGACTGGCGCCACAGGGCAGACATACAACTGGCAAGATATGGATATCAGTAAAATGCCTACCGAGTTCGCAGAGCCACAACCAGAAACTCGGGCAACAGCATCGGGAACTGACTTGGTGGAACGATTTATGGATCGTGACCGACATGGCTATTCGCACAGTCTTGACGGTTCTCTAGCCGAACATAGCGAAGTCTTGGATTTTGAGACTGGCTATGGAGTCAGGCAACGAAGTGGAGCACAAGCGGGAGGAAGCAGACCGCTTCAAGCTATTGAGTTGCAGGACAAACCCGATCCAAACTTGCCTCAAACGACGAAGCCCAGTAACGAGAAGAAGAAGCACGTATTTAGCCTTGGTGGTAAACGTCATCTCAGTTTGAGAAGTCAACATCTCAAAGGCTTCAGTTTCACGAGATCACACAAACGGCAAGCAATTGCGCGGGACTGGTCTCCAGGACGAAAACGATTCGTAGCATCTGTTTCATGTCTCAGTACTGCACTGATTGGGATCATCGTTGGCATTTATGCTGGAGAAACACCTGCCATTCAGTACTACATTGTCGACTTCCATCACTATACCGTCCTCGGAAACGTTTTCTTTTTCATTGGCCTTGCCGTTCCGACCTTCTTGTTTTGGCCTCTGCCATTGTTGCATGGACGAAAGCCTTACATCCTCGGATCAATGTCGCTGGCAATGCCGTTGTTGTTCCCACAAGCACTTGCGGTCGGCGAATTCAGATCCCCATATGTTGCTGTATGGCGTATTGGCTTGATCATGCCTCGAGCATTGATGGGATTTTGTCTTGGCTTCGCTAACATGAACTTCAAAGCTATGCTCACTGATCTCTTTGGTGCCTCGCTGCAAAGCCAAAACCCTCATCAAGAGCATGTCGATGAATTTGATGTAAGACGTCACGGCGGCGGTATGGGAGCTTGGCTTGGTCTTTGGACGTGGTGCAGCATCGGATCCATTGGCTTCGGCTTCATGATTGGCGCTCTTATCATCAACCACCTGCCACCTGCTTGGGGATTTTATGTCTCTATTGCCATCATTGCATTTGTCATGCTGCTTAATGTTCTCTGCCCAGAAGTCAGAAGATCTGCATTCCGAAGATCGGTAGCGGAAGTTGTCAAGGAGAACGCGGTATCTCGCAGATTGGCTCGTGGGGAGGTCAAGATGCATATGGTTCAGTCAGGACCGAAATGGTGGGGCGAGGAGTTCCATTATGGAGTGATGCTGTCCAAGAATATGCTTCGACAACCAGGATTCCTTATCATGGCGTTGTACAATGCTTGGATCTATGGGCAAATGGTGTTGATCATCTCGGTAGGATGTCGTGTCAGTACTTACGAATAATTGCTGACTCGAGATAGCTTCTAGGTGCTTTGTTGTCTAAAGACTACAAGCTCAAGTCTCCATTGATCGGTGCCAGTGTCATGTCCCTACCAATTGGAGCGCTTATTGCTATACCTTTCCAGAAGGCATCGTTCTTCAGTCGAGCTAGGAACAAGGTCATAACTAGTGATGACGCTACTCTGAAAAAGAGATTCGCATGGTCATCGCATATGCTTCGACGTTCCATTTTCGTACTGTGCCTTCCAGTTGCTGGCATGGCTTATACTCTTTCCTCTGGAGGGCCACCGATCCCCTTCGCCTTACCTATCATCTTCGCTGGAATCATCGGATTCCTGTCCAGTCTGGCTTTAGCTGAATGCAGTGGTATCATCATGGAAACTTTCGACACTTCGGATCTTCAACCCGGTATGACTGGTCGCCCTCGTGGTTCATCAGGAGACAAAACGGCAGCCAAAAGAACGAATTACTCATCTTTTCCACGAGTTCAGTCCGCATTTGCGATGTGCTCCGGATTTGGGTACTTGATTGCTGCAGCTGCTTCTGGTGTTGGTGGCTCTCTTACTCGGCACCTTGGCCAACAAGCAGCTACAGGCATCATGGCTGGAATACTTCTTGTCCTCTCCTTACTCCTGTTGGCCACCCTCGTTCGCTTCACCGACATTCAAATCATTCCAGATTCTAAGAAAGACGAGATGGAACAATACCATCAAGCTCGCAGAGCATCAAAGATTCGTCGCGAAGAAGGAATTGAGGAAGAAGAACCTTGGCGTCCTGTCATCATCGGGAATCCTCACCATACCACCAGACGAATGTGTCTCCTCGAGCTTGGTAGCATGTCTCGATTCAGTGAGATCAGACGCAAGAACAAACTCGTCGATGAGAAGAGTCTCGAAGCCAAACATCCGAATCGTGCAGCGATTGAAGATGTTCGGCAGTACATGCACCACAAAGAGCATGAGTTGAGACACAAGGTCAGTCAAAGCTTGAGTCGAGGAGGAAGTAGAGGAAGTCGTCAGAGTAGAATGAGTGATGGTCCCGAGCAGGGTGATCTGGGTGGTCACAGAGAAATGTTGAATAGAGGGGGTTCGGGAAAAGGGAGTCGAAGGGGGGCCCCGGAGAGTGGAAGGAAAGGAACGAGCACAGCGAGGAAGGTAATCGAGGAGCACGAGTAAGAGTAAAGCCACAAAAGACCGTCACTTTCGCAGACGAGAAGGAAAACGCAAATGTAAGCATGAGGCAAAGCGAGCCCGCGAAATGGGTAGCTGGTATATTGGCCTATGGCATGGACTGTGTGTGGAAGTGGGCAGGCGCAAGAAACGGGTTGCAGTATGTAGAGGAATACGGCTCGGGCTTCGACGGGTGGTACTGGAGGAGTAGCGTTGTTTCTTCGTCTCTTACGACGCATGGTTTGAGGCTTTGATGTGTGCTACTGTTATCATAGAATGAATAGATGGTTGAATAAGCGTATCTTTTTCCGCGGCCCTAGGAGGGATGTGATGTATCATACAGTAAGGATGAACACGTGGGGGTGGTGGGGCTTGCATGGTATGGAACAGGGGGCGGCCGCCGGTGTAACTTTTTTTCTTTTTTTCTGGATGGGATCTGGGATACCCGGCGTTGGAGGAGGGGGAGAGGATTGGAGGGGGAGAGACGGATATACTTAATGTTAGTTATAGGTTTGTTGGTCTTGGATCCAACTTTTAATTAGTGTGTAGTATGTATGGATGATGTGTTGGCGGCGAGGATGAAGGACGTATCGGGATGTTTGGAGGAAGAGAGGAAAGGAAGGGCTTTGGTGGGTTGAAGATTGTGTTTGTGGGTATTGTTTGGAATTGGTGTAGATATCTAAGAGACACACTTCATGTGCTCAATGCTTGTAGTACTTTCTGCGCAATTCGCGCTAGCAGTGGAATTTTCACCTGTGAGTTTTGGATCACAGTGTTTGGATAGCTCTGGGATTGGGGTGGGAATTTTCCATAGAGAGTTGTGTGTGTGAGAGATAATGGGCTTTGTGGAATTGAGAAGTTCTTTTTTCACTGTTGTGGTCTTTTCGTAAGAGATGTTCAGGCTCGTCATGAGAATATTGCGTTTGTGTTGTTCTTGAATTGGCCATACATAAGGTAAGGCTATAGTTTAGAGAGTTGTGTGTGGGTTGATGGCTTCTTTGGAATTGAATGCCCCTTCTTCTACCCTTTCTTCCTGCCACTGTAGTCTTCGTAGAAGATGTCCGGAGCCTCGTGAGATTCATCGTTCCGAGAACGAGGTCCTGGATTTGTACCTTCCGAGGTATATAATAGACGTTCTTCTCTTGCGTGGAAACACTGCTTCTGCAGTAAAGTTGTCCTTCTTAGTTCCAGGGCTTGAAAAGCTCGTATTCCTGGCTGCAAGAGCTCTTCACCGTTCCAGGGGCTCCTTCCTTTGCTTCATTATGTCGTCTCCTCATTTGCTCCAAAAACTTCCTCAGTGGCCCTTCATGAGAACCTCGTGTTGCTGGCGTAATCTCCTTCCCCAGCGCCTCTTCACCCTTCCCGTCCTTCAGTTCCTTTCTCTCCTCGTATCCCCTCCCTGCTCTCCAAAAACCGCCTCAACCCCTTCATGATCTCCGGCCTCTTCCCCTCTCCAATCTTCCCAGCATCCCAATTCTGCAAACCCGCAACCCTCCTTCCAATCCCCTCCCCCGAAACACTCATCCGCACCCCATCAACCTTCCCATCCACAACCTCCTCCCCTTTATCCGTCTCCCAATCCAGCAGTCCCCGCGACCACAAAGACTCGGGCACAACCCGTTCCAGCGATGACCCTACGTACGAGTAGCGCGGCGAAATGGGACGAAAGGGCCCATGGAGCGGGTTCTGTGACCCTGTTAAGCCAGCTTGGTGGTCCCAGGTTGTGGGCGAGGCATTGAGGGAGAACGTCGTTGTTTGGGGGTCAGGAGAAGAGGGTTCGGAGGGAGAGGTTACGAGGCGGTAGCGTAGGGGAGAGGCATTTAGGAGGTCGGTGGCGGAGGAGGATGTGGTGAAGAGGGCGAGGAAGGCATTGTGGACTGGGTTGTGATTTTTGCGATTGTACTGAGCAAAAGGTTAGCTTTAGGATTTTAGAAGGAGAGGGAGATGTACTTTGAGAGAACGGAACATGCTCACTTCGCCAAAACGTTCGAGGACACGGAGGACTTCGCGGCGCTCGGGGAAGGTTCTTGGGGTTGGATAGAGTTTGAGGTGGACGGTGCGGGCTGTCAAGGCGCGGGCAGCGCTTGATGATGGCTCCATTGTCGAGATTGAGGGATGAAGGGCAAAGGGTAAAGTAATTGTTATCGTGGGAGCATCTTGTGGTGATTGGGAGGTGGTGAGGTTTGTGGAGAATCGGAGAAAGAAGGTTGATATTGATACTACGGTAGGCGCTTGTGGCCAACAGTGCAGAAGTATATATTTTTGATTTGAGCTCCGAATCGTCTCTGTTGATATTTTGCCTGAAGTTAACATCTTCGCCTCCACCTCTTTTACCAAGCTAGCCAAATCATCAGGCGACTATGCGTACATTCAATCGAATCCGCACTAGGATTGGGTCTGCAGTTTCTTTCGTTGTTTCAGACTACCACCTTACTCGAAGAGCACCAGGAGAGTCACTTGTCTGTTGGAACTGCTTCTTAGTCTATGTATTGCACTGATGCATGTTATTGCAAGTACAGATGGTATCTTCCGCGTCCTGCAAACTTTCCCTTGTTGCTGTTGCTCCTTTTCAAAATGCTTAACACCCTGAACCCCTCGCTCAGTCCTGAAACCATTCCAACATACTGATTCAAAGCGTTGTTATTCAAAGGACGGCTTCTGTCCCACTACGAAGTAGCTTTTCTCGTCAGATTCATACATCGGAGTTCTGTATACGATACTTACAACCAGTGGTGTGCTAGCAATTTGTTGTTCTTGACTGCTGCTCTCATTTTTGCTGCAAAAACAGCAACCTCTTCCGCTGTCCAACTATTGCATTGTCAATTCAGTCCGTATTCTATGACTGAATGCTTTCACATACCCGAGGTTGTTGATGAACCTTCTTTCGCAGAAGTCCTGCACTCCTGTTTCTAATCGAAGTTGCTCCCATACTCCTACTTCTCTTTCCCAAGTATCGTTCGACCATTTACCAATCGTACAGCATACTTTCTTCTCGACCACATTGACGAATCCGGCATCTTCAAGTCGTTGTTTGATGTAAGGTCCAACATCAAAACTCATCCCAGCATTGTTTCCTGCTTCAAGCATCGCTGTTCCCCATAGTTTGTAAGGATGGTCTGGCCCTAGGGTGTCATAAAATGACTCGAAATACAATCCAGGTTCGGAACAATCTATCCATCCTCCTGGTTTCAAAGCTCTGCACAACATCAGCATTGCTCAGCATGCTGCCTTTGGCCTTACCGAAAGCATCGTTCATAGAACTTCGGCCAATCTGGCACCGACCCCAACAATTCTCGCTCGTGGATCAAGTCATATTTCTCTTCGTCTTGCCATTCCAGATTGAAGTCGTCTAATTCAAATCTGGCATTTGGGGGTACCCACATTGGCTGGATAGGCGATACATCAATGCCTTTTACATCTGCCGCTGGATGTTTCTCAGCCACATCTATCACCCATATACCTGTTCCGGTACCGACGTCTAGGATCCTCTATCGCACGAGTCAATCTATGGAATGGCTCCCTGGCTTGTCAAGCTCACTTGTGGATTTTCAACTGGGGCTAAATACAGTTCTCCTTTCAGCATCAGACTCCAAAAATGGTGGCTACTGTAAGTTAGTAGTCTTGCCTTGTAGCACGGCTCTTACATCATACCTGATATCTTGTTGATCTTGAGCTTTTTCATCGTTTGGTCCCCAATGCTCAGTCGAACCTATTCCATCAGAGTCATCGCCTGCATCCAGGATGTTATACTCACCAAACGAATGATACGTTCTACCATTTTCTTCCCTAAATTTCATGATACTCGAACTCACCGATGCAGTATCGGTTACATCCGAAAATGCACCGTACGCTGAATCTCCATCATATATATCTTCATAATCATCGTCGGCAACGGTCGGTCCCTCATTCGGTTGCTCCTTTCAACGTATCAGATGTGAAGCCTCAAATACGTTTCACCAACTCACCTCAACTGTTGGACTCGATGTTGGATGTTGCAGTTCAGATCCTGTGATTCGTGGAGAAGCGGGAGTTTGTGGAGCTTGGGCCATCGCCACTACAAGTTATTTTCACGGGCTGCAAAACACTGATAGTTTAACGAAGAAGTACGGAATCTTCCAAAGTCTAAGTATGGGCTGATATTTGATTACAGACCTGCATGCTCAACTTCCACGCCATGTGGACGAGACCTCACTTCTCCCCCCCGACCTGTGTGGTACTCTCCCCCCCCCTAATTACTTGTAATAGTGGACCCCCTGGTCTCCCATAGAAAATAGCCCTACGACCAGGGGGCCCACTATTACAAGTAAATTAGGGGGGGGGAGAGTACGAACGAAACGACAAGGAAGTGCTACGGGGAACCTTTCCGCGGCCGTTCGGCCCCACTATGAGGTTTGTCGCTATCTCGCGACGTGGGGTTCTGGAACGCATCCTGAGTATTGGATACCGCCAGCATGTTCTATAGGCATTACAGGACTCGGTATGGCCTGTTATGGTAGCAACTCCGTTGTCAAGACTGGAATCAAACGGCTCCTGCCTCATTGAATGGACCAACAACTACCGAATAACCAAAATGCAGCGCCGTCGAGAATTGTTTTGCGGCATTGGGGCGTATTCTCTAAGCGAACTTCTCTGCTCATCGTGCGGGTGTGACATTCCCGCATCCCGCGCATGAACTTCCTCAATTTTCATCACTTTGTGCCGTACAAGAGATACCTCAAATGGCTAGCTTCCGTCGCTAATAGCGGCTCTCCCGAAACGTTTACCTTCTCCCGGCGGACAACATCCCATTTCTTTGATCATGCTTCCACGATGTACACCCCAGAGCATGCCCATTGATGCACAACAATGGACCGATACCGTAAGTACTCCGGCTTCCTGCAGCTGTATGCGTACAGGTGCGAGAGCGAGGACAGGGCACTGAAATTATCTAATGAGATGAATGACTCTTCATTGGCAAATGACCGTTATCTTTGTTTGTCTCTCCAGTCATCGCTGCGCTGGACAATTGCTCCTTGCAGGACCTTCCCTACGAATTAGGTTATTGAGCCCTGGTGAAGTCACCAGCGATCGCTTCTGGTCCCACGGCTCTGGGTCGGCTGAATCAAAAAGACCAGGGCAAGCCACCCTTGTGAGTGGGCTCTCCCAAGCTTTCTCTATACTTCTCCCCGAGATTCTGTTTTCTTCCTGTGAAACACCATCATCTGTCGTGTCGAGCACCCAGCATAGCATAGCTCTGCATCCCGGTTTCCACTTCAAGATGGGTTCTCAGCCATCACCTCTACGTGTGTTGATCATTGGCTCCGGTCAGTTCCCTGCCAAGTATCCTCGTGGCATATTCTAAAGCATATCAGGATCTGGCGGCTTGTTGTTTGGCCAGGTTTTGAAGCAGGTAAGCAAGGTACGTTCTGGTCCTGGTCACAGCTTATGCGACTAGGCTGGCATTTCATGCACTGTCTTCGAACAAGACAAAAGCTTTTATGAACGACCTCGAGACTGGAACTTTGGCATTTACTGGGCGCAGTCGCGTCTCGACGAGTGCTTGACTGAAGATCTCAAGCCTTTGGTGAAGACTGTACAGACGGATCCGAGCTATGTTGCCCACGAGGGAAGTGTCATGCCAGTGCACAATGGAGAGACTGGAGAACTTTTGAAGAATCTGCCAGCACCTTGGAGTCTTCGCCTCAAAAGAAAGAAATGGCTTGAGATGATCTCGAAAGACGTCGACATTAAGGTTCGTGCTTACCAAAGCCCCTCCTCTCCACTTTTGTCTGACCGCTTTCGTGTAGTGGGGTAAACGTCTCAAGCATATCGAGACATCCGACGATACCGTAACTGCGACCTTCGAAGATGGAACAAAAGAAACTGGTAATCTCCTTGTTGGTTGTGAAGGTGCACATTCGTTTACTCGAGAATATCTCCTGGGACCAAAAGAAGCCGAACTCCTCCCGTCACCCTGCGTCGCCAGTGTGACGATCACAAAGCTCAGCCGACAAGCCTCAATCGACCTTCGCAAATTACATCAACGTTACACGATTACGTTCCATCCCAATGGTACTTTCACATGGATGAGTAGTATGTTATACCTTATCATGATTGGCCAATTGCGCATTCACTAAGAGCTTTTAGTTCATGACTGTACATCAGAGGATCCTGGAGACTGGACTTGGATGTTGATGCAAACATGGCGGTCAGACGAATCCACCGGTCTCGAAGGCGATAATGTTCTACCAGCCATGTATGAACGGGGAAAGGCTTTCGGCTACCCATTCGGCGAAGTCTTCGCAACAATCCCACCCGACACGAAAGTATGGCATAATAGACTATCGTACTGGCCAACAAAGCCATGGGAAGGAAAGGGTCTTGTTACTTTGGCTGGAGACTCTGCGCATGCTATGACTTTCCGTAAGTTTTCTGTTAGCCTTAGTTAGAATGGAGGAAATGAGTACTGATACGATGTCTTCAGATCGCGGTCAAGGCCTGAACAACGCCATCTCAGACGCCGCTGATTTCTTGGTCCATCTCCGAGCTATGAAAGAACACACACCAGCAGAGCTCCAAGCTGCAGTCAAGAAGTATGAGGCTGAGCTTGTGCCGAGAGGCAATGAGGCTGTCATGGCTTCGTATTTGAATACGAATGCTGTTCATGACTGGAGCACGATGATGCAATCTCCACTTTTTACGGAGGGGTTGGCGAAGGATAAGAAGAAACAGGAAGAGGAGGCTGTTGCTGCGGAGGCGGCTGCTGAAGCGATTTTGGCCGAGGCTCAAGCTTGAGGCTGAGGTAAGAGACGTGGTGTGTGCTGTTGTCCGTGGTGAGGTTGCCTGCCGAGTTGGAGTCATCGTTGCTTTTTGCGTGGGTGATGTTTGCTAGGCGTTACGCCTGTTGCTGGATTCTGGCAATTTACAATAATCTACATCTTGTCCATGTTCATTGATCAGGTTTCGCTGTCTGATATTGGTATGGTGAAAATAGGCAAGTGCCAATCACATAACAGGCGGGATTCATCACTTTGCTGTACTGCTTTCTGATTGTCTAATTCCTACACAGTCTAGAGAGCTACAAATCCTGGCCAGAGACCAAAATATTCCGAGATATTACTTTACAAATACCATTTACTTCTCCCGCAGTTGAAAGGTCTCCTCGCTCCATCCGAACCACTTCGCCATCCGCTTCCCATTTGTAGACAACTCAATCGGATCAAGAATCGGTACAGGATGAGGTTTATGGAACACAATCTTACCCTTCCCAAACCACTTTGACTTTACACTTGGCTCAAATGAATAGGCCGAACCACCGGCACTGTGACGAGCAACGAAGCTGATTGGTTCTTCCCCCATGGCGTTCACAAAGGCATCCCAGTCCACGCTCCTGTTTTGGAAGTTCAAGGTTAGTATTCTTTAATATAGTTGAGATTTTGTGTGTGTGTGTTGGGGGGGGGGGGGGGGGATCTTCGAGCAGTAGAGAGAGATAAGAAACGATGTGACAAACCTGGAACGTTCTTCTGGATTGTTGCTCGGAAACATGCCTCTGAATATCAACAAAGATCTTTTGCTTACGCCGACGCATATCTTCTCTTCGGTAGCACTTGTAGCATCAGACTCTAGCTGTACAGCAGTTGGTGCTTCATCAGTTGTATGTTGGTCTGCGCTTTGCTCGGCGACCCCATGTCGCTTGATCTTTAGCTTTGACAATGGGGTGACGAGAGGATCTGGTTGTTCCAAGCCCCATTGGGTCTGTAGTACTTTCTTGCCTTGGGCCTTAAGCAATTTCTTGGCTTCCTTCTCCGTCTCTCGTGCAGCAATTCCAGTCAATATTGCCTGCTTCTCTGCCTCGATTTCGGCCAGATACTCCGCATCTCTGTCCGCGGATAAGACTTTCAAGTCAGAATGAATGTCGGACGCGTCGAAACCTAATCGCCGCAAGGTTCCTTCATGGCGAGCGCGCATACCTTCCCAGAACTTGCTCAGAGCTGCTCTTTCGGAAGCGTCTTGATCGAGCCAAGTCTGGCTGAACCGGGTGCCTGTTGGCTTCGGGGTCTCCATGAAGTTCTTCAGAAGTGTAGCCAAACGTTGCTCAGCAGCTATCTTCTTAGATCCGCACTCCTTCAACTCAGGTCTGAGATGGTCCACCCACTTGCCATCCTTCCACTCAATTTGTCTCCACGTGCTCTGTTCGAAGAATTGCTTCTCAATATAACGCCACACTTTGCCATCTTCGGAAGACTTTAGGTCTTGTATTGAAGGCGTGGGTGGATGCGGGCGATGCCACCGAACCAGAGAAAGCATTTGGTGCACGGAAGACATATCAGCGAACAACTCGTAGAGGATCTCGTCCAGCCTCGCCAACTCTAGCTTGTCTTTTTTCTTGTGGCAGTCTGCTAGATGTTCGTCAAACATTGCAAAGAGCATGGAGAAGTCCTTCCGACGAGGGTCGGTGTGCTCATGGTTATCTATGATTATGTCTTCCTTATCGGTCAAAGCGAATGTACAGAAGTTCAAGCGGTCATTGTACAGCACATCTGCAGGCGTTTCACCGGGAACCTTTCGCCCTATCGAGACCGACATGCTCTGCAAACGTTGGACGTACTTGACATTCCACTTGCTCTGGAAGCCCGGCCTATGAAGCAAAGTATATCGGATTGCCTGAATGCGGCGCTGCAATTGATCATAGAGAAGAGCTTCCAATGACCCAAGTGCGTGGTTGTACTGTGAGGAAAGGGCTTCCCCAACTTTCACTTCAACATCGAAGCTACGATATGTTGCTTGCAGCTTCAATGTCGCCTCCAAAATGCCCTCCCAAGACCAGAATTGTATCGCTCTCTGCATTAATTCGAGATGAGTGCAGACATACTGGTTTGTCTTCGTCAGATTCGTGGCTAAACCTCCGTCAACCAAAAGCTTCGCATATCGACGAAAGTATCGTGGATCTGTCTGCAACAGCCACAGATTGTCACCATGCATATTCAGCTGTGTCTGAGCGATAGAGAGTAGCTCTTCGATGTCAAATTTCGGAGGAGCTGAGAATGGTTGATTTAGATATGTCGATGCGAACTCGTCTGGGCTGCTTCCTCCGGGGCTTGCTGACCGTAATCCAATTATCTTTTCAAAGCGATCGGATTGTGGTGATGTGTCGTTGCGACTAAAGCCCTCGAGAAGCTTTTCGACGATCCCTCGCAAGAACGCCAAGAGCTTCTGCTGAGCTTCCAAAGTCAAGATAGCCCTAGGAAATCCTACAATGTCCCACCTGTGGGCAGCACTCTCTTCCCATCGCGTCACTTTCCCATATTCCGAACCATGCATGATGATACAAACACTACTGTATGCGGTCTCGAATGTACCCAATTCCCAGTCCTTTGCGAGTATGGTTGTGTCGTAGGGTGCCCACTCCGCAGGGGAATACTTTGTGCGGTTGTGCAGAAGGTTCAACAGCCTCAATGGGTCAGAAGCTAAAGCCTCGACATTGATATATGGTAGTAAGAACGTGTTGCGGTATGGTCGGCGTTCGCGTCCCTGAGTCAAGTCGATACACCCATGCCAATGTACAGAGCCTTCCGCAACTGCTTTTCTGAATACTTTCAGTCGTTCAGCGAACTTACGCGAAAATATCACATCGGCCCATTGATGTTGGTAAAGATCATTGTCAACCAGGAGTAGATGACGAGCTCGTTCGCTGGGCGTCAATTTCTTCCAACGCTTGAGAATTGTGTTACCGTTCATGTAACACTGCTCTTTGAGGTATGCACGATCGGCCGAAATCTTCTTGAAGGCTCGACTTGCTTGAGTTTTGGCTTCTTCATCCGCGACATAACTGGAATACCTCTTGATCTGCTTGAATTGACCGTCAGGAAGTCGTGTATCTCTGTTGATCGCCGTCTTGTACTGCTGGTTGCACTCTTCGCACTCGCAAGGTGGTCGAAACATATGTCGGAAAGTTTTGAGGTCTTCTCCTCGAGTGATCGCTTGTATGTAGTGGTTGGGTCCGAAAATCCTTTGAAAAGGTCAGCAACTTCACCCTCGATCTTCACTTCATGCGTACGTACGGCTCATTCGTCTCGAAGATGAAGGCTAGGGGCACGTCGTCTTCGTCCTTCAACTCAACAGCCATTGTTGCGCGTTGCAAGAGGTGGTGCGTTGAGAATATTGTTGTTGTATAAAAGATGGTCGCCAAGGAGACGCGCAGCAGAATTTTATTTTTCAAATCGCCATTCACCTTTAACGACAAAGTTGAAGATAAGAAAGCACGCTACGACCAAGAAGACCTTCGTCATTACGACTTTGTAGTTGAAAGCGAACGCTCGAAGTCTCATCTGGCTGCCTTGGCAGCGACACTGTTTCGGAGCAACACGATACGAATCATGATGCTGGCAGCACTACATGGACATTGAAAGACTTCTTTTAACTACGCTCGTGCTGAGACATTTGCTCGCGATACTAATTCTCGGAGACTGAATTCGAGAGTGATTTCATCGATCTAATTTTATCACTTTCACGCCATGCAAAATAGAAGCTTCTTGAACCTCAACCAGTCTAACATTTTGCATTTCAGAGCACATCCTAATCATCTTTACTTTCTGCTAAAGCCTCTATTGGAATGCTTGCTACCAAGCATAGATCCGGCGTCCAATGCAAGGCTAGCTAAAGCAAAGAGAGCTTCACATGATAGTTGTGCTGCCGTCGAAATCGTAAACATGTGACAACCGCTCTCCATAAATGAAAATATGTCCCTAATATGACTCTGGCCTCTCAAGTTTCAGCAGGCTTTACGTGAAGTGATATGGTCCTGCATCAGTGTCGAGGTTGTTCGGCTCCCAAACAGCGCTTATGCCCCTTTGTTGACGATAGCCCTAATTCGGGCTAGCTCGCACTCGCGAAGCTTGGCTTATAGGATCAAATAAGCATTTCCTTGTCGCAAAAAACAGAAAGAGGGTATATGAGCAGTAGGGCGGCCGAATGGTCGAGTCCATAACGATCGAAATCAGATTCTCGTGATCCTGCGAAGATGCTTACTCATATATTACTCGCTTGAATCTGTTAATCCCCCTAGGTACTCTGGCTGGTATCTAGGAATCGGTTTTGCAATTTTCATCCTTTGAACTCGCCTATGTCCTTTTTTTTTTTGGAGCAGCAGAGCTGGGACGCATTCGGCTTGATGATTGAACCCGCAGTTGTTGAAAGCACGCATGTATCTGTCTCAATTTACGTCCCCCCAATCGTGACCTTGAAAAACTCTCAAGTGTGTAGAAGCACCTTTGCTGCTAGGACTTCATGTCCCGTCATGATACACCGTGATGGTTCATATGAAAGGAGGCCGATATTCGAAGCGAACACGTGACGTCCCTTTCGTCTTAGGTCGAGGTCATTGACACAACGCACCAAAGCATTCCAGGCAACAGTAACAGTGGCAAGAGGTACCGAGAGATGAAAAAGCTAAGCAACGAAAGAATTTAAAACCTGGCGAGCGACAACGACGGGCGCAAGTCCCAGTTCAATAGTCAAGTCCGTCGAGCGCAAGTACATGCAGACAAAAACAGAAAGGGAACTTAAAAGGTAGACCTATGTTAAGTTGGAACTCCGTCCAACCTCAAGCACAAAGGGAAAGGGAATTCGATTATGGTATCATTTGATTTGTCATCTCATTACAGAAGCAGTATATTAAAGGAACCGTAAGGTCCAAGTGGTATCTCAATGCAGCACGCTCCTCCACTTCAACCTATCATACAGGCCTGCGAAGAAGGAAATCGGTATCTCATGAAGTTTCAGATCCCCAACGCCAACCAGAGAATGGAAAGTTCACAAGCTCATCTGATCCTCGATCTTCCCAACACCATGATCTAGTATCGAGAGCGACGTTGCCAGAAGCGTCTACGAGTAGTGGTAGTACCATTCGCATATCCAGCATCGCCAGCCTTGGAGGCGCGGTTGTCCTTTCGGTGCATTCTCGAAGAGAGGCAAGTGAACAGCACAACGATGGTTCCGAAGAACAAGCAGAGCATGGCTGCGAGAATGGTCCACATCCCGACCGAATAGTAGGCATGGCTTCCGCTGCCGTCCTTGTTGACATGGTTCTTGATGATGCCGAAGAGCGCAAAGTCGCAAGCCATGACCACGACGGTGATGAGCCAGGTTACGGCCGCGACCATAGCTGCCATGATCGCACCGCAGAAACCGGCGCCGAGTGCGAGGAGGAAGGAGATGAATGCAAGACCGGTGGCGATTGGGTGGAGGATCATGACTCGAGTCAGGGCCTTTGTGGTATCGGTTGAGGCGGTGGTAAAGGTGGTGTGGTCGATGCCAGCCATGATATCAGCGGGGTTGTAGCCAATGTGCTTGCCGGTGCAGTAATCTTGATCAGTGCTACGGAGGGAAAAGTCAGCTTTGCTAGATTGACTTGGAGAATAGAAGCTTACCTTGCGGGAGCAACATCGAGAACGCAGTGGCCAAAGGTACCGAAGGTAACTGAGGAGTTGCGGATGTCGGATTGGTTGGTGAGCATCACCTTTAGGATGGCGATGTCATTGATAACCGGAGCAGAGATGGTGGTAATCAAGAGCAGAATCGCCGCAGCGAATATAAGAAACGTGCCCAGGTGGTGGAAGATGCCTGTCTTTGCCATTGTGATTGATTGCTGGGTTTGATTTGAGGTGGTTGTTGTTGTTGTTCTGCGTTTGCGTTTGGAGAAAGCTTTTGCGTCCTAACTATTGGACCTGAACTACAACTTTGTCACGAAAAGTGAACGTGTCGGCTGATGGAAGCTGAGAGGAATGGAAGAAGTTCAGCAATGGAGGGAAGCAGGACAGGTTTTATTCACAAGCGTTTCAGTCTGGCGGTGGTGTGAATGATCGTGTGTTGTTGCTGGCGCTCATTGCCGTGGCCACAAAGCAAGGAATGTGAAGTGTTTGCACCCGATTCGTCATAGGCGGCTTTTTTTTTCTGCTCTGCACCCTGGTCATGCACGCTGGGGAGTCGTGGCTCAGCCAGTTTTCCAACATCTTTTCGTTTCAACTCCTGGTCGTGGCCTGTCGATTGTCAATTACCCAGCGACGCGCTTGCAACAGGTGACGCTGGCTTTGCTCGTTGTCATTGGCTTCAGCGGAGAAGAAGTTGGGGAAGCGAACCATCCATGAGATGGACGCCACAGTCTTGACGAACAGGTGGATTTAAGATTTCAGGGTTCTGACATTCTTGGCAGCTTTAAGCCACACAGAGCAATGATCTGCTCGCTGCCGAGGTTTTCACCCGCACTCAATTGTGACAGTGACGTACTAAATCAGGGGTATGCTGTGGCTCAGTTTTGCGCAACACTTTCTATTGGATCCTCACTCATCTAATTGACTCCCGACCTGGAAGATTGCGCTCGGTTGTGCCTTGATTCTGTCCACCAGAAATTGTCTCTGGGAGGACTGGGCGTGGCCATCGATGAATTGATGACGGTACTGGCAAGGGTCCCCTGAGATCAGACAATGTCTGAGAGATCTCTGTCTCGTCACGCGTGTCACCTCATGTTTGGGTGATGCCCCTCCTTTTTGATCTTCGCTTAAAACTGGGTGCTGATGGACAAAGCAGAGGGAAAAGATCTCTGGTGTTTTCAATCGGGTTGGTGGAACTTTACAAGCCGTCGATAAGTACGGCAGCAATTGTCATTACAATAGCCAAGGTGGGGAATTTCAAGGTCATGCGACGCAGCGACGATACTCTCAATCGTTTGCACTTTTGTTTCCCATAATGGACATACAAAGTTCAGCTCTTTCTGCGTCTCTGCCTACACGTCTACACTACAAACTTACTATGAAAACCACTGCTAAGAGCCATGCATCACTGTCGCAAAATGCTGGGATATTGTTAAGACCCCGCAAAGGACTTGTACAACGAGCACCATTGCTGTTCTTTAGCTCTGTTCATCCGGTAATGCATAATATATCTCTCTATGCGTCTGGATCATGAGCATAGTGGGAGAAGAGAGATCTAATGAAGTACTTCCACCAGACTTGATGATAATTACCCCGATGATCATGATCATGAGATGCCTGGAATGATCAATCTCCTTTTCGATATGTTGGAAGCGGCGTCATTCTCCCTGCTATTAATCCCTCGGAATTTCTGTACTTCCAATATCGCAGTTAAAGCCGCGTTAGGGTAGATTGATTCTCGAATATCTCTTTTCCATGATCACGTGCAAGGTACGACTCATTCAACAGTTGAACCATTCAGAAACCACCATGAAGCTACCTACATTTCTCCCTAAACTCCTCAAACCTTAAACGGACACCCCCCTCCCCCACCGGCATCATCACACTCCCCTCCCCCTTCGACAAATAATGCCTAGCAAAAAGATCATTCTGAATCCAAACCACCTTATTCAACGCCCTAATCGCCCTCCCCTTCATCTCATTCGCAACATCCATCTCCATCACCGCTCCCACCAAGATATCAACCACGTACCCGAGCAAGGCGCCCATATGAATGTATTCTACTCTTAGCTCGGGTTTCTTTTCCCGGTGCTTGAAGCCGGGTTAGCCTGTGTGCATGATGCCTACGTTGTCGAGGTATTTCCAGAACGGGGAGGTGGGCGTCAGGTCTGGTGTTGAGACGAGTTTGACGATGTAGTTCTGTTTTTATCCATTTTCGATCGAAATAAATTATAATACTATTTTTTAAAGAAAATAATACTAAGACTTGACAATAATAACCTAATTATTATTAATAACAATTTAATTAACAATAACAACTTAATTAATAATAACAATTTAATTAACAATAATAATTTAATTGACAATCATAACTTAATTAATAATAATAATTTAATTAACAATAACAATACCCTACAACTTTTTATAGCAAATAACGCTACGGAAAAAGCGTAGTTTAACAAACTACACTAGCTCTACATAACTAAGGCCGCGGCCAGGACGACACTCCAAACACCACCGCTATCCGTTCCTGTGTTCATCTTGTTTCATGAACGTCTTTGTGCGGATTATAGAGAGGCTGGAGGGGAGTTTATATAGAAGAAACGAAGGACGGGGGCCAAAGGAAGTGAATGGAGGGCGGAGAGTGGAAAACGGAGAGCAAAGGACCGAAAAAGGTGAATTTATAGATTCACTAGCCGCGGAGAACGGTTTGGAGAGTGGTAAGGCTAGGTGAGTGAATTAAATCAGCAAAGAATGAGCACAGGATGGAAAATAGCTAAGCTTTTTAGTCTTATAGTGAATAAAAGCACAAATTTGTCACACTACTATTTACATACTTGTTCTCCGTTTGTTCATGCGTTGTCGTTAGATACTGCTTATTCTGCTTCGCGCGTCTGCTTCCCATCAATACTTCTTTTTTGAGTTTGAGGGGAGGGGGAAGGGAGGGGGACTAACCTTCCGCCTCTCTTCTCTTCTTCTGGCGGGCGGGAAACATCAACCCTCGTCTCATTTTGACCAAGAGTTTATTATCAAGCAGCTGTGGAGAAATCTGATTCCTTAGGCCATGGTGGAGAAAAGAACCCTTATTAGTCGTGGGAAGATTCCAGTCCCGAGAAGGCAGGGGAAGAACATCGTTGTTCTGACGAAAAGAGGAGTGTTCGTCCTTGGAGAGATTTATCATGACCTGCAACAAGCAGCCATACTTTCAGAAATCAAGATCTTGACTTGCACCTTGATTAGTTTCCAGGAATAGAGACATTGACTTATTCAATCTAGCATTCTTGCGATCTAGAATTACATTCAAGAGATGCCTTCAATGATAGCCACTCGCCTCCACAAGTACTGTACAAACGTCCTCTCCAAGTAAAGCGCGCGGAATGTTTTGCTGCCGTTCAATGCACACTTGAAATTCAAGTCCAGAGGATCAGACGCACGATTTTCAAGGCAGGGAAGATATCTTCTCTTCCTGAGCTCGCATTCGGACAGGATTTCGTGAAGTTCGGTCCAGAGTCACAAATTGCTAGCGGCTCGATAATTCCCATTACTGTATAGTGCTGGAGATTAGTTTGGATAAGGGGCCTGACACCAGAATTGTGAGAGTTCGGAAGGCCATAACTCTGTGGCGCAGCCGTGTATAGTGGTTCGTATGCTGGAGCAGCAGGTTGAATCCCTTTGATGATAGTTGCGAGACCGAAGCAGCGATTGATGTCCATGTGCTGGTACCTATTACTGGCTCTTAGCGAGTGATTGGAAAGATTCGAGGTGTTCTGTCCAAACTGCTGACAATTGAGGCATCCTTCACTCTGCACTCTGGTTTCCTTCTATTTACTCACCTTGCGTGGATGGGGCATGGGAGGTCAGGGACTCAAGAAAGAGATTAGTCTAGTAATCGAAGACATGAGGAGAGCTGTTGACAGACAATAAATTACCACACAGCCATTGAAAAGAGCAGATACAAATATCCATGTTATTCTGGAGATGATTCCTAGACGTATTGTAGATATTGTGCACCGAACCTGCAGCCTTACCCACAACAGGAGTTGGACAGTATCCAAACTTCTGTTGCTAAAGTAGATACATTATTCGATGTACTTGAGAAAATATCATCCCCAAGACCTCAGGAGCAATTCAAGTTAGAGGTTCTGAAAATTACTTCATCTACGCTTAAAAGAAATGCAGCTCTGACCAGTTCTGCATGGACTCGTAACAGCCAAGGGAAGTAAAGAGGCTAGAGGCAAGAGTTTAGCAGTTTCATTGCCATAGACTAGTAACTAGCAAGATATGATGGATATCCTGGTAGACTCAAAGATGACAACGTTGCTTTCTCCACTGGAAAATGGCAATTGGCGTTGCTCCTACGTGAAGTGTCTGGCTTCGCCCTTTACCTGGAATGAACATGGATAAGTCGAGCTTCGACAGGTGAAAAATACCGCACTTGCGAGGTGCCCCTAGCAAGTCAATCACAATTCGGAGTGCAGTGTATAGACTGTAACCATTCATTATGTGGATGCCTGCTTCCGTATTACACACAATTGGACCCAGATAATACATGCCACCAACGCCTGTATATGTAACTCCGACATCCAATCAGGAAGACTTATGTTCTAATGGTATATCCTCCTTATTTCTTGGCCGACGTTTGTACAGAGCCTCGAAGGGGGTCTATCGATCCTACGCCGGTTTCAAAATATAATGTTGTCGATGTATCATGCTCGCTGAAGTGCCAAGACGTATCGAGCTGCTGCTAACTTCCACCACCCAGCATCGTATCTAACCCTCGCGTATCTCCATCTCTCCAGGTATTATGTTGCTGTCCCTCTCCAAAACCGGTACAGCCGTCTCAATCGCCCTCTTAGACTTCACCTTTCCGACTGTGCCTGCTATCGAACCCAGCCCGATACTCCCAACTCCTGGTGTAGGACCCAATGCCCAGGACCCAAGTGCTGTTGTTGCAAACGTCTGCGTCATCAAGATCCACGTGGCGCTCGTTGTGCCATCTACCGTAAACAAGCTTCCTGCTACGGAAGTGGTAGGATATTGTGTTGCAGCGAGCGTGGTAGCTGCTATACCTCCACCTTGAGCGACTTGGCGCTCTTCCAGCTCTGCAGACTCCAGCTCTTCAGCATGAGGGCTGAAATCTGGCTCAGGAATCGCCTCCGCAAACATGGTAGGTGTGAGGAGGAGGAGTGAGAAGAGGAGGTGGTGAGGTTGCATCGTGAGGAATGCGGGCGCGAGCCGTTGGCTAGATTGAGACTCTTGGCGCGATTGCTGTCCGTCAACCGCCTGATTCTGATGTTTTGACGATTGTGGGACGACGATATTCTCCGACTTCTCGTATTGTACTGCAGATATCTGCGTTGCGGCGCAATGAAAGGGTCTTCGTTGGCTGTCTCGTTTGTATGGGTACTCAGGGGCTGCGGTTTCGCTGGGATGAATTTGTACGAAGTCGAATTTCTCGCAAAGGATTGTAAGCGTGCAATGCCGTCTCTGTGTGCGTCGTGAGCAACTTGAGGATTTGTCGTGATCGTGATGATGGAGAGAACAAAGGAAATACGAATTGAAAGGTTGGAGTCTCAGTTGGAGCTCCACTTCCTCCTTCGCTATTTTCGGGAAAGTACGAATCCTTGAAGATCTTCACTTTGTTTTGTAGCAAGTCAGGGGCAGCCGTGATGGTATTGGTTCGTATCTCCGGCACGACCCACTTAAATGCCAAGGCTTGCGTGGAAGTTATATCTCACGTGCCTTGCCTCTCTCTCAGTAAATACCTAGGCAGAGACCAATGTCTCCAACGAGAAAGAGAGAAGTCTTGCTTGCCATAAGAAATGACGAGACTGCTATGAAATCACTCAACATAGTCTCATTGACGGGTTTAAGATAGACATCACGTGCATTTCTCTTTCGAGCTTACCTATGGATTGTTCCTTCAGTCGCTTTATCTTGTTGTCTGGATGTCACTTCTATTTGTACTGCGAACCACTACTAAGTATATTTGATAACTACTGCGTGCTACTATATCGAGCCCCTGTAAGTTCTCATTGTGAGAGAAGTCATTGCCTCCTTGACTCACCAGCTTCCAAGACTTTTCAAAATGAAGGGCAAGCCTGAAAGTTCTCGTCCTTTGGCACAATTTCTCAGGAGAACAAGTCTGAATACTCCTTGAACACATTTCCAGGATCGTATTTCTTCTTTAGGGCGAAGATCCTGTCATGATTGACGCCGTACACCTCTCGCGGATCCAAGCCGTCAACTTCATCCATGTTAGCAATTTGGTTCTAGGTGGTTGAGCAATCTTACAATCATAATTCGGGTATCTTCCTGTACTTGTCCGCGTCGTCTCATCCACGCCTCCTTCTCTCTGTCTTAACTGAAATTCTTTCATCGCGAAGGCATCAATCTTTTCACACCAGTTTCTGCAATGCTCATCGTTCTCTTCCTCCGTCCACGTTGCTACCGAAAACATAGTGCCATGCATCCCACGATCCGCATATGCCGTTCCCGTCTGGTCGACTTTCAAAGTTGCAGAGGGATTGTGCCATTCGAAGCCTATGATTGACTGCTCAGCGTCTGGAATCTTCTTCATGAAATCATCCATATCATTGAGAATCGTCTCAAGACAAATGAAATCTAAAGGAGCCATAACGCTTGCTCCGATCGACGTTTTCCGCCAATGTCTTCCTATAGCGGACCCAGCCTGGACCCCAGATTGAGAAAAAGGCACCATTTTCGCAGTGTTGATCTTGGATCTCATCTCCAAAAGTGGTGCAAAGAACTTCCTTGCTTCATCCTCAGGACCATTGTACCAAACAATTGCGAATATTCCCAGCTCTGAGGTACCCGGTAAGACTTTCCAGATCATGCATAGAGATGCTTTTCCGTCATTGTTCTCATCACTCATGATCGTGTTGGCCATATCCACTACTCCTGAAAGTTGAGACTTCTCAAATGCCAAGGTCCCAGCCCAGACCATATTCTTCTGGTCATGAGCCCGAAGCACGAACTTCGTTACAATGCCGAAACATGACCCAGCGCCTCTCAATGCCCAGAACATGTCTTGGTTCTCGTGTTCCGAGCAGTTCATGATCCGACCATCACCAAGCACGACTTCTACTTCGAGCAAATTGTCACATCCCATACCATGTGCTCCATTCAGCCAGCTATATCCACCATTTAGAGTAAAGCCACCGACACCAACAGACGGCGTGATCCCTCCCACAGCAGCAAGGCTATGCTTCTCTGCTTCAGCATAGACGGAACTCCATGTGACTGCAGCCTCGGTAGTAATCGTTTTCTTGATGGGATCGACAGACACAGAACTCATTTTTCGAAGATCGATGACGAGGCCATCCTCGACGGAATTGCCTTTGCCATTGTGACCAATGCCACAAACCGCGATATCAATCTCATGGTTTGCAGCAAATCGCAGGATATCTGCTACATCATGCACAGATTGTGGATAGATGATTGCACCCTGAATTCGGAAATCAGTTGCGATGTCATCATGGACTGTGAACTACTGACTGCATTACGCTCAGCTGGTCTGAACCAACGGTGCAAGCTCTCCTCAAATTCGGATGACTCGGGAGTGAGAACAACTATATCAGAGAAGGTGGACTTGAGCTTTGAAAGCGTATCCGATGATATAGGGGCCATATTGACTTGAAAACAAAGGAGTTAAAATGAAGATAAAGGATTCGAGGAGAAACTGCGTGAGTACGTATGTAAGCGACCAGATCGCGCCGTGTAAGCACTCGGTGTTGGAGCAAGGATCCTCCAACAATACATCAAATTGCCAACAGATAGACAAATATGTGCGCAAAGAGAACCGGGTTCATCTCTGGCCTGATATCCATCGCTCCATAAGATTAAACATGGAAAAAACAAGTATGTTGTTTGTTGAACCCAAGAAGACCCGTTGACTCTCAGGCCTACCAGTAAGATTTGACGACAATCAAGCAACTATTATTGACATTTGAATTTTGCAGCTCTAGTTTCGAGGAGCAAGCAACATACTTGCAGGTAGTAGACAAAGAGTCCGAGTCGTCAAGCATGAATGTAGCCCGATTGATGAAGGGGATCGAGCGAAGCAAGGCTTTCAAAGTCGCGACTTCACCAGCTGACGAGTCAGGAAGGACTTATATCGGCTTGTCTTATACTCAGTCTTCTCATAAAGACCATCAAACTCGACAGCTTGTCAAGAAAGTTCGAAGATCAAGCTTGACAGGTCAGGCGTTTGCCGTGAAACGGGTATCGGGCCTGATCCAGTCTAGTGTCTCGCTTGATCTCAAGCTCTTCTCAGACGACTCCGAGACATCCGCTCCCCAGCCATCTTCATTTCATCTCAAGTCTCAAGATCACAACTTCATTCCGGCTCAAAGCTGGAATTCGAAGAGAGATTGCGACGAAATTTGCCTGTACTATATCCCGTTATCTACCATCAGTGGTATTTTTAGATACTCAATATCGTGCTTCAAGTTGAATACGATTGAAGCGTTCGAGTCTTTATTCAACATGGAAATCGCGAAACAATATGTAAAAGCTTGATCTCTACAACCGGCATCAACCTCGTACAGCTTCAAATCATCGCTAAATCAGGAAATCATTCTGTTTGATTTCCTACCGTCTGATTTAGAGTTAATTTTCCAATCCGTGCCGAGTTGACACATCTTGCAATCTCATACACTGTCTCATATAGCATGAGCAAGATTCTTCCAAATATCATCGTACACTTTACCCCAAATGTCACGTCTCGAGTCGAGCCTCAACACCTTGCAACTCATTTCTGTATATAGCATATCCCAGCCGCTTTCATGAGGCCCATTCCGTGTCTCTTCATCTTCAAAAATCCTCCGAAATGCTGGTTTGTGAATACATGATATCTTTCTTGCCCGCTCTGTAGCCTTCATGAATTTCCATGGGCGACGTTCGAGAACCAGAGACCCCTAGGGTCAAAACGGCTTTGATGCAAACAATTCGAGTTGTAAACATCAAGAAGCCAACGCCGCCACCCAAGAGGCCCTATGTCGACGAGAAGGAGCCGCCCTCTACTGCAAGCAGTAGCAAGTCAAGCTTTACCTTCCGTGTACCACGAGCACCTCGATCTGCCCCTCCGATTCCTCGAATCAGACAAAGCATCATCACTTTCAGTTTCGGCAGTAAAGCTCCCTCGCTCAATTCATCCCTTCCTCCTGCAGAACAGTTAATATTCGGGCTGCGAAGGAAGCAGTTCTATGCATATCTCGGCGCATCGATCGTTCTTTTCCTCGTCAGTGTTATAATCGGCCTTGCTGTCCTTTCAGGAGCGTCTAAACCTTTCGTCCCACCCTTCGCTGGTATCGCTGCCTCGACACTCTTCCTCCCGAACACGACTCAACAGACTGCCGCCCTCTTCTTCCAAGACCCAAGCACCAATGGACTTAACCTCCGCATCAGTCCCGATGTCGACAGTCTCCCTTTCTCACCACCTCAACGCCTCAATCTCATGAAAGATGAGTTCCCGACTCAAAACCTCTCATTGGCTGCGACCTCATTCGCAAGCATGAATGGATTCGGTTCCGTATTCCACCAACTCTTCTACGTCATGGATGCATCGATCATGGTGATGAATCTCTCATGCTCTTCCATCTCACCCGCAAGATGCGAAATCATCAGCAACAACATGATCTCCAATAGTCTCCTCCCGACCATGGCTCCAGACTCGGGCATTGCTGCTGTGTATCTGGAAGCGGAGATGGGATGGAAAGTATTCTATCACAACGATGCGTATGCCATCTCCTGCGCATCTTACGAGAACGGGACATGGAACACGACAGGCATAGTGATGGGTAGTAAAGCCGTGCGAGGAAGCAGTATCGCCGCTGCGGTGTTCAGATCGAACATCGAGGTTCTGTATGTGGATCAGACGATGAACATGTTGTTTGCTGTCGAAAGTATGAATGGGACCTGGATGCCTCGTACGTATTCATCCTACTCCTGACCTCCGTCACTTACTGATTGATCTTAGCAACGCAAGTAACCCCCATCCAACCATCAACCTTCTCCCCAACATCATCCCTCGCCATCTCATATGCCTCAAAAGCCGATGTCCTGCTCGCCTACTACCTCGGGACAGACTCCAACATCTACCAATTCGTCGGCCGCGAAGCCTCTACCCTCGCCTTCCCAGTAGCCATCTCATCCGATTTCACAGGTCGAACTACACCCGGGTGGACCAACACGCCAACAAACGTCACCGGAGGCGGAGGCGGAGTCGCGAGTATCGGGTTCGAAGACCAGCTTATGATTTTCTCGGCAGAGGGGAGAGAGGTCGATATGAGTAGTCTGAATACTACGAGTGGGGTGTTCTTGCCGAGTGTTGCGATTTGATGAACGGAGGAGTTGTTGTGTGTTATGATACCACGGTCGCGTGTTTGAGCGGGTTTCTGTCGCGGAGTTTGTGTTGATTTCTTTTTAATCGGGCGTGGATTTTCATCGAAGCATACGTATCTTAATCATATTGTTGCCAGGAAAATATTATCAATCTCAGGAGTGTTAATGTTTTACCCAATTCTTTCTCGCTCGCTTAATTATAGGGGCTCGTAGCCGTCACCTCTTTTGCTCTGATCGATCAGTGCATATGCTTCACCGAGGACTGCTCTTCTTCCGTTGAACAGTTTGTCGCAATTCGATTGTTGACTCGCCTTCAAGACTTCAGCATTACAATGTCTCAATTGAGGCGACAAACCCAATCAAAGCCACTCATCAAGATTATCATGAGACAGTAACAAACATCAACAAAAGATAACAAAAACATTATACACTCAAACTCCCGCCCAGGACCAAAACATCCTGCTTTGGTCTGCACTATCACTATCCACAGCCCCGCAAACTCTCTCGTTCCCCACCATCTCTCATTCCCTTGCCACCAATGTCCACCTCCTCGCCCCCATCAATAGCATCCACTGCGTTGCCCAAAAACAACACTTCCTCAGGACCCACAACCTCAGCACTAGCACTGTTCACCGGCGTCGCGATCGGGGCATTCTTGGTATTCGTCGTTGCGCCGATGGGGTTTTGGATTGCTGTTAGGAGACGACGGCGGAATCAGGAAAGAAGCGTTGATGGCTGATGAGGATATGGGTGGGATGGACAGGGAGGCAGAGGAAAGAGTGTCGAGAAGGGGTAGGATCTGAGGTTGAGAAGGGTGAGGGGAATCAAGGCTGAATTGGGAGTGAAAAAATTTTTCATGTTGAGTGAGTGAGTGTATGTATATACCAGCTTCTGGCACAGTTGAAGACCCGCTCATGTCTAAGGAGAATTTGCAGAGTATTTAATACAGAAAGGGGTCAATCAGTAACGACTTCAGCTTCTATGCGAGCAACATTTCCCCCATCTTTGTATCAATCATTATCTTTTCAAGGGGGGTTGAGAGAGAGGTGGACATCTATCTCTCAAAGAAATCGCAAAGTCGAATGTCGTCTGACTACGATTCGCAAGAACATAAACCATCACAACATCACTTCAAACCAGCCATACCTCCAGCAACTCACTTCTCCACCCCGCCTCCCAAATTCCCAATCCCTCACTAACATAAACATCCCCCCAATCTACCATAACGCGACCAAAACCTCCCACACCTCCACATGTGACTTGATATCAAACCCAGAAACCACCCCCCCTCCCTTCCTCCCATCCCCATCGGCCCTTTACTTCCCCCCGAAATCCCCTTCTCCCTTCTTCCGCTCCGAAACTCAAATATATATCACCTCTCGCTACCCGAACGCGTTTTGAGTTTAGATCTACCTACCTAGCCCGGACTGGCCGTTATCTGTCCCCCCCACCCACGGTTTTCCGGATATCAACTGGTAGCTGGAGAGATTTGGTACGCTAAAATTACAAGTATATGTGGATATTTGTTTGTATGGAGGGGAGGGTTTGGTAAGCTATATTAGCACATGCGTGTAGAAACTCGCTTTTCTGAGGTTGTTTGGGAAGGGGGGGTTTTTCTGGTTGGGTGTTTTATATTACTTGGTGGGAATTATTGTTTTTAAGTAAAATATTTAGGTATATGAAAGAGAGTGGAATTTATTTGGGAATTACATTGTATCGCTCTACTATTACTCGGTTCTATAACGAAAAGATACCGACGCGCAAGGTACTATGTAATATGAAACTTCGTCGTCGCCATGATTTGATTTGTGGTTTTCCCTTTCTACTGTAAGAGTGAGATGAGACGAAATGAGATCGAAGATACGTCTCCTCTTGCATGCTATTGCTGATGAGAAGCCCGAGTAATCAAAGTCCCTTTTCTGCCCGAGCAAACGGGTCAGCGAAAATTTAGTGTTCCGAACAATCTTCAGGACAGGAAGGATTTTCGCAAACGACGAGATATTCCGACCGAAAGCTTGGCCACAACATCCATCAAGGTGCAAACTGTCCTCTATCATTACCTAGGTATTCAAGTGCATGTGAAGGCTGGCTGTTGATAGACTAAGAAACTAACTCGCTAGCATGCCGGTACTTCCGGGACCCTACATGGATGCATGGATGCATGGATGCATGGGGAGTCGGCAGATGGATTTGGGGGTCTTATTCCCGCACGGGGCTGTGTTTGTTTCTGGGGTTCTGGATCTGAATCGGATGCTGATGCTGAGGCTGATGGCTTGTGATGATGAGATGGATTGTGGTGAAGTGGTGCATGAGGTGTGTTGCATTGGGGCTGAGATGGTTGTTTGAGTTGGGCATGTTTTTACGAGGCAGATTTGCACATGGAGAGTTGAGAAGAGAGCAAGCGCGAAGGTACTGCGTCAGATAGGGATGGATGAGATGGTGTAGGAAGTGTACTTGATGTTTGGTTCAGCTGGATATGCGTATGTATGCGAGCTCAAATAGAGTCCATGAAAGTAACGTTTGCGCTTCCCTCCCTCGCATCATCACCATACCTCACTCGATGCCTTGACCTACACATTTATCAGGAAAGGGTGTTCAACTGAACCCAAGCTTCCAACCACTATCTAGTTCTCCAAACAGAAAAGGCAGGTCATGGAAAAGAAAAGGAGTAAAAGGACCGAAGAATGGAACATCAATAGCTATCTTCTTCAGCTCTCACCTTCTAGCGTGTTTGCGAAGTGCAACAGAACGCCAAAACAATAGGAGATTAACAGACTTGAATGAAGACATGCAGATGCATTCTCAACTATCCCAGCTCCCATTCTCAAAGGGAGAGCGGCAAATCCGGACCTTTCCTTCCATCCATCATCAAATTTGAAGCATCGACGAATCAAGCGACTCAACCATGCACGTCATCCGACCACACCATCATGATAATAAACGTCAGCTGCACAGTACCTGAACTTCGCACACTTCTAGAAGGAAATAATCAAGAACAAACGAGTTTGACTCGTGAAGCAGACAAGCAAACAAGGGGTTAATCGATCGGCACTCACCCACCCACCACCACGAGGGAGAAAAATGAGGGCCGACGCAAGGCGCGCAGCCGTTCATTTCTTCACTCGAAAATGAAATGCTACGAAACTTGAACGAATGAAACGCACAAACGCGATGCAACGTCCCGGTCAGATCAAATGGAAAGGCTGATTCGAGGACAGTGAAGATATCTGCGCTCAGCCGCAAACCAAGTATGCAACCCAATCCAGTCCGCGAAAAAGGAGACGAACGAATAATGGAACAAATCGAACATTTCTAGACCACATCACCGAAACTTCGATGCCGCGCATGTGAAAACGTCCAAGCAATAGAACAGAATATCAAGGAAAACGCAAGTTCCTCAACCCCCAATCAAGAAATCATCACTGGATATCTCTGAAACAGCCCCCCTTCTCCACACAAACGCAGCCACCCACCCGACAGATAAACCAAAAATCTCCGCGCGAATAAGCTGACGCTCCAGCAGAGCAATCAAGGCGAAGTAGAGTTTGTATGTACTTCGTAATATCCCCGTTCCTCCCAGTCGGGAGCGCCTACGTCCAGCGAGTGGTCAATACCCTTCAGGCTGACACTGTCAGGTCAGCATCTTAACTTTGGTACCCTGCCCCTTGCGACGGTTCCCTCGGCGAAATATGCCAGAGGACACCAATGGCATGGTGCCGCAGCATGAATTCCCAAGATTGTGGTTGTTGACCGCTCGGGTCTCGCCTTATAGGCTGTTTTGCGTTGCGTCTGGAGTCGAGTTCTGCGTCTTGATTGCTTGTATGGCTTGGTGCCTAGAATCCCACCCTCTTACCCCAATGCAGGTTCTTGACAGTGGAAGTCCAAGTCCGTCAGTTAGTCAGTCAGCCCGTTCTGGATGGAAAGAGAGCAAAGACAGTGATATCCAACCAAAACCTCTCTCCTGCACAGCATCCCTCATCCCTTTATGTCGGCATTCCCGACCTCGTCAAAAGATTCCTCCTCGGTAAGTAGAAGCATCGCCATTCCAGCACAGATCAGTAAGTCGCCCCTCTCCCCCTTGTCGATCCCGACGATCCTGCTAGCGGCCTTCGAGAAGCTTTTTTTTCGCACGCCACGCCATGCTATCCCCGTCTCGGGATCCATCCCAGCAATTCATTTTTGTCAGCGGACACGGACGCCTGTCGTTTATTGGTGTGGCCGAGTTCTCGGGCTGGCAGCACCAGCAACAACGTGAACAGGGTTCTGCGATCGGCAAAAGGGCCGTGAGTGCAGAGATGCACGATACAGTAGCAGTGATTGGGCCGAGTGGGAAACGAGACAGGGAAGTGCTTGGGCTGTGTTGGAACTTGGGCAATCGGCGTGCCTGCTATTGTCACCACCAGCGACGGAGGCGTGGTGAGTGAGTGAGTGAGTGAGTGAGTGAGTGAGGCGTGCTGCGGTGAAGGAAGGTATTTGTCGTGTAGGCTTTGATGATTTGCTTGTCTTGCCTCTCTGTATTATGTATTGTTATGCACGCTGGCTTCTAGGGTTTCGGACTATGATCCCCCGGAGCTGGGAATCGGGTCTGGGAATAAGGATCTGGACTCAGCCTGCCAAGTATAAATTTATTTCCACTTCAATGGCCTTGACCGATGCTGGTATGGTTTGGTCGCTGGACTTGTCGTCAATGGCGGTCGACTAGAAGGGCCTGGTTTGTCTGGATTCGTTTGACATCTTGGACTACGAAACGCCGTTATCATCATAGCGCTTAACCTACAATAGTAGCATATATCCTAAGGTCTAAGGGTGATTAGTGAACCCAGAGGCCACGATCGCGGTGCCGAGTCTTCCTAGCGGATCGTCAGGCAGTTGCAGACTGCAGTTGTTGTCCCAAGAATTCAGAGAAGCTTCGATGCAAGACTCGCATAATTTTGCCCCAGTTCCAGTTCCAGTTCCAGATCCAGATCCCGCATCTTCGGTTGTGACATTGACAGGCAAAAGAAAGTTTTGGACGTCCATGCATCGTGAAGATTTCACCTGCAACGCACGACCGAGCTTGGACGGGATAGGACAGTCCTAGCCGACACAGCTGGGTCTTCCGCGCGAAGTATGCAGGTGCGGGTGCGCAGAGCATGGCATGGCATAGCGTGGTACGGTATGATCTGGAGCGCAAGGTCAGGCAAGGCAGAAAAGTCATCTGTGACCACAATTCACGATTCACGATCCCCAAGTCCCCACGATGGTGCAGCATCTATCACCATCACCTGTTGCTAGGTAATGCTGGGTTGGGGTGTCTGGCATTTCGCTTCCGTCTTGGTGGTGCGTCTGCGTCCGCGTCTGCGTCCGCGTCCGCGTCCGCGTCCTAGGTACCATCCAAGCATTTCATCATGCACAAATCAGAAGTCAAACATGGCTTTCTCCTAGCGAGATCAGAAGCCCCGAATAATATACTGTACTTCATTTAAGAGTTTAGGAGAAAGGAGAATGGAGAAGGAAAGGAAAGATAAGGAAAGGAACAGGAAACGAATGGAAAGGAAAACAGGAAAAAGCGGGCTCCACTGTAGTAAGTATCCACTCACTCTGAACTTTCATCCTGGTTAAACTGGCAGAGAGGCAGAGAGCTGTCCCCATGAACCCAGCCCAATCCCCCCTCGCACCCAATAGTAACATCGGACCCGCCACATTTGCTTTCGGGTCACTGCCCCATCCAGCCTAGACACGCACTGAATGGGGAGCCATGGCGTGCGCTAGGCGTGGTGGTGGGTGCTGGGTCGTCGTCGTTTACTCGCTGAATTTGGGGGTTCTGGCTCTGGTGGCTCTGGTGGCTCTGGCTCTGGCTCTGGCTCTGGCTCTCGCTGGTAAGTAGGTCTCGCTCTCGCTGTTAGGTCTCCCGCCCGAGATCATCGTTTCTCCTCTTTAAACTCTCCCTCGCCAACACCGACCGAATATTCTTCGCCCCATACCAGACACCACACCACCCATACAAACACATACAATACACAGACTCACCTCACTCCGTACAAATCTCCAAAGTGAGACTCGACTCAAGTCCAGCAAACACGCTTCACCAGCCCACAGGTCGGAGTTCACAGCGCATACGTTGCATTACATTCGTTTGCAGGAGCCACAGACGGCAAGAAACAACGCTACTCGACTCTTCGACTCCTCACGCTGCTGGCCCGCCCAGCTCTGGATTCAGCCACGGCGTTTCGAACCAGGCTTGCGAATGGACTCATAATCGCATCATCCCCCCAGATTCCAATCCTTCGCTTTATTCCTTCTGGACTCGATGATTAATCTTCGTGCGATCTGGTATTTGATCTGATCTGCGAGTCGACACACATACATATATCATGTTCGAGCACTTTACGTTTGGCGCCCAGGCGCAGACCTCTTATATCCAACATGAGAACGACGAAGCCTTTCCCTCACCGACAGATTGCTCCTTCAGACTCGCAACACCGCCTCCAACTTCTTTTTTCGAGGGGGAAGTAGAAGTATCATCTCGAGGAGGAATAAACGACCTCGTCAACAAGCTATCAACACAATCCCTCCGTCCAGACGACGACGAACAACCCCAACGCTCAATATGGACCAGCACCCTCCCCTCCCCCGACTTCTCCACCGACACCGATAACGACATGATGCCCGACTTCACCCCCGAAGAACTATCCTACATCTCCACCGGCCGCGGCAAAGTCACCCTGCCATCCCTCCACTCGAGCTCCGTCCCCAACCTATCCTCCATAACGAACCCTCGCAACGGAACTGTGGCCTGCAGACGCCTACAGCGCCAACTAAACGTCCAGCTGCAAACCTGCAGTTCGCACGTAAAAGACATCTCAGCACTCGTAGAAGACATGATCGAAACCTCCTCCCAATGCCGCCTGCACACCTCCCCATCAACCCGCCCCTTCGTCACCGAACCCCTAGAACTCGACACCGAGGAAGAAGATCCGTCGCCACTGCAGCAGCTGCAGCAGCAACTCCCAGAAGACGAAGGGTTTGCGGAAATGGAAGACGAGGACCTCGATGAGGAGATGACGCTAAGGAGAGCGAGTACCCCGTCTGGGATCAGGAAGTGGAACGTGGTAAGGTATCGCGCGAGCGGGGAGTGTATTGGGGGACCGCCGGAACTGGCGTGGATGGGGAGGAGGAAGGTGAGGTGTGTGCCGAGGATGAGGAGGCGGAAACCGAAGACGGTGGCGGAGTGAGTGTAGGGTAGGGTAGGGTAGGGGAAAATATAATAGTGGGTCGGCGTTTAGAGTTGGGAGCAAGCAATTGCGTGCGTCTTCTTGGGTTGGGTTTCCTCCCTGGCTAGGGATGGGTAGTTGGTAGGCATTGGGTTGGGTTAGGATGGTTGGTTGGCAGGTATACCAGAATGATGGATGGAAGGCTGTACAGAGATCAGAGATCCATGGTGGGGATATTGTTGAAATATTTATCCCGAGATATGATATACGAATATACCTACGTAATTCAAGTGTGCGTTTGCACAGCTGTACCGACACTCACTGTTCTTTGGTTGTCCTTTGATTCGTTAGTTATTTCTGCTGAGCAAGTGCTTGGTTTCTTTCGGTTCATTGAAAGCGCTCAGAGTCTTTTTGGTTTTCTGTTGTCATTCCGACATTGGATTCTAGTCAACATCCACTGCCACCTCACTTTTTGCTATCAATATATCCCTTGCTGTCAATAATCAACAATGTCAGCACTCCCTCCCCGCCACGGTATATAACGACACCATCCCGACTCGCTAAGCAGCACAGACAGCTCCACCCACCAACGTATGCTCTGAAATATTCTTTCTGATTGTTCATTGTAGAAGAAGAATGACCGAGGTTGAGCTGGGGTATATATACCTAGAAAAGCTGTGACTACGGACGATCAGGGTATGGGAAGTTGGTGAATGTTCTTTGAGCATAGACTGGGGAGCGAATCAATGTTTGTTTCTCTCTAAAAGTGTTTGGCGAACAATCTTTGAAAACTGCATGTGGTATATTTTCTTGTGAGTAAGCAATTCTCAATTTATCCTTTGCACTTCCATTTTGGTGTGAAAGATTTCTATGATGGAGACAGACTTTGATGTTTGCGGTAACCACTTTTTTTCATCCGAGTGAAGAGTTTCGTTTGAACAGCAGATGACAGCAAAAATTTACTGAACGATAACGCTTAGTCCAAAAACCCGGGTACACCCAAGCATATACCAACACCCGTTAAAAAAATTTACTACATACGAATATACCCGCTATCTCTGTACCCGGCTCCAACCCGGGTTCAAGCGCACCCGGCTCTCCTCTGCCTCCTTTCTCCTCTCCTTTTGCTTTTGCTTTTGGAGCTTGCGTGGGCAGAGATAGCTGACAGTTGCGCTGCGATATATACATGACGTGCGGCCGCTGGTGTGTGTGTAATGGTTGCGAGTTTGACTCTTCTTTTCTGCAGCGAGACTTATACTTAGATTGACTTTGAATTTCTGGGTGTCTTTGTCTGGGATATAAATATAACTCTATGTCTTTTATAACTCGATCAATACTTAACCAGCAAGTATAGAAGGAATCTAGGACGGAGTTTGTAGTAGTGAAGATATTGCCAACGTAGTTCTATATTTTAAGCTTTTCGTTATCGTCTCACAATACAAAACACCCAAGAAATCCAATATTTTTTATTATTAATAAATCTTTTGCTATTAATAAATCTTTCATTATTAACAAACCGTCTACTATTAATAATTTGTGATTATATTTAAGCAAACTAGCTTATACACCTCAAAATAGCATACTCTACTCCACGTCCCTGGCTTACACACTAACACACCAGTCTATAGTTCAAAGCATTCAGGACTTCTCAAAGTTGTATAAGGTCGGGGGACGGAAGACGGACGCCGGATTATATACCCTCCGTCCTCACGCTAGTAGAATCCGTCCAAGTAGTTTTAAATAAATTTACTGTGTATCGGGCCTTTTAAGAGGAAATTATTAGAGATTCATTGTCTTGGCTTTTGTATTGTTGGAATAGTTTATTCACTTCTTTGGTTCGTGGGTAAAGGAGTCAGTGGTTTATTACTCACGGTTAGTAAATTCACTCTACTGAACGAGCAGTCGAAAAATTCACTGTTTTTTGTTTGTCTGCGAATAGGTCGTATATTGGTGTAAACTATGACTTGTTATTCACTGCTCATATATTCACTCATTTCTCTGAATATTCATTTTGATTTTCGAGGGGTATATAAACGACTTCTTGCTCGCTTTCATATTTTCCAGAGAAGACAACATGGCTGCCTTACAAGAATCCTGGGAGCATATTGATTTAGTATTTTAAATATTCTAGTCCGGGTGCAGGCTTTTCTTTAAGGTGCATAATTGGTTTGGTTCATGGGGTGTGTTTGATAATGGAAGGCTTTTGTTTGTGGTTATTAGGAATAGGAGTTGGCAGCAAAGATTTAATTAACAACAAACCCAAAGATTTCCAGATTCTAGTCTCAAAAGAAAAGATTAAGCAATGAGAATAGCAGCCCTATGTCTCACATTTATCACTTCTTAGCTAAGCTTGCTTGTAATTAACAATAAAAAGTCGATAAGACAAGGGCCTTGAAGTCTCGAGAGACGTTGTTCTAGTAAAGTCATGGCTTTCCCCATTCACAAGAAAGTTTCGGAGAGTTAAGGAGGAGGGCTTATATAGTGAATTTATTTAAAACTTTTTAGACAGATTTTATTAGCGTGAAGACGGAGGGTATATAATCCGACCTCCGGCCTCCGTCTTTTGTCTTCCTTAGATAACTTTTAAAAGACTCTATAGAGTTACTATTGGTGTGTTAGTGTGTGGAGCTAGGTGTGTAAAGCCATGTGTGTGGAGCCGGGTGTGTGGAGCCGGGGACGTGGAATAAAGTATAGAATTCTAAAGTGTATTAAATTGTGGTGTTAAATTTGCTTAAATGTAATTACAAGTTATTAATAGCAAAAAATTTATTAATAATAAAAATATTAAATATAAAAAGCTTAAATTTCTTAAATATTTTATATTATGAAACGATAACGAAAATCTTAGCTTTTATATTATTAATTTAAGAAAAAAATAATATAAATTTACTAACGCGTTTCGAAAAACAAATCGCGCTTTAAAATTTTTTTTTTTTTTTTTTTTTTTAGAAATTTTTCTTTTTTATATTAGTTGTATAAATATAAAATACGAAAACTAAGAATTAAAAGAGAAAGTGAATATAAGTTCCGAGATTAGAATCACATTTGCATAGCTTTATTTCGAGATAATATTCTAAGAATATAAGTGAATATAAACTTCGAGACACGATTCGCAACTTCACAGCCTTGTTTCGAAATAATTCGATTATATAAACTTAAAGATTTTGCTTCTGAACTATTATTCTAAAGTTATAAAGTACACGGTGAGGTAAGAGAGAAGGAAAGCACACGCTTCGTAGCAATAATGCGAGAGTCCCGGGCTCTGATCCATTTTTCTTCAAAATTCTCACTATTAAAGTAAACATAATACGCTTTCCTTGAAGCAAGTTTTAAACTTCTGTTGCCTAGTCATTTATTGTTGTTAATTTTTATTTATGACAGCAAAATGTACATACTATATGTAACGATTTACGTGATCCAAAGCACCCGGATCAACAAATCTAGGTTACGAGACAATCTAGGCCACTTGGGTACAAACAACGCACTGCAACTTTTTTGCCTTTACCTTTGATAGTCGTTATTGTTGAAAATCCTAAAGAGAGCAAGAGGTGTGTTTATATAGTTAACTTTCTTACTCGATAGCTTTCGAAAATATCAATTTATCTAGATTCACTACTACGTCCCGCATCCCCAGCCTCGCTCCAAATACATTCACCCATTACTTCCGAAAGCAAATAATCTTGTCACTAATTTTTTTCGACTTTTCGAGGGTATATATCGGCTTTTTTAAAAAAATTATTAGAAATTCACTATTTTAACTTTTGTATTATTAATTAAACAAGAATAATAAAGATTCACTAACGTGTTTTGAAAAACAATAAAACGAATTATAAAGCGCCTCGATCGGCCATTTGCATAGCATTCAGCGATCAAGACCAATGCATATCTGAAACATTAAATCACTGTGAATGTCTTCCTCATTTTTTCACGTCGTGAGATGCCCATTTTTGTGAGATGACTCTGATAGATGAGACTTAGGCAACGGAATGTCTGGATCATGTTGGTAGATTGAAGTGACAATGTATCTTGGAAAGTCCATATTTTTTCTCCGAAGATGTGCTTTGTCTTGGCATGCTTGGTTTGAAATATACCTAAGCCTAGACTACATCAAGTATATCTCAGCACCAACGGGAATACGCAAGATACTGAAGTGGCAACAAGGGTGAAGATAAGATAACGATAGTGGATTCGCATAATTTCTGGAGACATTCCTCCCACTTTTCATATCTTCAACGCCTCACCCAGCCTCAACTCATCACCACCATTGACTTTTACTACAGAAGAATGGGAAGCACCGAGCCTACGACTTCGCCAACGGCCGTCCAACCGGCACCTCTGATCAAAGAGTTTCGCTGTGTTTGGGGTAATTGCACGAAATCATTCTCAAGAGCTGAGCACCTTCATCGGCATGCGTTAAATCACGATGAAAGCAGAGCAAATCTCACATGTGAAAGATGCAGCGCTGTCTTCAAGCGGAAAGACTTGATAGGTAAGCGATCAATGAGCTCTTTGAATTGTTTGATAATGAATACTTGATGCTTATTGTTCAATAGACAGGCATATGGCGCGTCACCGTGAGAAAGATGAGGAGGCTGGAGGAGAAGGATTGGGAAGATTGCAAACTCGGAAACGATTGTGGCGAGATTCAAACGGTGCAGTAGTTGCAAAGAGACGTCCAGAACTAGAAAAGAAGCGAAGAACTTCCAGTACTTCTCGAAATAGAAATAGCTCCACTGGTCAAACCAATGAGGGTGATCCTGGAACATACACTCAACAGCAAGATCATGTCCCATTGTCTCCTCCTGGATCATCGCAAGACCACCAGTCCAATGGACCAGACTCGGCAGAATTACCAGGAAAGTCAACTTTGCCACAGACTGAAGAGCTATGGCCTCTGTCCATGGGAGATGTTTCTTTGTTGGACCAGGCAGGAGCAATGGCTGAGCCATACGACTTCCTCTGCAACGCTTCTTGGGGCTCTCATTTTCAGGAAAGTGCCAACTCGGACCTTCTCTACAATGATCTTTTCGCACCAGATACAGGTAAGTCTCATCTTTCCTTCCCTTCAGACTTTGCTCACAATCCTGCAGCCAGCTCCTTCAACCATCCTTTCACGACTATGAACTATTACAATTGGCTCCTTGGAAACGAGAATTGGCCTGTCTCTACATTTGATGCAAGCAACGGAGTTGAATTGAGCAAACTTCCAATGGGAGTCTCCACCGCACCGCAACCACCTCGAAGTACTGCGTCACTCAGTGTCTCTGATTCTTCCGGAGAATATGGAAGTAGTGGCAGTTACTACGACGTTTCAAGTCATAATTTCAAGCTCCCAGCAGCAAGCTCAAACACCTCAAGCAGCTCGTATTCTGGAGAAGCATCAACTCCTGAGACTTCAGCTGCCAATCAGATCTTGGCCATGTCACAAATGGCTGAGTCGAACTTTGCTGCGAGCCTTGGCTACCAAGATGCAAACATTCCCAGACAGCAACCTCAAGTTCAGACAATCGAGAGTCCGAATGGAATGCCAACGCCTACGACTTCGAGGTCAAGCTTTGAGAGTGGAAGATCGAAACAGTCTCGGAAGTTGCCAGCTATTAATGAAGCTGCACGTCAAGGAATTCTGGAACTCGTCAGCCGTGCTCAACCCAAAGCTCCCGATGAGACTGCAATCACGACCGAACATGATCTTCTGCAATTGCCTGTTCTCCAGGAATACTGCGACTTGTACTTCAAGAAGTTCAATACAGCATATCCCCTTCTGCATCAGGCAACGTTCGAACCTTCGCATGTTGATCCTCTGCTTCTCGCTTCCGTACTCCTTCTAGGAGCAACTTATAGCGACAAAGAATCCCACCTCTTTGCTATTTGTATCCATGATACTATGCGAGCTCAGATCTTCGGCAGCATAGCATTCAACACTCGACCAGAATTGTGGATGCTTCAGACTATCCTGCTCGTGGAATGCTTTGGCAAATCACGCGCTGGACAGGTATGTGACTTCTTTCAAGCTCAGTTTCTACTTCTATGTTATCTTGTGAACTTCGCTGCAAAATTCTCATGCAAACAAACTATTCTGAAATGCTTCATTGTTTGAAAGAAATTATACTGATTTAGAGGTGTCCAGCGGCAACATGATATGGCACACTTGTTCCATGGACTGCTGATCAAGTACGTATGCCGCTCGATTCGTGCACGTACTCGTTAACTTTCCACAGTCTAATACGAAGAAGCGATTGCCAATCAGCTCGATGTGCACCATTTGATGACAACGATAGGATTGATATCGATCGACGTTGGAGAACTGAGGTTGAAGCAGAGCAGAAGAGACGGTATGGATCCACTTTCTATTCTTGCTCCAGGGCTGACCAGAGATTTAGACTTGCTCTCCTCTGCTTCATGTGGGATACGCAGCATGCAGTCTTGTTTTCTCAATCCTTGTGTATGAATGCAGCAGAGCTCAAGCTCACCTTGCCTTGGAATGAAGCGCTATGGAAAGCAGAAACACCCGAAGAATGGTATGCTGTCCATGCGATGGAGAAGCCTCAACCGCAATACCTTGCTGTTCTCAAGACGTACTTTGTGCCAGTACCTGAAGGTCGAGCGTTATCTTTGAATGCCCTCTCCAGAGTGCTCATGTTGCATGGGATCATGTCTGTGGCATGGGACTTGAATCGTAGAGATCAGACTTCTCTTGGTAAACATCTCACTCGAGGTATCGAAGTGTTGCTAATCAATTTTCAGGTCTCGTAACAACAGGCAAGGAAGAATCGTGGCAGTCCCGCATCTCTAGATCATACGACACTTGGAAAGGTGACTTTGATGCTTACAGCAAAACCATTATGCTATCTCTGGACGACAACGAACTTGAGAAGTCAGAATTCCAGAAATTCTGTGTCGCTACCCTCGCAGTTTATCACGCTTCGCACATTATTCTTCAAGTTGAGATCAACGACCTCCAAATCTATGCTGGAGCGAGTCATATTATCGGCCGACCTGTCACGAAAGTGGACCGTGAGCGATCAAAAGCACGAATTGAACGCTGGGTAAAGCACAGCTCGATCTCAGCTGCCAAGGCGGGCTCACACGCTGCTCGAATTCTCCGTGATGGTATACGCAAGCTGAAAGACTGGGATGCTGGAGATTATTTCCATTATCCTTGGTGTTTGTACCTTGCCACCCTGACTTGCTGGGCCTTCCAAATGTGCAGCAAGACTGCTGAGGGAGCCTTAGCTGAAGGTAATGGAAGCGATACAGAAGAAGATAGTGATTGGGATGCGAGAGCGGAGATGAGTGCGTTGGTCAGTGCCATGACAAGAAGTAACCTTGAAGATCTGTGGAGAGTTGCTGGTAGGTATCGGACAGGTGATCTACCGAGGGTTATGAGCAAGCACTTGAGCACGGTGAGATGGGCTGTTGTGCAGGAAGGTATGAAAGTACTCAACGGCTTAGTGGGAGAAGCGAGATGAGGAGACGAAGACGCAATTTTGGAGGAGTATATATTATGATTTCTATGATTGATATCCAAGTTCTTTGATGAATGATACATGCTTATAACCTTGATTGTATTTGTTCCTTCTCTTGTCCTTGTTCTCGGGGCCAATTTGCTTCGACCTTTGGCAGGGTTAGCTCGGTTATGTGACGACGAGCATCAGCGGAGAAAATGAACTCACATCTTTGATATGATCATACCCTAACAACTTCGGACTCAACTCCGGATCTCTCCACGCCAACGCTTCACCAGGTGGCGTAGGAACCATCTGCATTTTTCTATCCCTCTCTTCCTGCTCTGGCCCATCATCCAAATGATAAAGATACTGCTGCAAATTACCCCTCTGAACAACCATCTCCGTCCTCCCCTTCCTACACCTCTTATAAACTCTCAAAGCCAACTTCTTCTCTTCAGCTCCCTTCCCCTTAATCCTCGACAAACACTCCCCAAGCACCGCCCCATCCTCTAACGCCATCCCCGCCCCTGACGCCAAATACGGAAGCGTAGCATGCACAGCATCTCCAAGCATAGTCCAAGCCCCCGACTCGTGACTCCATTGCTCCATCCCAGGCCTTATGCAAAGCCGCCATTTATACACACTTTCGCAAAGCGACAAAAGTTTCGGGATCCGCGGATCCCAGTCTTTATACAACGCCCGCATCTCCTCGACATTCCCCTCCAACGTACTCGCTCCATCAGCAGGCATATCATCCGGCACCAACAACACCATATTAAACAGCTCCCCTCCCCTCAACACATAGTTCACAGCATGAGCCCCAGGCCCCATCCAATAATTCACCTGCGGATCCGTGACGAACGCCGCCAGCTCCGGATCCCGCAATATCTGCGCAGTCGACAGAAGCAGCCGGTACGCCAGATCCCCCGTCGGCGTCGCTGGGTCCGGATACCCTAGCAGCAGTTCCCGTAACTTGGAGTTTATCCCGTCGGCGCCTACCAGGAGATCTGTTTCTAGCTCTTCGCCATTATATAAGATTACTTTGGCAGCGAGTCCATCCTCGATGATCTTCACAGAACTTACCCGCGCGTTGCAGCGTACAGTGGCACCGAGCTCGATGGCGCGGTCTAGGAGACATTTGTGTAGGTTCGCGCGGTGGAAATCCCAGTAAAAGGTCCCGGGGTAGAGGGAAGCGGAAGCGTGGAAGTCCATGCTGGAGATCAGGTTCCCTTTCCAGCCGAGCATGTTGAGTTGTTTGGGGGCGGTGGCGTGTTTTTGGAGGCGGGGTTTGAGGCCCCAGGTTTGGAGGACCCGGGAGCTGTTGGGGAGGACTTGGATTCCTGCTCCGACCTGTGAGGATGTGTTAGGTGAGGTTTGGGGAAGAGAGGGGGAAAACGAACTTCTGCTATTTCGGAGGCGGATTCGAGGACGAGGACATCGTGGCCGGCGAGAAGGATTGAGATTGCGGCTCCTAAACCTCCAAGTCCTGCTCCGACGACGACGACCTTTTTGTGTTAGCCACGTGATTTGTATATCTTCACTGGAAGTGGGAGGAGCACATTGGATCTGAGTCCTGGTATCTTACCTTCAGCTTACTCTCCTCATCTCTCACTATCTTCTCTTTCGCTGGGATACTATACTCCGTCATCTTGTCGTCTCACCACAACTCTAAGCTATTGCAATCATCCCAAGACCTTCTTCAAACCTCACCGAGTGTCAACGACGTTGATATCGCAGCTGGTCACGAGACAAGATCAGAACTCTTATCGACAGGCCCATCGATTCCTATGCATCTCTATCAGTAATCCCGATAAGACACTTGTCGATCTATACCAATCATAAACTAAATTATCGTCGTTGTGAGATGGGAAGTGCAAGAGTGGAAGAGTGGGGGAGGGGCGATAACGGATGCGGGGCAGATGCAGCTAGTGTGTAGCCATTGAAACGGGTCAGCCGAGTCTGGAAGATGTGATATACTTTTGAAAATGGGGGATGGAATTGTTGGTAATTCGGCGATTGGAGGTTTTGAGAGGGATGAAAGTCCGATGTCGTGGCCGGACAATGGTGGAGCTTCAATTCCACTCCTGGTGGATGTTGGCGAATGACTCGCTTGGGTTGAGGGAATGTGAAGATTCTCAGAGTGTAGAGTGTTGAATGCCTTCAAGGAACGTATTATACTGAAATCTGAGTATGATGGATAGAGTAAGAGTCCTCTCCTCAGAGTACAATTCTCCTTTCTGACCATATCTCCAGTTCTCGCTCAAAGGTCGCACAGCGTTAGTGACAGGAGGTGCTCGAGGTTGCGGTCTCGCGTTCGCTGAAGGTCTCGCTGAAGCAGGAGCCGACGTTGCCATTTTCGATGTTATACCTCCCGTCGAAGCATTCTTCGAGATTGAGAAGAAATTCGGTGTCAAGACCAAGCATTACCAGTTTGTTCCCCTTGCTCTGAGAAAGAAAGGTCACCTGATGTAAAGAACAGTGTAGACGTGAGTAGTGAAGCCAGTCTCAAGAGCGGCTTTGCAGACTTCGTCAAAGATTTTGATGGCAAGCTCGACATTTGCGTGCCTTGTGCTGGTATCAATCGTAACTTGGGGTTTCTGGATACCTCGTTTGAAGAGCATCAAAAGTTGATTGGTGTCAATGTTATGGGTGTGTATCATACTGCTCAGTTGGCTGCTAAGCAGATGATTGCGAATAGAACCAAGAAGGGGAGTATTGTGCTTGTGGCCAGCATTGCTAGCTATATGGCTATTCGAAGTCAGATGAGTAGTGCGTACTGTGGGACGAAGGGGGCTGTGAGAGCAATGTGTCCTGCTATTGCTGCGGAATTGGTGAAATATGTAAGTTCTATGTTTTGAGAGAGTACTTATACGTTCTGGGCTAACGAGAATTGAAGGGAATCAGAGTCAATTCCATTTCTCCTGGATATGTTCGGACTGAAATGACAGCACCAGTGAGTTCCGAGCACAAAGGTATGAAGAATCAGAGAAGTTCTGACTGTGTCCAGTTCCCGCATCTACTTGAAAGCTGGAAAGATGAAATCATGAATGGAAGAGTTGCTGAGCCTGAAGATATTCGAGGCGGATGTGTTTTCTTGGCCAGTGATGCGAGCTCCTACATGACTGGACAGGATCTCTGTATTGATGGAGGAGTGACAAAATGGTAGACAGTTGGATTTGATAGCAAAATGGACAAAAATCTTCGCATTCCAAATCCTATTCTTCTGGATCTTATGTCCAATCCGTGATTTTTGAGGTAAGTTGCCGTCCCCTGAGTCCGGAAATGCACGTTTGCGCCTATCCTCCCTCCCATCTCCTCAAATCCGTTTGTTCCGTTCTCAAACCACCCCTTCGGCCTCTAGTACCGTTTTTGCTTTCCGTTCTACTTGATGCGGCATCAACTTGCCATCGAGGCGTTTCTCAACACTAGCTGAAAGTCTGATCGCTCCAGACTTTTACGGCAGATCGGCACTGCAACTTTGATAGGACGATAAGTGAAGGAAAGACAGAGACAGAGAGAGAATAAAGCAGAGATGCAAAAATGGGGGAAACAGATTGATGACTCTTTAGATAAGAAGTGATTGAACAGCAAACTGGACGGATTCGTGGAGGATATGACGATAAATCTCGGAATCGTGTGATGCTGACGGCGGTCGTGGTCTTATGTTGGTAACGAAAAGGGGGTTGCGGCAACAGGGCACTCTCGCTGTCCGTAGTCCACACCCATCCCTGGTGGTTGCGCCTCAGTCTTCCTCACCGTAGCCTTGACTTCACCTATGCAAAACTCCAAAACTCACTCCTCTCACCGCACAACTCACTCCTCCTCAATTATGAATTGCCTCAGATCTTCACTTCTGGCCGTCTTCATGCCCTCTCGTCCCCCGTAGCAAATCCGGGCCACCCCGAAGCCGACCGGTTATTTTCGTTCACTTCCCAGGCTCTCGCCCTATCCGCGTGGTGCTCGGCAGCGGCAATCTAGAACCCCATCCTTGAACATCAGTCCATTCTGCTCGAATCATGCCACAGATCCCTCCACTCTTTTACCCCTTACGGCCATTATCGCCTGATGTTCGAAACTGGCACCGCTGCCCGTCAGAAAAGCCGCTTTCCCTCACCTCCCTCAACCACAGTGCGACATATGATGACTGTGATGCCAACGTTGACTTGAGTTGAGACCCCGTTCGAGAATCTTACTGTAGACCTGCGACTTCGCTGAACGACTGATTGTGCACCCATTTGCATCCCGACTGCAACCTTTCTTTCTTTCTTTGTGTGTATTCGACCCTATTATATCTGTATCTGGCCTATCTCTGCGTTGCGTTGCGTTGCATTGCGTCTTTCTCGCTACTTGCCTGCCCTGCTCTGCCCTTATCTGTGGCGCTATCACGTGGACATGTCGCCTGGGATGGATAATGAAGGCTTTCGTGATGAGCCTGTCACCACCAATGGCAATGGTGTCCATCACAACGATATGATGAATGGGAGTGATGAGAATCACGTGCTCGTAATCGGGGCAGGTCCAGCAGGTTTGATGTTGGCGTGAGTAATCATTAACTCAATAAGATGAGGTTTGTAGAGTAGTACTAACTCGATTGATCAGGTCGAACTTGGTGCGTTTTGGAATCAAGACGAAAATTCTTGATGATCGGCCTGATAAGACGTCCACTGGGCGAGCCGATGGTCTTCAACCAAAGACCATTGAAACTTTCAAGCAGCTTGGTCTGGCCGATCCATTATTAAGAAGAGGCGCGAGAATCTATGACATTTGCTTCTGGGTAAGTTCTTGCTGAGTATGAAAAGGAAAGAATTCATACTCATTTAGAATAGAGTGGATCAGCGGCGAGTCCGCTTCGTCGGATAGGACGCGAGATACATTATCCACCAGGAGTGGTTGATGTCCAAGATCCGTTCATTCTGCTTGTTCATCAAGGAATGGTTGAAGAAGTGTTCCTTGATGATTTATCAGTCCGAGGTGTGGAGGTGATGAGAAGCAGCCAGTTTACTCGATATTCCACACCTGAAAAGGTCGGAGTTCAAGTTGAGTACGACGACATTGAAACTGGTCAAACAAAGACTGTCAAAGGTCGTTATATGGTTGGATGCGATGGTGCTCATTCAAGAGTGCGGAAATCAATGCTTCTTTCTGAGTTTGAGGGTGAAAACACGAAATCTGCATGGGGAGTATTGGATGGTGAGGATTAACCCCACTTTGAGATGAGCTTCACTAACAATTTCCAAGGTGTAATTGATACCGATTTCCCAGACTTGTGGAGTAAAGCAGTTATTCATTCTGAAACCGAAGGTTCGATCTTGTGTATACCTCGAGAGAAGAATATGACAAGACTGTACATTGAGCTCCACCCTGGAACAGCACCCCTGTCGAACGAAGCAGCGACAGAAGAATTCGTGATGCAAAGAGCAAAAGAAATCATGAAACCATTCAAGCTGTCATGGAAGACTGTCGGTATGTAGAATCTTGCTGTGAACACTCACTCAGTTGCTGACTTCAATAGAATGGTTTGGTATTTACAAGGTTGGACAGCGTGTCGCTAAGCGATTTTCCGATGATTCTGAAAGGGTTTTCATTGCTGGAGACGTACGTGCCCCAAGTTACATGGTAGAACTTCCACTGATTATCTCAGGCCGCGCATTCACATTCGCCAAAAGCTGCTCAAGGTATGAATGTCAGCATGCACGACGCTTTCAATCTTTCCTGGAAACTCAACCTCGTGGTCCGAGGTCTCGCTTCGCCCAACCTCCTATCAACCTACGAGCAAGAGCGACGAAAGATCGCTCAAGATCTCATTGACTTCGACTATGGCCACGCCAACGCCTTCGCAGCAGGAGATCCCAAGCTCCTCGCCGAAAACTTCGCCAAGAACATCCGTTTCATCTCCGGAGTCGGAGCAGAATACTCCTACAACCTCCTCAACCTCCCCGACAAGCTTCCCCGAGGTGGCCTCTCACCCGGCTGCCTGCTCGTCCCCGCCAAAGTCTCCCGTTACGTCGACGCCAACCCCATAAACCTCCAACTCGACATCCCCATGCTGGGCCAATTCCGCCTCTTCTTCTTCACCCACAACGTCAAAACCGCCTCCGCCTTCCTCTCCCACGTCTGCCAAGAAGTAGCCTCCGAACGCACCGTCCTCGGTCGAGCCTCCGCCGCTGCTGCTGCCTCGTACGCAGATCTCGCTCCCCCAGCTACGGAAATAGACATGTTCATGCAACCCGCGCGCTACACGCCCGTCTCCAAGATCTTCACCTACGCGATCGTGACCACGATGCCGAAAGCGCGGGTCGAGATCGCGGATCTGCCGCAGGTGCTGCAGGATAGTAGGTGGACGTTCTATCTCGATAATCTGATGCGGATGCCGAGCTGTACGGAGAAGTGGTTGGGGCCGTTGATGGAGAGTGAGGTTGCTGTTATTAATGTGAGGCCTGATGGGTATGTGGGGAGTATTGGGAGGTGGAAGAGTCATCAGGTGGGGAGTGAGATGGAGTGTGTGAGGTGGTTGGATACTTATTATGGGGCTTTTTTGAAAGGTTGATGTTGTGGATGGTTGGGGGCATGTTATTCATTGTATTTGTGAGCATAAGCATGGAAATAAAACGCATCTTCAACAAGGGTTTGAATTTTCTGGAGCTCGTGGATTATTACTTGGACAATTATATATGTACTAAGTATAGATCATTTGTTCATATTTCGTGTTCTACCATATTCGAGCATCGCTTCTGAAGATCTGAAATAAGATACACCCAAGTATACGGATCATAGCATCCCAGCCTCGGAAACCTTCCGTGCGACATCAACAGGATCGGCACCCTCAAAAGCATCAACCTGATACCCCTTGAACTTTCTAGCAGGAACCTTCTTCGCGAACAAGATATCAAGATCCTCAAACGTTCGTCCCTTCGTCTCAGGCAGACGATAATAAGCCCAAACAAAAGTCGCAAAAGCCGTCGCACTCCAGATGAATCCCGTATAACCTTTCAAGTTCCACTCAGTTGGGTTCATGAAGTATGGCTCCAGGACACCAGAGATGAGTGAGATGATATAATAAGCGTTACGAGCGAGACAAACGGTCTTCTGACGGAGTCGAGTAGATCCCATCTCAGCAGGTAGAGCCCAGCCAAGCTGTCCAGCCGACAATTGAAAAGTGAGAGTCCAGAGGAGAGTGAGAACAGCTTGCGTCATCCCGATTCCGTGCTCGTTGGTCTTGACGTTCAAGACACCGATCGTGAAGAGGATTGCTGACATGGTGAACATGCCCCATAGGTAAATGGTGCGGCGACCAAGGTATGGCATGAGAGCGAACCAAGCGACCAATGTTCCGAAAAGTGCCATTGCAGTCCCACCAGTGTTCAGCTTGTAGGTGGTTGAAGTGTTGAGACCAACTTGTTGGAAGAAGTATGTCGAGTTGTAGGCGAATGATGAGCCAGACAGAATCTGGCCTGCAAAAGCCACGCATGCAATTTCAGTTCGACGGAGCTCGGGACCCTTGAAGCAATCGACGTAAGCGGTACCTGTGGAAAGCTCTCCCTCGAGATTGTTGGTATGAACGATGACGGCAAGAGTGTGCTTGGTGTCGATGCCAGAAGAAGCGCGGACGAGACGCTTCAGAGAGTGCTCGGCTTCGTCGAGGCGGCCTTTCCGAACCAAGTGCCATGGAGATTCAGGGGCAAAGAGAAGGATTGGGAAGAGGAAAGCAGGCCAAGTCCATTGAATTGCTAAGAGCTAGTCAGTACATAAGCCGACTGAAGTCGGTGAGCATGTGACTTACCGAAGGGAATTCTGTAAGACCATTCATTGGTAATGCTCAGACATCCGTCAAGTACTCCGGCAGCGATGAGTTGACCGATAATGAAACACTGAGAAATGTTAGTGAGAGTCAGGTCATTCATGTCTCGAGACGTACCATATTAGTGTAACTGGTCAAGTAGACTCTGAGAGACAAAGGCAAAACCTCGGAGGCATATGCAGGAGCCGCAGATGCAAAGACGCCCCATGGCAGACCGCAAAGCACCTCTCCAATAGTTAAGGCGATGATGTTTGGGGCGAAGAAAGTGATGAAGATAAGTCCGGAGAGGGCGATGAGAGATCCGAGAAGAACACGCTTCTGACCAAAGACACCCACGAGGTAACCATTAAGCAAAACACCAAAGAACGCACCAACACCTGATGCATTGCCGAGACCGGCTTGCCATGCAGCTGTCAGTTGATAGCCGACCCCTGGGAAATAAGTACCGTACTTCTTGGCGAAGGTAGGGTAAGCGTAAAAGTTACCGATGAGAATGGTATCGTAGCCTTCCATAACGACACACATGGAAACGAGGACGGCCCAGAAGATAGCCATAGGGTATGCCTTAATTGCTTGCCATGGAGCAAGGTGATGTTCGAGATCAGTGCCGTCCTTCGCTGCAAGATTGAGGTTGGAACCTTGCATCTTCAGGTCGAGGTTGACATCTTCGAGTTCGAGGCGAGAAGGAGTTACCTCCTTTGTGAGGTCGACAAAGTTCTTCTCCATTGTGAAAGTGTGATGAATGCAAGGTGCTCAGATAATGAGAGATGGAAGAAGATCAATGAAGTCGATGCTCTGATGAGGAGTGAGGCCTTGAGATGGTGGGACGAGCAACATAGTTATATACTAATTCCATTGTCGGAATGTATATAGTCACCGTCACTTGAGGTTGGGTACGAGTTGCCCCGCCAGACAGTTCTCGACTTGGCGCCGGCGACACTTGTGCCCCTCTTTTTCCCGTACAATTTCTCGCTGAGAATCTGGGGAGACCCTCGCCCTAGCGGCGTCATGACAAGCTTCCCCAATATTGGGGATGGCCCAAGCATCTGGGTCTATTCCCTATCGAAGCAAAGTTCCATCGTAGATGATTGGGGGATAGACTTAGTGAGCTTAATTGAGGTGTGCTTCACCCTTCATTCAAAGCAAGAAATCTTGGTCCCCTCATGTTGCGTCGGTCATTCGTAAGTCTTGGCAGGGTTGAAGACCAATTGAAATGGTGCAACTCCGCTGCCAGAGATGAAGTCCGCCGCTACTGAGTGCTACCCGTCGAACGCCGACCCAGATCAAGATTCCTCATCCTCATGCGAAAGAAGGCGTTCTGGCTGAACTCCAGCTGGCCAGTCTATTGGAGTTATCTGATCAAACCATTCGTATGGCTCCGCATGATCCAGGAGAAGCACCATTCCAGAAGACACGAAGACCAGGGCGGAAATCCCGTCGAATGAAACGTTCTCAATTCCGCTGCAACCCCTCAGTTCTTGCAGAGCTCCACGACCTTTTGATACGCCTCGTTGGAATCTGAACGCCTCGAGGAACGTGCCAAGCTAGACATGTTGTTCAATACCGCCGCCACGTTCCTGTCGTCGGGAATCGGATCCAATGGGAAATGCTGAACTCCGCTTGTCCCCCACCTGGGGAAGTATGAGATGTACCTTCGGGGCATCAGATGCGGGGCAGATGGATATTGACAACCACGAGATGGTGCATGACTCCCTATGCCCAGAGTTTCTTCGTTATCCCACTGTTATTGGGACACCATGTCGCCGGAGTAGTGTAAGTTGGGAAGTATTTCAAACGTACTCCCCTCCTTTCATAGCTGCAGCCACACTCCTCGCCGTATTTTCTTTTGGACCAGATTCCCTCATACTATTCGAATATTGTACACCATCATCCAAATCATAGATTTCCCCTTCTGCCCCAGCACCCATGGCTAGCACCATGCACCTTGCTTTGGTTCTCGCCCTTTTCACTGGCCAGGCTATCAGTGTCAATAATGGGCTTGCAAGAACTCCTCAGATGGGATGGGTAAATCAAACACCATGGATCTGCTATGAGAGTATCATACTAACAGCAACAGAACAATTGGAACGCTCTCGGCTGCGATGTTTCCGAATCCCTCCTCCTCGATACGTCCAAGAAGCTGGTCGATTCTGGTCTGCGAGATGTCGGATACAACTATGTTGTGCTGGATGATTGCTGGTCTGATGGGAGAGATGAAGATGGCTTCCTGAAAGATGACCTGGAGAAGTTCCCAAGTGGAATGGCTGCTGTAGCAGACGAGATACATCGCCAAGGACTTCTGTTCGGCATGTATTCCAGCGCTGGAGAAATGACCTGCGCTCGCTATGGTGAGTAGACTACACGCAGCATCGACTCAGATGTCTGACATACGTGCAGAAGGTTCTCTTGACTGGGAAGACAATGATGCGAAGAGCTTTGCAAACTGGGGCGTTGACTACCTCAAGTACGACAACTGCTATCATATGGGACGCTTCGGTACACCCAAAATATCCTTCGATCGATACAAGGTTATGTGGGATGCAATCAATGGAACTGGAAGGCCAATGCTGTACAGCCTATGTAATTGGGGCGAAGACTACACCCATACTGTAAGCACAAACCAACGAAGCTAGCTTTTGGTGCTCTGCTAACAAGTGAAGTGGGGAATGTCCATTGCCAATTCTTGGAGGATGTCTGGTGATATATACGACTCCTTCACACGCCCAGATGACCTCTGCTCTTGTACTGACCCGTCGAACCCACTCTGCGTGGCTCCTGGTTCGCATTGTTCCGTCTTGAACATCATTAACAAGGTCGCTCCGTATTCTGATCGTGGCCAGCCTGGAGGATGAATGATTTGGACATGCTGGAAGTTGGAAATGGAGGAATGACCGACGAGGAGGTAATATTTCTGCAACGTGACATTATAAAAAGATACCTACTGACGTCTCGACTCAGTATAAAGCACACTTCTCCATGTGGGCCGCGCTCAAGTCACCCTTACTAATGGGTAACGATCTTCGAACTCTCTCGGCCTCCGCCCTCACTATTCTCAACAATCCAGCTGTCATTGCTGTCAGTCAAGATCCCGAAGGACGCTCAGTGGCTCGTGTGCGACGAGAAGTTAATGCTGCCAAAGACAAGTATGGTGTTGGTGAGATACAAGTATGGAGTGGCTCTCTCTATGGTGGAGACCAAGTTGTCATCCTGCTCAACGCTGCTGGAGAGGATGCTCACATCAGTGCCAGTCTTGAAGAGATCTTTCTTCATGATGGTCCCGAGGGATCCGCTCCCCAAGTCAACGGAGACTGGGAAGTCTATGACCTTTGGGCAAATCGCATGGACAATAAACTCGCTCAGAAGATTCTTGATGCGCCCGTGGACAAGCTTGAACGCTTGTTCAAGGAAGCCAATTGGTACAACTCGACCGAGGTATCGTACAAGGATGGGCTGAAGAGGAGTGATCCAAGACTGTTGGGTAAGAATGTTGACAAGATCTCAGCTGGTGGATCATTTTCTGCGAAGGTGAAGCGGCATTCTGCGGAGATGTATAGGTTGAGGAGTGTCGGAAACGGAGGAAAGAGGAAGGTGCATGCTAAAGAGGAATTGTGACTATCTTTTGATATGATCATATGGATACGTAGATAGCCAATAGAATTGATAGACCTAAGAAGTTCCAATTCTTGTCAACCATTGCCTGCATTTCCGGACTTGAGCTGGATGTTGGGGAAGACGTGAGGCTGGTTGGGCACTGCCACGTGATCTAGTAAATATCTTAAAAGCGGCATCATCTAAAACTTCTGACCCTCGACCTCTCTTCTGTCCTCGTGCACTTCAGACAATATCAGCCCATTTACCTCGGACCACTTTCAGTTAAGACTAACTCCTTAAGGCCCATCTGTATATATAGTGGTGTTGCTGACGGCTCAAGATGAGGGTGTCTACAGCTTGTCAAGCATGTCGGTAAGATTCCCCCTCTTTCCTTCTCCTGAAGAGATACAAGTTCCCGAACCCATTTCTCAAGATACGTGGACGCGCAATAGTCCATTATCATTGATCTCTGTTAATTATTCTTCGGCGTACTCCTTGGCTAATTCCAATTGTGATCAGATCTCGCCGACGAAAATGTGATACCCCGCATTTTGGGGCTCCTTGCAACTATTGCTCAGAGCGTGGCATACAGTGTACGAGAGACACCTCCACCACTTTACCAAGCTCAAAGAACAATAAATCAATTGTATCAAGTGGATTACAGCTTCGAGATATCGCAGCTCAATCAAGTCAATCATTTCAAGACGCACTTCCTCCACTTCCAATATGTCTTGAGCTTGTCAACTTATATTTCGACTTTATTCACGACCAATTTCATTCTCTGTTCCATCGACCGAGTATGATTGAAGATGTTGAAAAGGGTGTTGCTTCGCCTGTCATAGTTCTTGCTATGCTGGCACTATCTGCAAGGTCACTACCCCGCTTCCGCTTCATGCATTGCCTGTGTCTAACTACATGTCAGATTTTCGACTAATTCCTTCTTCTCAAGCATCAATCCAAGAGAAAGAAGTGATGACTTTGCAAGAGAAAGCAGTCGTCTGCTCAATCTTAGAGATGTGTCGTTGTCCACTGTTCAAGCTTGCGTGCTTCTAGGTGCATTCAGCATCACCCGTGGTGAGGCGCACGCATAATCAGTATATTACTGCGTCGCTTGTCGGATCGCGAACCTTCTGGATCTTGCCTACAAGCCAACTTCTGGTGCAGTAGAGCGCGAAGTCAACGTACGAGGTCAGTCTTGAGCACCTCATCCCACGTGATTCTGGTTAACGGAGCACAGTGTGGTGGTCTTTGTGCATGATAGATGTTTGGTCTTCAACAGGAGTGAGACTTCCAAGACAGATGCCAACACTGGAAGAGATGCCACTTCCTATGGACGATGTTGGATTCCTAAGTCTCAAGGACGGAGATCCTCCTCCGCCATCTTTCGCCAATAATACAACAACCGCTTCTTCCTCCCTTCTGGCTGAGATGATCAAGCTCAGTCGTATTCTGCTGGAAATCAATTCATTGAACGAGCGAACCGTATCAGGCGCCACATCTGGTGCCATCCTTGAAAACGAAGTCATGGATTTAAGCAATCAGCTCGATGGATGGCACGCTAGTCTGCCACCCTTCATGCATGACACCTTAAGTAACGTTCAGCGATTTGCATCTCAAGGCCTTGGACGCATGTTTGTGGCTGTATATCTCGGTTATTATCATTTCGGCCAACTGCTCTTCTACCAATTTCTTCACGGCGATTGCCATAGCACTGTTCTGAGTGCTCACTTTTATGCGAACAAATGCAAAGCATACGCCAAGTCACTCTGCGAAATCATTTATGCGTCTCACTCGGTGCCTAACTGCGATGTGCAATACACCATGTGTGGTCACATCCTCGTTATCGCATCAACAGTACAGATTCATACCCTCCTCTTCAGCGACAAAGAAGCACAGATCGTCGCAGCAAGGCAGAGATTGGAAAGGAATTTCGAGATTCTGAGTCAGCTGAGAATGTACTGGCCGACGCTCGACATATGCTTTACCAGGTTACAAGCATTTCACAAGGCTTGTCGAAACTCGATGGACGAGTCATTTCGACTAGACCAATGGATGCTGAGATTTCTGTCAGAATTTGCTCAGCCTGTAGATGACAGAATTGTGGATGGATTTGCACCAATGAAGGTCTGGTCTTTGGACAACATTGGCTGCAGTCCGGAGAATTTGCCTTGACACCGCTTCTTATCGCGGCTGGTTTATGGTGCGGTTGTACAAACTACGGCTGCTTGCGCAAACGAGCGTCATCATTGTGCCTTTGATTTCAAATGTGTGCTGGAGCGGTTGCCGAAACTTTGAATGATTCACAAGCTTCGGAGCCGCCAATCTTATATATCGTCCGTACTCACACCCATGACAAGTCCAAGTGCAATCAGCTTAATACCGTTCGATGGTGACAACATGGGGAATGATCAAAGATGTGATTCCGCTATATCAGCAGTCAACAGCGATGCCTCAGAGACTCGATTTGAGTCTGATGAGATCGAGGACTTCCGATCGGATCGACAGCCGGGGAAGGATGCAAGTCTCAAACGTCCTCTACGACTGTCCAATGCACACAGACGTCGAGTTTCAGAAGCCTCGATCAATGGCAAGAGTACGAACAGCGGACCTGTCAAATCAGGCAAGCCGACAGACGCTTCGAGCTCGAATACGTCCACAGTGGTGGCCGATTTTGACGTCTCCTTCGATTTTTCTCCGACTGAATATGGCAGCGCAACCACACCCTTATTTTCTCCAACAGAAGTGAACTGCATCTGTTGCGGTATACCACACCCTCCCCTCTCGCACGATGACCAGTTCCCCGAGAAATGCTGGGAGCATCAAGCCTGCCTAGCAAGAGGGGGATGGAAGAAACATCTTGAACGCGTTCCGCATACGAGGTGTCCTCTTTCTGATTGTGTCAAAGCCGGGGCAGACTTTAAGACGCAGGAGAAGTTCTTACAGCATTGGTTCAAGAGGCATGATGAGAAGTGCTGGTATTGGGGAAAGAAGAAAGGGTTCTTTGGAAGTGAAACGGCTGTGTGGCTGCAATGGAAGGGGCGCTGATTCTAGCTAAGGATCATCGGAACTTGAGAGAGCAATGAAAGAATATACGAATGGCGCTTTCAGGCCAAAGTGTTATTAGGTTGAAACGGAGTCAAAGCCAGTCGGAAATACAACAAGAGGACAACGATGCGATAAACCTTCCAATAGACATTTGTGGCTGAGTGCAGTAGCTCTTTGTGCGGAATAGTTTGCTGGGTTATTAGGTTTCTTTCTTTCACATCTCACAAGTTTGCTCAATTGTCTCTTATTTATGCCGCATGCCACCAACATCAAAATCTGCATGCAAACCCCAAGAGAAGTAGAGGAGCGGAGCTGAGATCCCATATCCTTTCAGTGCGCGAAACGTCCTTTCATCATGCACTGTCAGCATCGGCAGTGTGGTACATAAGATAGTATCTCCTGCTTTCATATAATGTATGAAATGAAAGAGCATCTGTATACATCTCAATGTCTCATTGAAAGCCCGAATGCTATCGACAACGCACATTGCAAATGCAAACTGATTTGAAGAGTAGTGATACATATAAATCGATCGCCGGCCACCTTCACAGCCTGTTCTGATTCAGCGGATGATTCAACTTCACTGAAACTCAGATGCCACCACCAAGCGAAGACGAGCCCCAAGTTGGCGTCCAAAGGTTCGGTTCCGAATCGGATTTCGAGGAGAAGAATGTCGAAAAAGACTCAGATTCCAGTCCATCTCAATCCGCCTCATCGAGTCCACCTCATGAAGACTTTTTCTCTCTCTGTCACCCAGATCTCAAGATTGAGATCGTCCAGAGAGACGCTGCGAAGATGTTAGAGGAGGTCCAGACCATTTTGGCCGATGGAGAGACCTCACATGGCATCCCCACAACCAGCGATCAGATTGAGCGACTTCATCAAGCCGAAGGTACTCTCAACAAACTTCTCAGCAAGACATGCCCCTCGTTGTCCTCGAAACTCAATATGCTAGCATTGGCAAGCGGGGTATCGTCATGTGACCCCGTATTCGAGATTCCTCTAGGCAGAGAAGTCAATTCGAAAGCAACGCCTCCACCGAATACCCCACAGGTCTCCACACAGGACCTCGAAGATTCGATGGCATCTATCGCCTTATCGACAGAGGAAGTTGCCACAACTCCAGTTCAGGAGCTGATGGATGAGCGGAAGCGATTTGCTGTCACCATGCAAGAATATGCCATCAGACTTGAGACTGGTCGCCTCAAGGGCTTTGTGGAATACGTCACAAGTATTGTTCATCCAATGACTGATGTATTTGCCGAGTTTGATAGGTTTATGAGAACTGTTGAGATGGCTGAGTAGATGGAAATGGAACTCTCAACTCGAAGAGGTCTTTGGGGATGTGGAGTGATTATGGGAGACAGATGGGATCTGATTTACATGTGTGAGAGAGAATGAAAGGGTCGCATCATGATTTTACAAGCATATCACGTGACTATGCGGAAAGCGAGTCTTGATGCAAATTTTCTCTGTGAGAAACTTTTTAGACATGACCACCTGCAAGAAATTTTGAGATCTGCATTAATGACTTTCGGTATACTGTTCCCATAGCTTATTTTCACGCTTGGAAATCACTAAGTCACGAGATCCTCCACAAGAGTGGTGAGCATCCAGATCATTCTAGATCTCCTTCAGCACGGTCTTGAATATCCATAATCTGTGGGTATTGATGCAACTACAACTCATTGATAAAAATTCCATGCAAGCCATAGGATGGACAATTTTGAAACATAAAAGGGTGGGTTTGACGACAATGAAATTGATGTCAAGTCATCTAGAGTGCCAAGTTCAGTTCACTGGACTCCTTGCTATGGAGGGTGGAAACTTGAAAGTTGAGAATGTGGAGAACTTGGTGATGTACGTGGAAGATGATTTGAATTAAATGAAAAACTACAATATTGTGCAAAGACAAGCTAGATTCAGGAAAGTTAAGAATCCAGAGCCAAGAACAGCAACTTGAGTAACGAACATGGGGACAAAAGTCCGTGCGTTCAGGCTGTAGAACCTCGAAATTAAAACTCTTCACATTAGGACTAAACTATCAACAACTCCACCATTATGGATCCTTTTACCACTCCACCTATGTCTCCACGTCTCCCAGGTGCAGAGATCAGAACCAAGCACAAAGAGGGCATACGCCGGCTCTTCAAATTCGCTAAAATAGGCCTGCAACAGCTCCAGGGCTACTACCACCTAGGAGACAGCACA